GTGAATCGAGTTTCAAAATCGTGGAAGTGCACATCTACACATGCTGGTGTGGATAGAAGATCATCCCTCATTCAATACACCTGATGGAATCTATCAATTTGATCAAGTGTGCACAGCAAAAAAAGCCGGATGAGAGTTCTGAGCTATATGACCTTGTGAAAAAGTGTCAAGTTCACCATCATACAAACACATGCAAGAAGAATGATGACGACTCATCAACAGCGTGCCGCTTCAAATTTCCACGACAAGTTTGTGCTGAAACCCGCATCGTCTCTGAAACATCTGATGACTTTATTAGCAATGGTGGTAGCATATGCTTGCTCAAACGACGATACGAAGACCGATGGATGAACAATTACAATCTTACACTACTCAACCTCTGGAAAGGAAATATGGATATCCAACCATGCGGATCAAATGAGTCAATCGCATACTACATTGCTAAGTACATTAGCAATGTACTTAGCAATTATCTACGTGACGGTAAAGTCACGTAGATAAAATAAAACAAAATAAAAGAAAACAATAAAATCACGACGTTTCGGAGGTAACACAAGCTTCCGTCTTCAAGTGGAATAGTCAACGCAGAATATCTGTGTCAGGAGCACAGTTCAGAGACTACCGGGATTATATACAGGTTAAGGGAGGGAGGAGGAGTCTGTAAGGGGGCGTGGGTGGGTGGGAGGGCTGAGTTAAGCAGCCTTTTGATAGACTGCTGCGGGTAACAACCACTTCGCACTGCACGAGAGTGGGTAAAACCCACCTTTTGTTATGCTGCGTGGGGGGTCAGGGGGAGCAAGAGACATGCTGCATTTTTTGAAAGCGGCGGCAAACGGCTGTTCAATTATAAGGTAGCTAAAGTTAGAGAATCCATACTCTTTGGTTCTATTTGGTAAAGTCACGTAGGTAAAAAATAAAACAAAAATCATGACGTTTCGGCCACAACACAAGTGGCCTTCATCAGGTGAAGGGACCAGACTGTCCAGAGGACAGCGTTGGAGTGAAGACAGCCAAGCCCAGGTCGCGTCCTTTGATGTGGGGGAGGAAACAAAAATGCCTTGACAAAGGAATTAGCATAAAATGTAACATGAAATGACACGGGGGGGGGGGGGGGGGGGGGAGAGAGGGGAGTTTACATGTTGGTGTGAAGGGAAATAAGCTGCTGTGAAAGTTGTGGATACCACTACTTGAATAAATATACTGCACAATTGAAAAATAGTTTAATGTTTGGTATGATTTAGAACATCTTTCCAATGATTGCTTAATTTGAAACCATCCTCTCGGTTGAAATTGTGTCTATGTTTGTAAATCTGAATTGCCTCGTGGACAAATCTCTGATAAAAACCTGTGGGTTTGCAGAGAACCTTGGTATCGGAGAAAACTATATCGTGATCACCCACAGCGTTGTACAGTGGTCAGCTACGGCAGAAGAATTCGTTCTGCCGTGTTTCAAATCTGATTTGTATTCGCGAATTCGGTCAGAGACGTCGTTTCGTCTCTCCGATATAGCAATCACCACAGGTGCAGCTCAATTTGTAAACTCCGGGGTACTGTAAGTTAGGAATGACATCCTTCTACAAACAAAATGAAGGTACCCCCATGGGCTCCTCCTTGTCACCAGTGAGAGCCAATGTTTTCATGGAAAAATTTGAATCAGACGCCATCCAGAGTCAGCTGAGTTGAATTATTAGGTTGGATGTCTATGTATTGACGGGTTGGATGTCCTTCTCGCTCAGTCACCGATGCTGCGGCATACTAAGCTCGTGCATTGATATGCTAATCTCTCACAATACAATGGCCAATTCCACAGCCTCAGGCAGACCATCTCTAGCCCTGCCCTCTTACCTTGAGGCTGCACCCATCTCAGGCCTACATAAGACCTTGTTTTAGTAGCTTTCTCTCTCACCTGAAGACGGTCGCTTGTGTTGCTATCGAAACGTCATGATCTATTAATAATTTTCTAGATACGTGGCTTTACCAAAAGAACCAAAGAGTTTGTCTATGGTTACTCCTAAACAACTTAAAGGAATAGCAATACTGAGTGTTAGAAACGAAGACTCTTTTGATCTTAACAATAAAGTATTCGGCCATATTAATAAAACTGTAGTGGTCTTCAAATGCGTGGATACTATTGTGATGATACTGCTATTCAACTTCCATTCCCAGAAGAGTTATTAAACAGCCTTACTCCTACCGGAATGCCTTCTCATGAACTGAAACGTTAAGTATGAGCCATTATTATGCTCCTTAGAAACCCAATGCCATTAGAGGACTATATAATGGTACAAGACTTACTCTTACTCGAATACACACAAAGCAAACATTATTCGTGCAGTAAACTCAGACATGGTACTGAATCCAAGAATCCCACTCATTTCATCACACAAATTTCCCATTGTTTCAAATGAAAATAATTCCCCATACAATTGTTGCTCAATCAAGAGCCATATTGTTTGATTCACTTAGTGTAGTGTCAGAAAAGAACCCACAAATGGACAAGTGTCTTTAGAAATATTTTGATTCAAAAATAAAAGTAAAGAAATGCATGAATGTTCAATTAAGATCTACTAGATTGGCATGTTACGCCTGGTACAGCTGGTGTATTTTACATATCACTCCATATCCGTGGTGGATGGTCTCAGGTACATTCACTCCTTTGGCTGCCAGTCTGTTATGATGGAGAGTGAGCAACCATGAGGGAGCGTACACAGGGAGGTGCGAGCGAGTTGACAGCGGAGAATGACGTCATGTCATGGGTGCTGTGATAGGGGGGTACCTTCGGGAACAAAGGCGGGTCCGAGCAAGGGGGAGGAGCCGCCAAGGGGTACTTAAGGGGGACCCCGTGAAGGCGGCGGGGTCGCCGTTGGGAGAGGAACGAGAGCCTGAGTGGACGACATCCCAGCCGCCGCCAAAGAAGGGCTACAGATGTAGAGGTCTCACCTCGTCGCCGGGCGGTGATGGGTGATCCCCTGCCCGGGCAGACGAGGTGGGTAGATAAAGGGGTGCCGTACCGGGTCGTAGATAGCTGAAGGGATGTCCGTGTAAAGGACAGAGTTCTGACGTGCGCCAAAACAGGTGTAAGCGTCAAGTGCAGAGTGTAACAACCAGTGAGTGTACAAAATGAAAAGTGAGCAGAATTATAAAACGCCAGAAAGTGCAGTGTAAAAGAGGTCGCACCAGAGTGCAGTGTATAATTCCCTGCCTCCTGAGAATTAATCCCGGTTGGGCTTCCAGTCCATATAAGGGCACCACGGGGTGACCAGCCCCTCCCCACCCAGCCCCACCCCTCCCACCCCCCACCCAGCCCCTCCCCACCCTCCCCACCCAGCCCCTCCCTACCCTCCCCTCTCCACCCAGCCCCTCCCTACCCTCCCCTCTCCACCCAGCCCCAACCCCTCCGACGTGGACAGACATACACAATTAATCCCCTGCCTCCTGTGAATTCATCCCGGTTTGGCTTCCAGTCCACTACATTTCCTACCAGTAAAAAGAGACCTGATGGTTCCATGATCCACACTGTCTCCAGGAAAGCTACCCATACCGATGCTTACCTGAAACCGGATTCCCACCACCATCCATCCCAGAAGAATTCCCTCAATAAGACTGCACCATAGAGCCCAATGTATATCCGACCAGGAACACATAGCCAGTGAACTCAAGCACGTACACCAAGCTCTTAAGGCTAATGGTTACTCCGACTACACAATCCGTAAAGCTATCACTCCAACCATGAAGAAGGACCCTCTTGAGGAGCCTTTCAAAACCATCACTTTACCCTACATTGCGGGGATCACAAAAAATATCTCCAAAATCTTGAATAAACACACGATCTAGGTCCGATTCAACACATTACATAAAATCCGTGATCTGGTTCCATCTGTAAAATATGTGATTCCGGACATACAGTACCCTGGCGTCTACAAACTAAGTTGCCTCTGTGGTAGTAGTTACATTGGAGAAACCAAACTACATGTCTCGGACCGCATTCGTGAACACAAAGCAGACCTAAAACACGGTAGGACCAACACCTCGGCCGTGGCAGATCACTGTTATAATTCAGTAGGCTCACATGACATTGACTTCTCCAAGACAGAGGTTCTTAGGAAGACATCTGGCTACCATGAGAGATTCGTTCATGAGGCTATCCACATATACAAACACAGAGACAATTTCAACCGAGAAGATGGATTCTGGCTTAGCAGTCATTGGAAGGATTTGATAAACCATTTCGGGTCTTAAGTGATTGTTCACGTTTACGGTGGTTTTCAGACCGCATCCATTATTTTTGTCTTCCCCCTCCTCTTTTCCGAACATAGATGGACTCGTCCATCTGAACAAACTGTCAAATCGCTCTCCGTGGTGCTAACGTTAAAAATAACCGCCACTTTTTCCCAAATTTCTTGCTGTGGTTTTCACACCTGATGATGATTGCTTGTGTTGCAGTCGAAACGTCGTGATAATTTTATTGTTTTATATTTTTATTATTGTTTCCCCTCTACGTGACTTTACCGAAAGAACCAAGAATATGTGAGGTTAATGCAGACTTGAAACCTTGCAAAAGGTATCTATTTGGTGATTGAATATCTTAACACCTCCTGTTTTATTGCCAGAATCGGTAAAACCTATTCTTATTTTTAATACTTTTATACCGGAAGAAAACGGTCCCAGGGATAAACTCCAGGTATGCTTACACTTCGCCACCATTGCCCCCTTCGTACTGTGACTATAGTGATACCGCTGGCAACTGCGCTCACTCGATGGGATATGGCCGCCTCTCGGTCACGCGAGATCCAGAGGGACGTCTCCCCACTCCGCGTCGTTTCACCTCGTTGTTCATGAAATGCGACGGCCAAGCGCATTTGGGGAGCACGCGTCGTCCACAACGAACGAGCCTGGGCGACGACAAATGAGCGAGACGACGGATGGAGGCAGCGGTGAGTGGACAACCCCGCTCGGTGGGTGCGAACACGCAAACTCGAAATATACAACAGGCATCAGGGTCGGCATCGAACCAACAAACTCCTTTATAACAGGCGACCTAGTTAGTATCTCGTCACCTTCGTCCAACAACAGCAGAGGTGAAGCATCGATTCACCAAACAGTAATTATAATAACAAAAAACACATGTGATGGCCCTCACAATGAACTGGCGGGACAAAGGAGTTAACACATCCAAGAGGACGTCACCAACAGAGATGGAGTGATGATCGACTCGTGCAGAGTAGCGAGCTGCAGCGTTGTATCATAGCAAGAGTGAGGAATGGCAACAGCTGGGGAAGCCGTTCATCCAGCAGTGGATCGACAATGACTCATGATGTTGGCATATGCATGAAGTTGAGAGAACAATCATATATATAAAAAAGATGTACATCTATGTTTGTATGTACAATATATGTACAGCTCGTCAAACCACTGCAGGATGAAGGGCAAAATGATGGCCTCCCCATTCTGTGAGCCATGGGGGGAGGGGGTTGTTGATCATATTTCACCACTCTGGACATTCAGGTTGAAGGGGAGAGGGGATCAGGACTAGTTCTAATGTTACCCATAACTGGGAATCAAACTGAGGTGACTGGGAATTACAATATTGAGTCTGATCATCACGCAACGAACATTACTCTCAGTAGCAGAGTGAGTGGGAGAGTGCCGCCCGTTACGATGTTGTCCAGAGGTCACTTGAAGGAATCTTCAAGATGTGGTGTTGTAATATCCGCTACCGTGGGCTGGTGTTTAACAAAAACACTGCAAATAATTGTCTCATAACATCACCCCGATAGCATTGGGGGGAAAAAATAAAAAAATAACATGTTGTTTAATTCGGTAAAACAAAGAACTGGATATTGGATTTAATGACCAGGTGGCAAAGAAAGGAATACATCTTTACACGCTTATCTGTTGGACGAGTGTAAAAATTACCTTTTATACAGCAGTTCAACACCGCAGTATAGCTCCTCCTAAAACACTTTCAGCGCAGCCTCGCTTTTAATAAAAATGTGTTGCAGCTCGTTGTACATGAGGCTAATGAAGTCCGGTCCCATGTAACATCAGTTTCCTGGGTTGTTGTTCTTGCTGCAGGAAGCTGACTGCGGCCACTCTCTCGTGCGCAACCCAGTACGCTACTGAAAATAATCAATGAGAAATCAAAGGTCCCTGGGCAGCGCAAACTACCGTGTCTCCTCTTCCTCCCACTTCTCCTCCTCATCCTCCTCACTGCTGAGGCGGTAGAAGAGGAGGTAGGGGGTGGCGCTAGCATTGTCCAGGGGCATCAGCAGCGATGCCATCTCTCCCTCGCTCACAGCATTCACCTCAGCGTCATCAAAGCGCAGCCAGCGACCCTCCCACTCGCCCGCCATTGCACCAACAACGCCGTCATCAACATCAGCACCGTCCTCTCCCCACCGCCGATCGCTGGCACTGTTCGCCGTTGCCGCCGCCGCCGCTGCTGCCGCACTCTGAACTTCGGTGAAATCCACGGTTCGCGCCGACCTGCCGAAATTCTTCTTCTTATCGAGCAGCGGGCCGGCGCCGGGCAAGGGAGGTTTGCGCTCGTGCCCGTGGTTCTCTTCTCCGAGCCGCTCCCTCCCACACGCTCCCAGCCTGTCTGCTGGCGGTAATTTCGCTTGCGCCATCCTCGGCGCGATTTCTTTATGGCCACCTCCGTTTTGTCCCCCCACCGTTGCCGCCTTCACGGCTGCAGTCTGTTGGGTTGTGAGACTGTCACGGCGGCGCCGCCCGTCCTCACGCTGTCCTCCGCGTCCAGCGCCATTGGCGGCGCACAGGGAAGCGTTCCTCCTGCTCCCCTCGCTCATCCCGGAGCCGTTTTTGGGTCCAGGCTTTACCGATGTAACAGGGCGACATTTGTCCGCCAGCGAAGCGGCCGTCTTCACGCCATCTCGCTCGCCACCACCCTCAATACCGCCGCCCTCGCCGCTGTTGTAACAATCGCGACCGGGAGAACAATCAGGGCCACCTGCGCTGTACAGCGCACGCCTGGGCCCCACACCGCCGCGGCCAAGTAGACGTGGCGAGCCCACGCGCACGTACGCCGTGTAGTGACCCGCACCGGCCGAGCTCCCGCTGTGGGTGATGAACGCTGTTAGGCGGTACAGCGGGGCCCGGAGGCGAGACCGGGGGCCCCCCACGAGCCACTCGGATACGGAGAGGCAGCGCGGGGTGAGCACCGGGGCCGTCACCTTGGTGGCGCCAACCACCGGGCACAGGCTGAGAGAGGGGAGGTGGGGGGGGACGCAGGTTGCAATGGTGGTTAGTCAGAATCGGAATCTTTATTTAGACTGGAGGAAGCCGATGAACTCTGAAGCTCCTTTCACAGACGTCCAGTAGGGCCGGTCAGAAAGTTACAACAACAATGCAAAACCCGGCAGGAGTGCAAAGTATATGAAAGGTAACCAAGCCACTAAATGTGCATGTAGCAATTCACCGCCCACCAACCGCCTTGTCGTCATGGCAATTTGGGAAATTCTCATGATTGGGGGGGTCCAATTCAGTTAGAGGATAAATTACATTTTGTCTCGGTTTTACCATCTCATTTGTAATTTATCCTTATTCCTGTCTCAGATGTACAGTTTGGTCTGCTCAATTAACTTCAACGTATCAATTGAGCATAGTCCACTTGCAAATAGGCACGTAAATCACAAACAATGGTTTCTCGCACATACAATGCGGTAAGCGTTAGAGTCAATTCTAACAGATGAAGCCATGCGTAATTGCATGCCTAGTCAGTGAATGGGTTCAAATCCAGGCCGTTGTAGAGCATACATGGCAAGTAAAATGCTGAGGTTAAAGATTGATCTCAGTAATAAAAACAGATAAACATGACCAGGTAGCTCAGAGGTCAGAGCTGAGGTCCTGAGTTCCAATCATGGCAGTCACTTTTGATTAAATTGTGTTGATAGTGGTAATGGGGGTGGCGGTAGTGGTTGCTTTGATATTGCAGGGGATCGTGGTGGTGGTGGTGGTGATAGAGGTGGCGAAGGCGGTGATATTGGCGGCGGTGATAGTGGCAGCGTTGGTAGTGGTGGCGGTCACAGTGATAGTGTTGGTAGCGGCGGCGGTTGTAGCAGTGTTGACAATTGCGGTGATAGCGGCAGAGATGGTGGCGTCCTCGGTGACAGCGCTGGTGGTTGCGGTGGTGGCATCGCTGATTGCGACAGCGGTAGTGGTGAAGACAGCGGTAGTGGTGAAGGCGGTGACAGTGGGCGGGGTGGATGGTAGTGGCGGCGTTGGTAGAAGTGGTTGCAGCGGCAGTACCCGATGGCGGAGAACCTCTTGAGGTGAAGCGTGAGGATGCGGGGGAGCCGCCCGAAGCGCAGGGTGCGCTCCGCCTCCGCGTGGTGCAAGCACGTCTCGCAGAAGTACTTGTCTCGCCCCACGAGCCGCTCGGCACGCGCAAACTGAGCCAGCGCCCACTGCACCGACTTGCGGCCGGCCTTGGGCTCCGGCGACACTGCACACGCAAGCACGACCGCACAAATAAGAACTCAACTATTTTTTATTTTACCAGGTAAGGCCAACTGAGCTACATAGCTCTTTTTTAGAAGCGTCCTGGTCACAAATGATAGCTCCAACAAAGTGGCTTATCACGTGGAAATGTATAGAATTTTTTTTTAATTTGCAGCAGTCAAATAATAGCAAGGTTGGCTACATATGGTGCGAAAGAAGTTCATGCATACAATGGTGAGTGCCAGGTGAATAACAATTTTAGCTATTTTTTCAGGCGAGACTTGAAGGTCCCATCTAAGACACTGTTTGGACAAGTGCTGTCGTGTGCCGGTACGGCACATGATGGGGGTGGGTGGCTAGCACGTGAGCAGTTGTCTCCCAACTGCTGATATTTGCACCGTGTATCAGGCACTAATATTTAAGGCCAAGTTGAGGCCCAGAACTGATTCATATATTAGTCACTGTTATTAGCAGTGAGTGAGAATTGAACTCCAGTCACCGGGTTCATAATGCAGGGTGCTGATCACTATACTACTGCTCCCCACACGTACAAACATGCACACATGAGCGTCATTAGGCCAGTGGAGCCGTGTATTGGAGGGCGGGTATCTGCAGGTCTTTGTAAATGGCTCCATTTGTTGTAATATTGATTTGAGGTGGGCTATCCAATTGGTTCAGTAATAATCGATGATTAGGTCTGTCGGTCGACTAATCAGATTACACTAAAATAATTACAAGAGCCCTAGCGTGATAGACCCATTTCAAAATCATACAACATACAGACATGCGCTGTTGCGGAGAGGTGTGGGCGAGCTTCTGTATTTCAACAGGTTTCCCCACTATTGATGACTGGTGATTGGTGAGTGCCAGGTGAATTGGTGACAGGTAGGCGAGTTGATGGTTGGTAAGTGTCAGTTGAATTTAGAACTGGTCAGTGGCAAGGGTCAAGTGAATTGCTGATTGCCGAGTGGTGAGGGTCAGGTGAGAAATAATTGCCTAACAAGCCCAGGTGAGTGTCATGTGAGTGTCATGTCACCCCATTTACATGACAGGCTGCTCGCTAGTGCTGTATCTCTTCTCTTGCGACCGATGTCCGAACCTTACCGCAAAACCTGGCTCTCATTCCAGATGTATCTCACTGTTTACGCAACGGACCCCACTTACTATTAACAATATTCCTACCCATGTCAGCAATCGCCTTCCCACTTAACAGTTTAATAGCCCCGTTAATTACGCTCGCCTCCACTGGACAATGCTAGTCGTGATTCAGTGATTCATTCACTCAAAGACTGTGTGTTTCTCGCACTATTCACATGCTAATTGCCAGGCGATGGTGGCTGTGCTGCACTTGGTCTGTTAATCCAGCACTGTGGAGGCAGGGAGGGTTAGCAGATTACACAAATGTTGCGAGAACTCCTATTCTATGGGTGTCAAAGGAGGTGCCATACCCTGGCTCGTCAGTAGGTTGTACAACAAAGTGTGGACTAATCTCTATCTGTCCCATCTGTATGGAACAGTGTTGCCCGCTCGCATGAATGGGTTTTCTCCGTGTGCTCCGGTTTCCTTTCACGTGTATAAACACTCATTAATTGGCTGAAAACAACTCTATCTGTGGAGGATTGCAGAGCTTTTGGCAATTTCTGGCACCAGCTCATTGACTGGCTGCTGCTTCCTAGCTCGTTTGCAGTTCCTTCTCGCGCCTTTTGAATCGTTCTCTCTCGTCGAGAGCAAGCGAACACTGTGTGGCACCGCATTATAAGTAGATCTTTTTTACAATTGTTAAATTAGTCTTATTATGACAACGCATTTATTCAAATTCAAGAGTGAGTGGTGGTGACTCATGCAAGGGGAAGAACACGCTACTCAAATGGGATAACAAGGGCTAGCAACGCTCGGGCACAGATTGTCTGGGGGATAGTGCTGCCGCATCCATGGCACAGCTTGGATTGCCACCAGTCCCGGTTTTCCTAGGACCGTCACCACAGCTGATGATGAACATAATGATTTTGCTCTTGATATAGCACTCTGCATGTCTCAGAACGCTTCACACGTGATAAGCGACTCACATCACATTTCATCTCAAAACATTTGAAGGGGAACCCTGGGGTGTCAGCCGTCCATGTGTGACACAGCGTGCCGCCTTAGCACCTGGCCTGCGAGCGAGAATTAGTCTGCTAGTGAGGGGAGATGATTGCTATGTCTAAACCCAACCGAGTCATTTGCAATGTAATTTGCAGATTTGGACCATGATGAGAATGATGACGATGTGCATGTGTGCGTGGGCAGGTGTATGAGGAGCAGCAGTGCAGCGGTTAGTGCGCTGTGCTACAAACTTGGCGACCCAAGTTCGATTCCTGCTCAAGGTCAACATCGTTGACATATATCTGAGCAGGTCTTAAGACTCCCCTAGGTCGACTCAGTCTAAAATGAATACCTGGTGCAATGTATAAACATCGCCAATTGGGAGACAAAGGCGGTCGGCCGTGGTACTACTGGCCACCCACCCCCTCGTGTTCCGTGCCAGCCTTCATAGCACTGCTCGCTAACAGCACTTGCCCTAAAAGTCTGTCAAGGCTATAGGGGGGATCTTTGTCTTTGTGGGTGAGTGTGGCGCGTACCGCCGAGTACGTCACTGTCAGCATTGAGCAGGCAGCCGTCGGCACCCTCTTGCTCCTCCAACTCCTCCTCGTGCTCATCCTGCACGGGCAGCGAGACGTCGAGGAAGCTCTCGGTGCGCTCCGAGCCGCACTCGCACTCCAGGCAGCGCGTGCGCAGCACAAGCTCCCCCTGGAAGAGGTCGCCCACCACGCAGCCTTCGTGCCGGCCTGCGGGACGGAGCAGTGGCGGCGTGAGACGTTGGGAGACACAGGGAGATGCAGTGAGACACAGGAAGAGCCTGCCTACCACGCAGCCTCCGTGCGGGCCTGCAGGACAAGCAGGGATGGAGGGAGACGCAGGGAGATAACAGGAAGACACGGTGAAACGCAGAGAGATACAGACACAAGATAAAAGGAGACACAGGGACACAGAGCGAGATACAGCAACACAGAGAGGCAGAGTGAGGCAAAGGGAGGTTCATGGAGACATAATGAGACACTGGGAAATACAGGAAGAGAGTGAGAAACAGTGAGACAGTGAGTGATTCGAATTAAGTAGTCAAACAACTTCCATGACCAAAACGGTGGGCTGATAAAAAGCTGTAAATTATAATTGTACAAAAATCTCACAAACCTGTTTCCACAGAAGGCAAGAGTGTGCGTGGAGAGCCTTCATCGTGGGAGAGAGGATGACAGCACTTGTCTGCTGAGAGCGAATTCACGTCTGAGCTTCCGTTTCCGTTATCCCGACACCCCAACTCCTTGCCATTCTGCGCGACACCCCCAGCTCTCCGGGAAGCCTTTACGTCGATCCCGTCGGAATGATCTCCGTTCCCGTTGTTCTCCGAACCAGGGGGAGCATGAGCTCCGCTCGCGGAACTGGCTTCCGTGCTGGAGTACTGGTCGTCACCGCTGCTGCTACCGCTGCCGCTGCTTTTGCGGTCGCTCTGCCGGAAGGTGAGCCCACTCACGATCTTGCCGATGGCGCGGAACTTGGAGAGGATGGAGGGCTGGCTGTGCAGCATGGACGGAGCAGGGACGCGCCGGGAGGCGCCCAGCCGCCGGCGCTTGCTGGGCTTGGGTGGCGAGCAGCGGCCTGAGCACAGCGCACAAAATCATGGCCGTGCACGCACGACAACAAAAATGCGTCAAATCATTAAGTATTTTGTATTAAAAAGTAAATCTTTAGCCCTGTAATTAACTCATTCCGATGACGCACGTGAATGTCATCGGTTTTTCTTCTGACGTACACGTACGTCATGGGAACGGAATCGGAAGGCCATGCAGGCGTGCGTGGAACATTTCGATTTAAAGCTTTCGTGACTGCAAGGATTCATCTTCTTTGGTTCTTTCGGTAAAGTCACGTAGAATGAGAATAAAATAATTAAATAAAATTTCACAATAAAATTCTCACGACGTTTCGGCCACAACACAAGTGGCCTTCTTCAGGTGAAAGGAACAAACCTGTCGGGACGACAGAGCTTCAATGAACGTTGTTAAGATTCGTAGCGTCTTTTAAGCTGGTTTAGAGAAGTGAGGCACCTTGGCAAAGGGGTTTACATATCACACAGGATAATTTAGCAATGAAATAGCTGAGGGATTAGCTTGTGACTGGTCACAGAAATGGCTATGTTAAAGTCAAAGCCTACACATCCACAGAGGCACCTAGTACAAATCAAACAGGAGAATTTAGCATTGAAATAGCTGAGTGATTAGCTTGTGACTGGTCATAGAAATAGCTATGTTAAAGTCAAATCCTTCATAGGGGATCTTTGTCTTTGTCACACGGAGAGGCAGTGCGTCTTATGGAAAAAGGAACACGTAAACAAGAGAACCTGTGCAAATTAGATACATCATATATTAACTGTACCTTCCTCAAACTTTGCAGAAGTGAATACTCGATTACTTAATAATTAAGTGGCTTTTTACTTGGGCATAGTATGGCAATCAATTAGGGCTGCAAATTCAGCCATTCGTTTACTTTAGTATAGTATTAGCACGGCTATCTATGTACGGTGCAAAATAAGTTGAACATACATATGAACAAGACAAATGTTCTAAAAGAAAACTAAATGTGGTGCGTGCTGAGCCCTCCTCACCTTGCGTTTTCTCGGACACGGAGTCGTCCTCGGTGCTCGCCCGCTCGCCCTCGGCCTGAGCGCCAGCGCGTGTCTTCCTCAAGTTGCGCAGCTTCTTGCGCGCGTTTCCTCCCAGCGCCGTTGACTTCTTTCGCTTGCCTGCTCTGCCCTCAATCCCCTCCTCGTCCGAACCCTCTGCCAGGAAACCATCATCGTCGGCACCCTCCTTCTCACCACCACCACCATTATCATCATCTTCCTCGTCAGCTTTCCTCGCATCACTCTCCTCTTTAATTGTTGCCAACTTGTTCGAGGTCGCCCTGATAGGTCGTTTTTTGTCATAGTCGTCGTCGTCATTGCCGTTATTTTCGTCATCACTGCTACTACTGGCGGCGTTGCCTTCTGCTGCTGCTCCTGCAACTCTCGGGGCTGGGCCATGGTCCTTGAGGAGGGAGGCACAGGCATCTTGTACGTGCCCGAGCAGACAGCGCAGCAGCTCCTGGGCATCGTGCTGGAGGTATCCTAAGTACATGGGATTCAGATCCCTGAGAGGACAACAACGAGATAACTATTCAAAGTGGATTTCATGGAGTCAAGTCAAGTGAATTAAATGTATTTTCGGTTAACGTGCAGTGCCTTTCTGGTACAAATCTACCACCCAAAGTGCCATTACTTCATTAAACATAAAAATAAACAATTCTATACATTAAAAATATTTTAAACATGTTGGAGCTGTGAGTTTTACGACCGTATATAAGCAAATCTCAAGATTCTGCACATAGTGGGCTGAGAAACTGTCATAAGCTGAGAAGAGGATGGCCTTGAGCATGGACAGGGAAACCTCGTGGCATTCAATGACCATTGTATGTAATTATTTGAATTTGGAGACTTAGGTCCATGACGTCAGCACACAATGGCCTACTCATTCCGAATGTTGTCATGGAGATGTTTCACGGTCCAGTGCGAAGCGTACGGCGTAGCATTTTACGGCTTACATACACCCACAGTATTGACAGTAAAGGGATGCCGGATTTGAATCGCCGCAACCTTTGCAACAAGTGCTGATAACGCTACCGCTGAGCCACCGTGTCATCCCGCCCCACATCCAGGCGTCCTCACCGCAGGATGTCGAGCAGCTCGGAGGGGTGAGTTACGGGATTCTCGTAGGGTGCGAGCGCGAGTGATTCTTGGTGTAGCACAGACATCTTCTCCATGAGGCGAGACAGGCTGCGAAGGAGAGACACGTCGAGGGGCGCCACCGCCTGAGCCCCCGCGCGCCACACGCATTGCTTTTTAGACTCATGCAAAACACGTACGTACAGTTTATGCTGCGGTAATGTAGCACCCAATTGGGATAGCGGTCTGCTCTCTGTAACAAATGGTAATGGAGAGGCAGCCATGGAATAGAATGTGCCCGATAGAATTTCCACTTTAGAGATAGAGCAATGAGATCGGTTCACGTGCACTAGATGGATGGGATCATTGCATCACGGGATCGTGAAAGGTGGTAGCGGTGGCTTGGGAGGGCTCTCATCCAGCAGTGGATTGATTATGGCTGATGATGATGTATCATCCATCTAAGTACTATTGGACAGCCCAGAACACACAGCCTGGGTAGGTGTCAAAAATCTGTATTTGTCCTTTCAACAGCGTGTTTATCTAAAGCGGCAATATATTTCAGTTGCCAATTACCAAGGCACTTACGTGAATTTGAAAAAAAAAACACATTATTATTACTCGGCTTGTTTTCCCAAGAAAGTCTCATGACTAATTTTCAGGATAGTTTTGTTATTTTTTTTGCAGAAGTGGGTGACGTTGCATTGTGTAATCCCAATCGATTTACGTGCAGTGTAATTTTTCAACACTGGGATGTTTTGGCCAATACCAGTTATTTTGTACGTTTTATTTTAGCGAGGGAAAGAAACTGGAGAACCTGGAGAAAACCCATGCAGATGAGGGGGAGTACATATACAGTGGACATCTATGAAAAAAAGCTTTACAGCTTATCGGATTCCTCAGTCTAATTAAAGATTATGATTCTGAAACAAACTCTGCTCAAGAGTTTGTATTAGCATGTGAATGGTGCCATGAACACAGCCTTTGAATGAATCACTGAATCAAGCACGTTGTCAAGTGGTGGCAAGTGTGATTAACTGGGCTATTAAACTGTTAAGTGGAAAGGTGATCGTACAAGCGAGTATAGAAATTGGTAATGAGTGCTGTAGGTCACGGAAACGGTGAGAGACATCAGCAATGAGTCAGGTTTTACACCGAGGTCCAGAAAATAAACTGCAAAGTGCATGTCGGAGATCCCTTGTAAAGAGTATAGTTACTGCAGTGTGGTGGCACGCGCATGTAATCCAGCACTTGGGAAGTTAGGGTTGGTAGATCAAGCAGCCATCATCAAGTGCATGAAACAGCAAACCACGAGATTGTGGTATGAATAGTAGCATAGCAAAACAGCAAGTAGGTTATTGACCTATGTTTTATCTATTTGCCAAGGGATGTGCCAAGTTACCCAAGTATGCCACATGGAGTATTTTTCAGGATCTTGCATTCGGTGATTTATGATTTATTTAAAGACATTATCAGCCAGTTAATGAGTGTTTATGCATCCAGAAAAAAAGCAACATGTGCGAAGGGGCAACATTCTATCCCATACAGATGGGACAGGTGATATGTATTGGATTATAGGCGTGCATAGTCTCCACTGCACATCTATGTGCCTATGAGGGAGGAACCTGCAATGTAGATAAATGTTTGTGCTTGCAAACAGAATATGTAGACAAACACTTTCTTACCTCGGCCTTTTCCTCGGTCTTGAACTCATGCTCGGATAGCTTGTTCAGTCGTTTGAGGCCAACCCGGAATTCGGGCAAATGATACAGCACCTGAAACATAACGCTCAAGTAAACGATACAGGAGCCAAAGACATAAGCTGGTGCTTCATATAAGCTGCATGTTTTTAGCTACGGGAGGAAGCCACAAGAAGAAGAGGGAATCCTTGCAGAGCAGGGGCAGAACATACAAACAGAAAGGCGCCCGAGTCGGGAATCAAACCCAGGTCCTTGTTACTGTGAGGCATGAGTGTTACCATTGCGCCACTTTGCACCCAATTATATCATTGCACATGACATCATCTCGCTTGTATTGTGCATCTCGTATAGATGATCCAATACAAACTAAACATTTTGGAAAAGTTTGGCAGCGAGGTTTCCCAGTTTGCAAAACCGACCCACAAGTGTAGGCAACTGTGCGAGTGTTACCTGCAGCACGCTGTTTAGGTAGCAGGTGTTGCCCAGGTTGCCGAGGCCTACGAAGGGCAGGGCTGGAGGAGCTTCCGCACCTCGTGCAACAGCATCACAAACCCTGCACCACAGCACGAAAAGTCAAACACATCCTCGCAACAAAACCTCCACCAAAACATTATCATCTTTGTCATCACCGGCCTCGATCAATCCACCAGTGGATGAAGGCCTTCCCAAGTTGCTACCGCCGCACCACCATCCCTCGATCGCACACAGATAAAAAAATGTAATTGCTCCATCTCCCCAGTGACGTTAAGCATTGTAAAATAACAGTCTGTTTACGAAAATGCATGCATTGAGTCATGTGTAGAGGGAGAATAGATTATTTTCGGTTTGTGAGAATTACATGGAAATTCTATCTCTGGGTTAATAGTAATAATGAATGCGACAGAATGAGATCAAATAACAGTAATACAGATGACAAATGCAGAATGGTACCTCACAAATGAGACACAATCACAAACGAAAAACAAAGTACAAAGGAGCAAGACAGATGGTGCAGATAATGAACAAATGTGATGACAGAAAGAGGTATGTAAAAATTACAACCCTGTGGTACGAAAAAAATGTGTTCGATTCTCAATTCAAATTATGATCCAGAATTGTGACAAAGCACGAATTAGGGGACGATTTATTCCACATTTGGCGACTGAATTCACTGGCTGCATCGGACATGGCCAGACATCCCATGCACCAGGATCCATGAGAAAATCCCTGCTGGAAAAAAATACTATTATTATGAGTATAAGTATTTACCAGCTGTAGAGCTGTAAACACCACCAAGAATAAAGAACATAAAAAGATAAAGCACTATTGATTTTGCACGATTTACCTTGAAACTAATTTCCCTAAATGGTAGTCAATACTTATATGTAAATCCAATGCAAGTGTCATAATTGTGAAAATGTATTTTATTTAAATGTTACAGGCCGACTCCTAATACACTGAACCAGGGTTCCGTCCAATTTTTTCTCACAAGAACAAACCTTTCCACAATGCATTGTGCTAGCGACATTTTGTAAATTCACTTTTAATATAAATTAGTTTATTGAAATTACTTTTGATTATTGAAGAGGTTGTCTGGTACTACTATTTGGTAACTAACCCGATAGTCATTCACATTCCCAACAAAGGAGGCAGTTCATCCAAAAGACCAACACTGCCGGCTTCCCAGTGATTCTCCAAGCATAGGGTCGACCAAGAGCGACCGACTGAGTGGCTGCCTGCCCAGTTGCGATCTCTCAACTTTGCGCCAAGTGCCATCTGGCCAAGTCAAGTGGTAGAACGTATTCCATTACTTGTTTGTCAAGTGACAGCCTAGTGAAATGAAAAATGCATTTTTCATGCTAAAACTGAGTTTAAAATGTTTTTTGTTTTGCAAAACACAAACATTACACACAATTCAAAAGCTAGCAGGGCAATTAGGAGATTTATCCTGGCTTAAAAAAAAAACACACTCGTTGAAGGCTGCGATGTCGCTGGCGCACTCCGACGCGGAGTCTGCCTCCTGTGTAGACCGTGCCACGGCAGCGCCCGCCTCCTCCTCGCCGCCCTGAGACGACGTCGGCGCCGCCTCCCGTCTCCGAGAGAACTTGAGCGAGAGACGGTTCTTCCGCGGCGAGGGCTCCTCTGAGCGATCCGCCGCCACCACCGCCGGGCCCACCGGTCTCGCGTGCAACGTCAGCAAACCAGGCATGTTCTGTATGACACAAAGACACAAAGGTCCACCCCTTAAGACTTTTTTGGGGAAGTGCTTTTAGCGAGTGGCTCCGAAGAAGGCAAGCACGGCACACGAGGGGGTGGGTGGCCAACACCAAGCCCACCCGCCTTTGTATCCCCAGTGACGATGTTTACACATCGCACCAGGTACTCATTTGAAGCTGAGTCGGCCAAGAGGAGGCCCAGGACCGGTTCAAATAATCGTCACTGGTATTGGCTGTGAGCGGGAATCGAACTCGGGTCGCCGGATTCGTAGTGCAGCGCTTTAAACGCGAACGCAACCGCTCCTCACATGTTCTGTAAGTAAACACACATGCGGGGGAAAGAGGTAGGGGGATAACCCTAAAATTAAAAAAAATTGTGGCCACCGATCCGAGCGCCGCTCCCGCAAGTATGATATGTATTTAGTGAAGGAGCAGGCAACTTTGTTAGGCTTTGACTAGTGTGGCCGTAGTTTCCCTAATCCCCCTATTTCGCATAAGGCTTAGTATTGCCAACATTGGCGGGTTTGCCAACCATGGCGGTTTTCAGTACCGTTACCCCTGCGGTTGGCGAGGGATTGTCGTATTTAAGTGTGAAGAGAAAAATTAACCATCACAAAAAAAATTGCAAAAGATTACATCAGCAACACTAAGAAAAATGTAGTAAATGGGTGCACGAACAATAACCTAAAATTCATAAACACATCATACAAATACCACTAATCGAACATTTCGTTCTTGTGCCCTAAACAATACATCAACCTGAAAGGTGGCGCAAAGACTAGCGATGTGAAGTATGGTAAAGCCCCGTGACCAACAAGGTGTGAGTCTTCATTCACCAGTCGATTAACCATGGTTGATGTGATTATGGTAAATAAGTTAAAATTTACAACCGTTAATTAAACAGATTAAGGCGTCTCTCTCCATGCAAATCATGGGGGGGTTGTTTGACCATACTTCACCACGCTGGTTCGCGAGGGTTGGTGAAAGTGGCTCAGCCAGGACCGTTTCAGGTATGACTCGCCAATGTTAGCCGTGGCCGCTAATTGAACTTAGGTAGTCAGGTTCGTAGCAGCACACTAACCACTGCGCCACCACTCCAAGGATAAAATACAAAAATTAAGACAAAAGTTGGTGAATTTCAACAACGCAAAGTTCCATGAGTTCAACAGCAGCGCACATGGCTCACTTACAACATTGATACCGTTGCACGATCCAAGTTTCTCGGGCGAGACAAGTCCATCCTATTTAACACAACGGCTGCTGACTTCCTACCAGTGATGTGCGGTGAGGTCAATGGCTGGGGAGGCACTGGCTAGTATCAGAGCCAGATTTACACACATATGAACCCGATAGTAGTAGCTTAAATTCACCATTCAATTTGCAGGTTGCACAATGACTATTGGTTAGGCGGCCGTATGTTTCATATTTAATATCAGCATTCTTTACAACACACGAATACAGGTAGGTTACGTATTCGATTCACATTTTATAGGCGACTGCAGTTCCACTATTCATACTCGTTCGACACAAATGAAAATATATTGCATGGTCTTACCTTTACTTGTTTATTTACAAACCATTCGCATTTCCTTCTGGACAAATATGTCATTGACTTTGTTGTAGAAGTCCTCTTTATTTTCTTTTAGTTTTAAAAGTCTCTCCATCTCAATGGAGATGATTTCCAGGGATGAAAATCGTCCTTGGTCAGTTCGATTCCGACTGTACCTTTTGAGTCGTTGCAAAGCAGAGAACACCCTTTCAACGGACGCTGTTGTAGCTGGTATAGTGAGCACCAGCTGGTGTAACTTTGTCGCCTCGGGAACCGTCTGCATCAGATCATTCTAGGCCAAAAAGCTGAGGAGCTGTCCGGGTGATTTGCATTCGTTCCTCACCATTTGTGAACTATACAATCCGATAAGATCAGCCTTTAGTCTAACAAAGTCAAAGTACCTTGCATATTTTGATAGGCTCTGCAGTTTGGTGTCATCGAAATGTTGTGATCAACCAAACTAAGGAAAGTTAGCTCACTGAAATGATCAAACCTAGCTTTCATTTGAACACTGATATTGTCCAGAATGTTATAAAACATTATTTTCCTCTCATCTCTGATCGGCTGTTTACTTCGGGAATTGTCTGTCAGGCCAAGTGTGACGCATTTCTGCTCGAACCGATCATAGAAACTGTCAAACTCTTGTCTCTGGCGTTCCACAACTCCCATTGTGCCGCGGATTCGCGCACAGCAGAATTCAATGTCCATTACTTTATTCTGCATCACACGAAAGAGTGCATCGGTTTCATTGGAAATGCCCTCATATGCCATTATGAAGAAGCAGGTTGATGCTTTTGACAGCCAGAGATCATATCCGGCGGCCATCATCAGGGTGTCATTGTCCCAACCATCAGGATTTTCGCTCATAATCCGGAATACAGCACGCAGATCAGATTGGTGCACGCCGATCGTCTGAACTAGTCTAGAATTTGAGCTCCATCTCATGGGCGCTGTTCTTGATAAACGTCGCTTCACAACATCATGCAGTAGGTGGATAAGCTTGGACGACTTATTGAAAAACGTCGCAAGTCCCTCAACTGTTTTAAAACACGTTTTACACTCAGGCATACATTTTGCTGAATGCAAGAGCACCAAGTTCAATTTGTGTGCATAACAATGGGTAAACGTGGCTTCAGGTACCGTTTCTTTAATCTTGGCCTGCACCCCATTAAGACCTGATTCCATCACAGAGGCTCCGTCGTAAGTCTGAGCTACCAGCTTTTCAACGCAACTGTATTTCCCCAATACTCCCAAAACATAGCAATAGCCGGTGCTTGTTTGTCATCACTGACATCATCAAATCCGAAGAACGCCTCCCTCACCTCACAAGTCACCTCACTTCTAGCCACATAAGGCAACATTACAGAGACCGGGACTTTGTGACATCCGTTGTCTCGTCTACTTCGACTGCAACACATGGGGCTGCATTAATCTCCTCTTTGATATAATTTCTAATTACATCACCGACTGCTTCGATTAAATCGTTCTGTTTGGTTTGATAAGCCAGAAAACACAGTGGATGTCTCCAAATGTCTAGCTAACGTTTCATCTTTCTCAGCAAAAGCATGTAATAGCTCCAAATAGTTGCCACGATTAGGAGAGCTTGCACTCTCATCGTTATCACGAAATGCTAATTCCTGTTTGGCTAGGAAGCAGGTCGAATGAATAAGGTCTTTTAAAACCTCACGGTTTCCCTTTACCTTAACATTGTGGATGCTGATATTTAATCTCCGCTGTTCATTCAAAGACAGATCTATCCTTGAAGCTCCAAAAGTTTTTAAAACAATTTGGCTTTGAATGTGAGTTGTCGATTTTTCATGTTTGTTGAGGATCTTTGGTAGATTTTTCAAGTCACAAAATCCCGCGTTAGTCCAAACGTTGTCGGTAGTGGAGAACAGAAGGCAGGAAAAGCAGTAAAGGCGATTCTTCGTAGCACAGCCACATAGCCAGTTTTTTCGTTGGTACCACTCCATATGAAACGACCGTGTTATTTTATGTCCCTTCGTTTGAAGTAGGTCCTTAAGCTCAGGAATTGGTCTTCCAATGTTTATCACTCCCTGTTATGATTGAAACTCCAATTTTGAGAAATTTGTAAGGTTAGATATAACGTTTTCCATTTTTGCAGCCGCTGGAATTTATTTTGCTAGAGCTGGCTAACGTGAAGGGAGAGCGAGCGGCAATTACGTGGGCTCAAGACACGCCGCCCTCAGTGAGGCTGATGCGATAGCTGCCTCCCCTGGTGCTTTTTCATTGCAGTTTCATGACGCACATACATGAAATAAGTTACCTGGACTATGGAAGGTGAGGACATGTAATGAAGGGGTCTATAAACATTACATTGGTGATATACTGAGATAGTAACAGGCACGTGCTTATTGCCCGCGCTCCATCCAGTTTCTGAGGGGTTGCGCAATCAGAGGGGAGGTTGAACTCGTCGCTGCCTCGCCTCTTGTCTCTCCCTGTATTTGCAGCAGAGCTCTGCAAATTAGGCGATTTTGACTAGAAAAAAATTATTGGAATCATATAGAAATGACATTTATAATCTAGATTTGAAGTTTTCGTGACTGCAGGGATCCATACTCTGGTTATTTCGCTAAAGTCACGTAGGTATAAAAATTAAATAAATTAAATTAAATCACGACGTTTCGATCGCAACACAAGCAATCATCATCAGGTGGGGAAACCACAGCAAGAAAATGTATAACAGATCAGTGGAAAAATCTTAATATTTATTTTATGAACTTTCCGTAACAGCTATTTTCATTGGAGTTTTACAGGTGAGGCTCTGCCTCCCCTGAGCGCACGTCCCTGCTTACTATACAAAGTGGTGCTCTTATTTTATCGACTGCTAGCGGGAAGTACCCGGCGTTGCCCGGGGAGAAAACATACTTCAAAACTTCTCAAAACTTAAAAACACAACATATACAAATGAAAAGAAAACTTTGATCATTATCTCATTAATTTAAATAAAACCGAACGCGCGGTGGAAAAAAACTCACGCTCGCGCGCCATGTTTCGATTCTTTAAATCGCGCAAAGGAATCGAAGGTTGTAGATTCCTTTTGAATCAGCCTATTCCCGTTTAATCGATACCACAAAAGATCACCAAATATCGATTCTCGCCAGTGCTGTATGCGGGTTGACGCCACACACTTCATGCTCATCCCCCCCCCCCCCCCAAAAAAAATACAAAAGTCTATTTTTATACTTTATGAATTGTGTACAGTCTGGAAGCTACCCACATGCCAAATTTCAAGTTTGTAGCATGTTGGGAAGTATGCTAAACATTTCCAACGGACAATCACAAATTTCCCTTTTATATACTGTATATAGAAAGAAGATAGATTAAGACGGCTAATATATATCGTTACTTTATCGCAAATGCCCGCTGCGCGCGATAGGGGGACATTCATTTAGTACGCACGCAAAAATCTGTCAAAGATTGACCCCCCCCCCCCCACCTGCGTATGTTCGCCTGACGCCCCCCCGCATCCGAAAGAACGGCCGATATTTAATCCACGTAGAAACGATAAAGGATTACTAATATTAACGTGTTTAAGCAAACAGATAGTCCACCGTCGGACTATCTAACTCATTTGAAGGCCAATGTAGACAAATTATCGAGGCTTCACCCCCCCCCCCCCGCGTTTCCTATGCGTACATTGTCAGTAGACACCCCATACGCAAGCGTACACATTTTGGTTAAACCCCCCTCCATGCGTACGTACTAAATGGATGTCCCACATGGGTTTCCGTTCAAGAGTTCGCCCATGGCCTAGTTTACCCGCGGAAAGCCATACGCCTTTCCTAGTATTCTCCCCGTGGCAATGAGGCATCTGTCCGGGGCACGAGAGCGAGAACATCTTATCAAAGTTGCGCGTTTAAAATAAACAATAATACATTAAGCACGCGGTAAAAGATCGCCAACTGAAACAAATATATCAGTTAACGCGTGGCGAGGTAGAATATTGTAATGTTGCTGTATTTACCGTAACGGTTTTTGCTTCAATTCCGTCCGAATGTTAAAGATTCCCGCCTTATCATCCTCGTCGTCGACTCTGCCGCTTGTTTTTTTTTCGCTGTCTTCCAAGACGAGTCAGAACCGGTCGGATCTTCCGGTGGTGATCTTCCGTTTTCGGTAGAGGGCCGAATTGCAATTCATTAGCGTGGTCGCGTTTTATTTAGTATCTACCGCTACCGGTAGACTTATTATTCCGGAAGTAGGGAGGGAGAGGGAGGGGGTGTGACCACGTGGTCATAATCATCCAACCACAAAACGCGACACAACAACTCCGGCGAGTCAACCAATGGCGTGCGCCGTAACGAGTGGGACCAACACCCCATTGAAAAATAAATCAAATAATAAAAGGTGGCTTATACGCGACTCTCCAGTAATTTCAATAACTTATTCATCACGATCGCTGTATTTCACACGAGTGTGTGTGACATTGTTTTAAATTCAGAGCAAACACGAAATTTGTTGCCCGTAGGTGAATGATATGAGGCCAGTTGAATTGCTTGGACACTCATCTCCTTCGATAGCTCAGTTGGTAGAGCGGAGGACTGTAGAGAACACTCGCTGTTGAAATCCTTAGGTCGCTGGTTCGACTCCGGCTCGAAGGAAGATAATTATTTTTTTTTAGAAAAACTATATTTTTAAAAGTACCCTTATATTAAAAATATATATAAAAGGTGTAGATGCAGTCTTTCATTTTTCTTTCTCATTTGCTTGCTCACGGGCATTTCTGAATGTTATCTTTCTGGAGAAGGCATTGCTCGCGAAAACGCCACTGCGGTGGCAGAGGCTATGAGAGGGAGGCAACTATATAGAGACGTAAAGTCTCGGCGAAGTCTAGGAATACCCACACTTTACCCCACCGCCACCTGCCGATCAAAGACTAACTGTGGCTGGACCCATTTATATTGCTGGGTAAACAAAGGTTCGGAGGAAGTTTATGCAAAAAATCTACTTAGCACCATTGTTTCAACTGGCGCGCCGCCTTGAGATGGAATCCAACCGGCGTCCTCGAGTGCGCTGACGATTTACATCACTGTGGCAGCATTACCATGGCAATTGCTGCACAAGCACAACTCACAATAAACTCCAACACATTAGTCAATAACACTCTGGCCTACATTTTCAAAAATCTATATACACATTATTTGGGTCTTTCGGTAAAGTCACGTAGATAGGTTCAAATAATATAGTAATAGGTTTTTACCCTTTTACCTGGCAACAAAACTGACACCTTTATACAAGGGATCATGTTTGCATTAACCACAACACTTGCGGTCAAAATGCAAACAAAAAGACAACTTCTTTGGTTCTTTCGGTAAAGTCACGTAGAATGAGAATAAAATAATAAATTGATAAAATAAAATAACACAATAATATTCTCACGACGTTTCGGCCACAACACAAGCGGCCTTCATCAGGTGAAGGGACGAGACTGTCTGGTAGGACAGCGCTGGAGTGAAAGAGCCACGTTCAGATCACGGCCTTTAAGCTGTGTGAGAGGAACAAAGCGCCCTCAGGGCGAGGAACAAAGCGCCCTCAGGGCGCTTTGTTCCTCTCACACAGCTTAAAGGCCGTGATCTGAACGTGGCTCTTTCACTCCAGCGCTGTCCTACCAGACAGTCTCGTCCCTTCACCTGATGAAGGCCGCTTGTGTTGTGGCCGAAACGTCGTGAGAATATTATTGTGTTATTTTATTTTATCAATTTATTATTTTATTCTCATTCTACGTGACTTTACCGAAAGAACCAAATAAGATGAATCATTGCAGTCACGAAAGCTTTAAATCGAAAAAGACAACTGATAATGCATGCCAAAAGGCGCCATCTGGTCCAAAACCATGTGAGACTAGGCTCTAAGAAAAGCTGTCTCGGGTGTGGACCAATCAATTTCAAGGACAGTGCATACATAATCAGAGTTGTCTTTTTGTTTGTATTCTGACCGCAAGTGTTGTGGTTAATGCAAACATGATCCCTTGTATAAAGGTGTCAGTTTTGTTACCAGCTAAAAGGGTAAAAACCTATTACTATATCTTGCTACTGGCAAAAAGGAGGTCTCATTATGTAAGGTTCAAAGAAAATAACAAAAAACTACGTTTCGATCACAACACAAGCGGTCGTCATCAGGAAAAGGGGGGTTAGCTTCTAAAGACAACTGCTTATAAAGGTTTGAAATGTGCATAGCCCAAATGTCAGCAGCCAATGCCAATGCAAGTGGTGGGCAGCGACCGCGGCGGTGGTGGGCTCTCCACCAATCAAAGGGCTGCCGGGAAAGAAATAGCATGTCAATGCAAGATCGTCGAGCATCCTCCACGGCGAGCGTGCCAAGGTGGCTATGTCAATGTAAAAAGATTAGCATGTTACTGGCAGATCGTGAAGCACCATTGCAATCATTGAAGATTTTGTCCAACAAGGACTGAATCCTGATGTACCGGCCCTGGTGAGACACTGCCTCACCAACACTTACTTCACTTCAAATGGAACATTCTACAAACAAGTTGAAGGTACCCCAATGGGCTCTCCCTTATCGCCAGTTGTAGCCAATGTTTTCATATAAAGTTTTGAGACAGATGCCATCCAGACATCCACTCTACGTCCGTCCTTGTGGAAGAGGTACGTAGATGATACGTTCGTCATCTGGCCACATGGCCGATCAGCTCTGAACCAATTCCTCAGCCACATCAATTCCATACACCCAGCCATCAAATTCACCATGGAGGTAGAAAAGGATGGCAAGTTACCATTCTTGGATGTTTTATTCGAAAAGAGACCAGATGGCTCAAAGGGACAAACTGTCTTCATGAAAGCCACCAATACGGATGCCTACCTAAAACCTGACTCCCACCACCATCCAGCCCAGAAGAATTCCCTCATCAAAACTCTACACCATAGAGCTTGATGTATTTCTGACCATTATCACCTAGCCAGTGAACTGGAACACGTACACCAAGCTCTCAAGATACAATCCACAAAGCTATCACCCCCACCCGTGGGAAAGAACCATCTGAGGACACAATCAAAACCATCACCTTGCCATACATAGCAGGGGTCACCAAAAATATTACCAAAATCATGAACAAAAATCCTGGTTCGATTAAACACAGTACATAAAATTCGTGATCTGATCGCATCTGTGAAGGATGTGATCCCTAACATGCAATACCCCGGCGTCTACAAACTAAGCTGTGTCTGCGACAGTAGTTACATTGGGGAAACTAAGCGACATGTCTCGGACCATGTTTGTGAATATAAGGCAGATCTGAAACATGGTAGGACCAATACCTCGGCCGTGGCTGATCATTGCTTTAATACGGTGGGGGCTCACACGAAATTGATTTCTCTAAGACGAAGGTACTTTGCAAACCCACTGGCTATCAACAAAGATTCGATCATGAAGCCATCCATATATATAGACACAGACACAATTTCAACCGAGAAGATGGGTACGAACTGAGCAATCATTTGAAGGACGTTATTAACCAGTTTAAGTCATAACTGGCTGTGATGTTCCCAGCCTACCACCTTCCGATGTTAGTTGTTATTTTCGGCTCTCTGATTTTTTACATTAACAGATTAAATTTCTCACCAACACAGCTACCTCGCGCGTCATCCTCGAGGCTGCTGCTTCACGATCCCTAATTAACATGTTAATCTCTTACATTAACATAGCCATCTTGGCGCACTCGCCGTGAAGGATGCTCGACGATCTTGTATTGACATGCTAATTTTTGCCTGGCAGCCCTTTGATTGATGGAAAGCCCACCACCGTCGCGGTCGCTGCCCACCACCTGCATTGGCATTGGCTGCTGATATCTGGGCTACGCCCATTTCAAACCTTTATAAGCAGTTGTATTTCGAAGCTAACCCCCCTTTTCCTGATGGCGACCGCTTGTGTTGCAATCGAAACGTCGTTTTTTGTTATTTTGTTATTTTCTTTGAACCTATCTATGTGACTTTACCAAAAAGACCCAAAGAATATGAATTCCTGCAGTCACGAAAGCTTTAAGTCTATATACAAAGTTACGTGCTACGAAGGGTCATTGCCCGGAACGTTTCCTGCTCTATGTTTGATTTTAAGGCAATGTTGTTGACGAATATGTTGAGCGGAGTTTGTTGTTGTTTCTGCCTTTGCACCACTGTCAACGCAGCAGTATCACCAAACAATTTGCCTTAAAAGAAAATGTATTTAATAGGCGACATTTCGGGCAACGGTTCCCTATATGCATAGCATATAAATAGTCTACACTGCGCAACTAGAGAGCTCGAACAAAATAAGAATTCGTTGGCACTTGAGTACAGTTGTCTTGCGACGGATGCTAGGAATGTCGTGGCAGGACAGGAGAAGCAATGCAGACGCCCGGAAGAGAATATGGCAGGTGAGCAAGCCGAGTCAACTCACGCGCTGGATGGCGGCTATGCTGCACGTGGCTGCTGACTTTAATCCAGCACTGTGCAGGCAGCAGCGTGGGTTGGTGAACCACACAGATGTTGTATAAACTCACTTCCTGTGGGCGTCGAGGAGGTTGCTACACGACCCTGGCTCGCCACGAGAAGGCGGTACGGCAAAGTGTGGGTGAATCTGCATCTGCTCCGACTTCGCATGGGCGTCAAAGAGATGCCATAACCCTGGCTTGCCATGGCAAGGGGGTATACAGCGAAATTTGGGCTAATCTCCATCTGTTCCAACTCCCTTCCTGTGGGCATCGAGAAGGTGCGGACTCCATCTGTTTCATTTGTACGGGATACAGTGTTGCCCCCTCACATGCGTGTGTTTTTTCTCCGGGTGCTCGTATCCCACTAACCTCACCCTACCTGTATATGCACTCATTCATTGGTTGAAAACATCTTCATAAAAAAACGAAAATTCAAGACCCTGCTAAAAAAAGAGTAATGAGACTCAGTGGGGTTTTTCTGGGTTAATAACTAACACCTTTGTAGTGACATCGGGGATGTTACTGTATGGTACCGGCCCGGAAGGGCCGTGGCGTTCGATGTTCCTACGTCGCGGACGGCACCGGGTGGGTTGCTGTGTGATGCCGGCTCTAGCACAGCACGGCGTGCGATGCACCGTCATCGCGTACACCCCGTAGGTGGGTGGAGTAGTACCAGCCCTAGTGGGGCTTGGTGAGCGCTGGGATAGCGCGGGCACCACGCATTGCGTGCAGTGCGGGCTCCCACAACGGGGGAGTGGGAGAGTGTCAGCCCAGGTGCAGGGTTGCCCCTGGCTATGGCACTATAGTTGACCCCGTAGACACGTGATCCAGAGTGTCCACAGAGAGGGACCCAGGTGGGGTGGCTAGGGGGTGATCACGTGTCCAGGGAGAGCTCTCGAGGGGGATCGAGAGGGAGCTAGAACGCTCGAGAAGGCGGGCGGGGCCGAGGGCTGAGCGGCCCCGACCCCGGAGGGTATAAGGAGGGTCCCTGAGGGGGACCGGAGTCGCTTCGTTCGACAAGCTGGAAGCTCCACGTCTACAAGCTGGAAGCTCAACGTCCTACGAGGCATCAACACGTGGCCGGGGACCCGAGTGAGGGTCCGACCCTTCGTAGCTGCAACTCCTACGTATAGTGTAGTTAGCTGGGTGGTCACCACCCCAGGCTGTATCTGGTAAAGGGACAGTTATCCCTTCGTATATACGTTTTACAATAAATGTGTTGCCTCTGAAGAATAACGTCTGCGACTCAGTTGGACTCACTACACCTTTAATTATTATGTTTTGTGATGGATGGATGAGGGCCAGTTGCCGAGACAGACATTTGAGTGTTCTCCCATGAGACCTCAGAGCAGATTAAGGGGTACTGTGAGAGCAGAGTTTACGGGTATTTTTGTGAGTCTTTGGGTTTTTGTGTGAGTCTATGGGTCTCTGAGTCTATGGGACTCTGTGAGTCTACAGGTCTCCGTGTGAGTATATGGGCCTCTGTGAGTCTATAGGTCCTTGTATGATTCTAAGGGTCTCTGTGAGCCGATAGGTTATTGTGTGAGCCTAAGGGTCTATGTGAGTCTATAGGTTTGTGTGAGTATATGAGTCTCTGTGCAAATCTTTAGGTCTCTATGTAAGTCTATGAGTCACGGGTCGGATTAAATTAAGTCGCGGCTTATATGGGGCGAATGCAACTAAGTCATGGGTCAAGGGTCAGATTAAATTAAGTCATGGGTCGTATTGAATATTTTCACGGGTCGTATGGAATTTAGTCACGAGTCGCATGAAATCAAGTGACGGGTCGTATGGAATCTAGTTGCGGGTCGCATGAAATCAAGTGACGAAGTGGCATGGAATCTAGTTGCGGGTCGCATGAAATCAAGTGACGGGGTGGCATGGAATCTAGTTGCGGGACGCATGAAATCAAGTGACGGGGTGGCATGGAATCTAGTTGCGGGACGCATGAAATCAAGTGACGGGGTGGCATGAAATCTAGTTGTGGGACGCATGAAATCAAGTGACGGGGTGGCATGAAATCTAGTTGCGGGACGCATGAAATCAAGTGACGGGGTGGCATGGAATCTAGTTGCGGGTCGCATGAAATCAAGTGACGAGGTGGCATGGAATCTAGTTGCGGGTCGCATGAAATCAAGTGACGGGTCGTATGGAATCTAGTTGCGGGTCGCATGAAATCAAGTGACGGGTCGCATGGAATTTTGTCGCGGGTCGCATGAAATCAAGTGACGGGTCGCATGGAATTTTGTCGCGGGTCGGGTGAAACCAACTCACGTGTTTGTCCCAGGGGTGTTGCTGCTGCCGCTATTTGCCGCGTGGTTTATTTGCCCCCACCCACCTATGACGCACTCGCCCCACTGTGGGCCCGGCCCTGCGATATTCCGCCAACACAAACCCCGTCTGGCGGTGCGGCGCGCGTCTCCTCCTTCCCGCTTTGTGCGTCTTCAGTGCCTGTACATCGAGACGGTAGTACAGTACTTTGTCACGCACTCTCATCACAAGAGGATAATTCGCTCGTGTGTGCACGCCGAGACACGCGTCTAGACTCTCTACGTGCGTGCGCTTTGGATTTTCACGCGATTATTTTTTTTGCCATCGTAATTTAGATAACATTCATTCCGCTGCAATAGCATATCGTATAAGGGGCATATATATATGCGTTAAAATACATATATTTACTGAGCTAGATTCCTATTCAGGTTGTTGCTTTCGAGTGAGAGAGTCTGCTGCTGCTTCTGTCTGAGATATCAGAGGTGACGGCGGTGGAGGAGTTCGAAGGTTTTGGGTAATAATCAACAACGTCGTCGTCAACTCGTCTGTATTCAGCACGTGTGTGATGTGTACGTGTGTACTGTGTGGTGTGTGTGTGTACTGTGTGGTGTGTGTGTGTACTGTGTGTAGTGTGTGTACTGTGTGGTGTGTGTGTACTGTGTATACTGCCTGATCTATGTTGTCTGTGTACTGTGTGTGTGTATTGTGTGTGTGTGTACTGTGTGATGTGTGGTGTGTGTACTGTGTGGTGTGTGTAGTGTGTGTACTGTGTATACTGCCTGATCTATGTTATCTGTGTACTGTGTGTGTATTGTGTGGTGTGTGTGTGTACTGTGTGCGTACTGTGTGTGCTGTATCGGTACTTTATGTTGTGAGTGCAATCTGTAACACGTGTACTCTGATGCACATGCGTTTGTTCTGTATGTACTCCCCCTTGCTTATGTGTTGGGTACTTTATATTGCGTCTGTATACTCTGTTGGTGTGTACTGTGTACTCGGCTGTGTGTGTGTACTGCTTACCCTAATTTGTGTCTGTTTATATCTTCCCGGTTGTGTGTTGCATGCACGTATGGTGTGTATGTGTGGTGTGTGTATGGTGTGGTGTGTGTGAATGGTGTCTGTGTGTATGGTGTGTATGTGTGGTGTGTGTATGGTGAATGGGTGTGTGTATGTATAGTGTGTGTATGTATAATGTGTGTCTGGGGTGTGTATGTGTGGTGTGTGTATGGTGTGTATGTGCGGTGTGTGTATGGTGTGTGTATGTATGGTATGTGTGTGTGGTGAGCGGATGGTGTGTTTGTGTGGTGTGTGTGTGTTGGGTGTATGGTATGTGTATATGGTTTATGTGTGTATGGTGTGTGTGTGTATGGTGTGTGTGTATGGTTTATGTGTGTATGGTGTGTGTGTGTATAGTGTGTGTATGGTGTGTGTGTGTACTGAATGTACAGTATTATGTGCACATACTGTCCTGCTGTTTGTGAATGTTTGTGTGCTTGTCTGTGAACGGACCGTCCAGTAAACACGCCAACGTTAGCATGGTTTTTGGAAGCGATGAACCAACGTATGTTTACTGTGTGTGTACTCTGCATGTACACTCGACAAAGACGTGTGTATGTATGTGGAACATTTCTCGTACCGTACGTAGCCAACCCTGCTAATGTGTGTGTAATCTGTACACTCACTGTACTTTAAAACTGAGTGCAAATTGCCCAATTTTGTGTACTCTGCGTATTGTGTGTGAGTACTCTGCAAGTACGTACAGTGAGGGAAAAAAATATTTGATCCCCTGCTGATTTTGTACGTTTGCCCACTGACAAAGAAATGATCAGTCTATAATTTTAATGGTAGGCTTATTTGAACAGTGAGAGACCGAATGACAACAACAAAAATCCAGAAAACGCATGTCAAAATGTTATGAATTGATTTGCATTTTAATGAGGGAAATAAGTATTTGACCCCTCTGCAAAACATGACTTAGTACTTGGTGGCAAAACCCAATTTGGCAATCATAGAGGTCAGACGTTTTTCTTGTAGTTGGCCACCAGGTTTGCATACATCTCAGGAGGGATTTTGTCCCACTCCTCTTTGCAGATCTTCTCCAAGTCATTAAGGTTTCGAGGCTGACGTTTGGCAACTCGAACCTTCAGCTCCCTCCACAGATTTTCTACGGGATTAAGGTCTGGAGACTGGCTAGGCCAGTCCAGGACCTTAATGTGCTTCTTCTTGAGCCACTCCTTTGTTGCCTTGGCCGTGTGTTTTGGGTCATTGTCATGCTGGAATACCCATCCACGACCCATTTTCAATGCCCTGGCTGAGGGAAGGAGGTTCTCACCCAAGATTTGATGGTACATGGCCCCGTCCATCGTCCCTTTGATGCGGTGAAGTTGTCCTGTCCCCTTAGCAGAAAAACACCCCAAAGCATAATGTTTCCACCTCCATGTTTGACGGTGGGGATGGTGTTCTTGGGGTCATAGGCAGCATTCCTCCTCCTCCAAACACGGCGAGTTGATGCAAAAGAGCTCCATTTTGGTCTCATCTGACCACAACACTTTCACCCAGTTGTCCTCTGAATCATTCAGATGTTCATTGGCAAACTTCAGATGGGCATGTATATGTGCTTTCTTGAGCAGGGAGACCTTGCGGGCGCTGCAGGATTTCAGTCCTTCATGGCGTAGTGTGTTGCCAATTGTTTTCTTGGTGACTATGGTCCCAGCTGCCTTGAGATCATTGACAAGATCCTCTCGTGTAATTCTGGGCTGATTCCTCACCGTTCTCATGATCATTGCAACTCCACGAGGTGAGATCTTGCATGGAGCCCCAGGCCGAGGGAGATTGACAGTTCTTTTGTGTTTCTTCCATTTGCGAATAATCGCACCAACTGTTGTCACCTTCTCACCAAGCTGCTTGGCAATGGTCTTGTAGCCCATTCCAGCCTTGTGTAGATCTACAATCTTGTCCCTGACATCCTTGGAGAGCTCTTTGGTCTTGGCCATGGTGGAGAGTTTGGAATCTGATTGATTGATTGCTTCATTGGACAGGTGTCTTTTATACAGGTAACAAGCTGAGATTAGGAGCATTCCCTTTAAGAGTGTGCTCCTAATCTCAGCTCGTTACCTGTATAAAAGACTGGGAGCCAGAAATCTTTCTGATTGAGCGGGGTCAAATACTTATTTCCCTCATTAAAATGCAAATCAATTTATAACATTTTTGACATGCGTTTTTCTGGATTTTGTTGTTATTCTGTCTCTCACTGTTCAAATAAACCTACCATTAAAATTATAGACTGATCATTTCTTTGCAGTGGGCAAACGTACAAAATCAGCAGGGGATCAAATACTTTTTTCCCTCACTGTACACTCTGTACTCTGTACTCAGAGTGTACTCTACACACACGCTCCACAGTACAGTTCAGTGTATACGGACTCCGCTTAATGTGTGCATATGGGGCCGTCCATAATTGACGTCACGCGATTTTGGACGATTTTTCACCCCCCCCATCTTCACACGGCGTCACAAAAAGTCAGACCCCCCCTCAAAATATGACGTCATGAAGCTCTGCCCCCTCCCCCCAAAAAATATATAAAACATGCTTCAAATCGCTTTAAATTATTGTCATTGTAGTGCGTATTTAATGTGGCGCTCCACTCTGATGTTGTAGGAGAAAACATTTATTAAAAAGTATATTTAATTAAGTAGAACGTGTTTATATTGATTTAAAGTTGCACATTTTGATGTGACGTCACATTTCTCAAACCCCCCCCCTTGTCACAAATGTCTGACCCCCCCCTCCCTATGTGCGTGACGTCATTTATGGACGGCCCCTATGCACTCCCCTGCATTTTGTGTGCTTGTGTTTTTGGCTATTGTGTTCTGTATGCTAGTGTGCTGCGTGTTTAAATGTGCTTATTTAGTGCAAATGCAGCCTGCTTGTTCAAGTTTATTTTGTTTCACCAGGTGAGACCAGGATGGAGTCTTATTTGCCAGAGCCATCTGGGGTACTGGTCTGCCAGCAGGGGCCGATGATTAGTGGCCCCTAGCAGGGGACATGGGGCAATTGAAGGTGCCTAAGACGTAACAGAATACACAAGCAGGCAATATTGTCTCATTCTCACATATCTATCTCCACGTAAGACACATAAATATGCATGTATGTATTACACATCCTATCAGCCCCACGGACCTTTCTGGGAGTGCATCATTTCGGCAGCATTGATTCAGAGCAATTAAAACAAAAACTTTGGACCAGTTTCGACATTCAGCATCCCATCGGCAGAGTCAAGCTTGACCAGCATTGATTTAAGCAACCGCCAGATGTTTATAGGTAATGGCCCTTCCCCTGTTAGACACCGGTACTAGTTTGACGCAACACACAACGCAAAAAAAATATCCTCAAGTAAATTTCGATTTAAAGTTTCGTAACTGCAAGGATTCATCTTCTTTGGTTCTTTCGGTAAAGTCATGTAGAATGAGAATAAAATAATAAAATAACACAATAAAATTCTCACGACGTTACATTGAAGCTCTGTCATCCCGTCAGGTCTGTACCTTTCACCTGAAGACGGTCGTTTGCGTTGTGGCCGAAACGTCGTGAGAATTTTATTGTGTTATTTTATTATTTTATTCTCATTCTACGTGACTTTACCGAAAGAACCAAAGAAGATGAATCCTCAGAAGTAGTTCAGTGATGTCACCTCTCACGAACTGTTCCCTTTCACGCAGCAACGTCATACCAGGTTTTTATTTTATTTCGTGAGAGCCACGGATGGAAATGTCTTCCTCTTGGGACAGTGTCGCTGGCACACCTGCAATTATAATTGTGGAAAAAAAATAACAAACAAATGTCAGGGTGGGTGTTAATTACAGTTGCTAAGCACAGGACCAATGGCCCCGTGATGCAACTTAGCCGGCAAGTGAGATCACTAATAATAGCACAGCAGACAGGAAATAATCAAAGACTCTACCGTGTCTGTCAAGTTGAGCAAGGTTACACGAATTCGGCAAGAAATGTACTGGGAGCAGAGTAGAACAAGAAAGATGTTTTGTCGTGGTGTTACACAGTACGGATTAGCAGCACGTCCTTCCGGCGAGATGGAGCGATGAATTAGCAAGCTAGGTGGAGTATCACATCGCCAGATCGTGAGAGGCGGTGGCGGTGACTGCTTTGGAAGGCTGTCATCCAGCAGTGGAATGACCATGGCTGATGATATCCAGCTGTAATGTCTGGCAAATGTGTGATGTTTATTTAGTGACGTTTTGCTTCAAGGAGTTGGCAACTTTGCTCTGCATACACACGTATGTATGTTGAACTCTTTTTGCACCACCTGTAGCCAACCACGTGTATCTGCCCCTCCACCCCCCAGGGCCCTGGCAGCATGACGGGGGAAACGCTGCACCTGTCGGGGGAGCTGCGCGTGCCAGCCGGCGCTGCTCTCCCGTGCAAGGACGCCGTCTTCCCTCCGCCGACCCCGGCTTCTCCGGCCATCGGAGGGGCCGCCGCCATCGTCGCCGCCGATGACGACGACGCCGGTGGCGGCGGGAACGCGGCGGTGGTGGTGGCGTCGCCTCGGCGGAGCGGGGGGCCTTCCCCATGGCGGAGTGGGGGGCTGCCCTCCTCGGCCGGGCTGCACCCCCTGCACCACGCGTGCTTCCACGGGGACGCACGGCGCGCCCTCGCCGTGCTGGCCGCAAACCCAGCAGCACTCACTCAGAGGGACCCACACGGTGAGCGAGACCCGGGGAGGGAAAGAACTCTGTAGCTCATCGGATTCCTCCACTATAACTAAATATTCTGATTCTGAAAAAAAAATCAGATTCTAAGATGGGAAGACAGAAGGAGACAGATGGTAACAGAGAGCGATATAGAGAGATACACGGAGAGGGAGAGAGTGAGAAAGAGAAACATGGAGAGAGATGGAGAGGAAGAGAGAGACAAGAGACAGGAGGTGAACACACTCATACAGCACACAGTAGCAGCAGTGGGAAGGGATGGAGTAACCTTGGCATGAGATTTCCTTAAGGTGCCATGGGCGTGAACCTGCATGGGTGACCACCACCACAAGGACTTGCCAGGTGTTGTAGACTTAAGGGGATGTGAGGTGTGGCCAGGAGGTGGTAGAGTCGAGTGTCTCCCCCCTCGGCGTCTCTAATTTATGGTTAAGTATCCCCATGTACCAGCAGCACCCTGCTGAAAAAGAGTCTTGAGACTCAGTGAGGCTTTCCTTGGTAAATTTCCTTTCCAGAGGTGAAACGGTGGTGATATGTTAAATACCTCGCCTGGTATACAGGAGATTGTGGGTTCGATCCCGACCCTGATGCCTGTATAATTGGAGTTTGCATGTTCTCCCCGTGGATGCATGGATTTTTCTGCAGGTCCGGTTTTTCCCTCCACATTTAGAAACACGCGTTTAGAGTATTTGGCTGCTATGCATTTCCATGCGATAAGCCACTTCGTTGAGCTATCATTTGTCGCCAGGTTCTGATAAAGAGCTATACAGCTCAGTGGGCCTTATCTGCTAAAATCTAAATAGTTTTAGTTTAATTTAATTGAAGGGAGTGTTGGTGCAGTGGTGCCAGTGATTCACAAAGTACTCTATGAACCCGGGGCCATGGCTAACATCAGAGGAGAGTAATATATGAACCGGCCCTGGGTTTCCCCCGCCAAATATTAACCAAACTTTGGTGACCGTCGTGGTGAGGTACCGTCACGTTTGCACTGGGCACGCAGGGGGCAGTTTGTCCGTAGGCCACGATGAGGCCACGGGGCTCGCATAGTGGCTCTGCTGGGGAGGGGCGACTCGACTGGCAGAGCCGGAACACTGAGGAAAATCCTTTTAGCACTTTTATTTGTTTCTCTCCAAGTTTTGGGTTACGCTTTGATGAATTTGGCTGTTCTTTTTTTACAGCGCGAGTCACAAATGGCAACAGAGATTTACACGCCCGTTTTATTTATATTCTATCAAAGTTACAAGCATTATCGTGGCCCCACGGTTACAGAGAGACCGAGTTAATACTTAAACGCTTTCTACCAAGTTTTGGGTAATGCTTTTATCAGTTTGGCGTGATTGCAGTAGGGTCAGTCCTTAATAGCAACGCAGCTTCACACTAAAGTTCGATTTATATTGGATCAACTTCAAGACATGTGTCCTGCCATCCATGTTACAGAGAGATAAACGGACGGAGCTACTGCGCCAATGCTTTAAAACGTGATTTTTTTTTATATATACACACGTGCCAATTAAACACCTACATGGGGGAGATGTGAATCACGAATCAAACCCACCTTACTACCACAAGATTGTGGCGATTGACAGTGTCGAGATGTGAATTCAGAATAGATTTCTGGGTGGGTCCCGCAGCGTACTGACCGAGTGTGTGTCGTGAGTCTCGCTTCCCAGGTTCTTATTTCGAGGCCTGGATATAGTTTTCTTAGCTCTCTGACGACGCTTGGCATAGTTCCAAATGAACAAGACGTTCACGTCTGACCAGCGTGATGAAGTACGGTCAAATAAGCCCCAAACGGCTTAGGGAGGGGGGTGTCCTGTCAAGCAGACACGACTGTATTCGGACTCAAGCTGGTGCGGTTAAAGAGGCACATCGGAAGCGACTTTGGCAGTAGTTCTGTGAAGTGATCTTCTGCGGCCACACTCTGACACGAAATCATCCACTGACAGCTGCAATTGAAGTGCCTTCATGTGTTGACATAACACGCTGTTGGAGAATAATCTGCGAGGAAAAATTCATTTCGCAAGCATTTTTGCTTGCGAAATGAATTATCAGCAATCTGCTGATAAATTCTGTGCAAATTCTTTTTTACGCATATGTACACACACACATTTAAAAATATATTTTCAGCTAAATAAGCGAGAGACTTTTGCTACTGACGTCTAGCGAATTCCGCGTGGGGAACTCGCGATTGCTAGCGGCTGCCGACTCAGTTCCGTCGTCGGTTTCCCTGACAAATCGAGACGTCATTTGCTGAGGGAGCGCTTCTCCTCTGGGGCGTGACGTTATCTGTGGTCGCATCGTTGAGAAAATAATTGCGCGCAGTAGACTCACACAGTGCCACCAAGTCCAGTGCGCTGTTAGTCCGTTATGCTACTACTGTGGCGTTAAAACACACAAGTTGTGAAACTGCGTCTTAAATATCTAAGCGAAGTTATTGTGGCTGGACGTTTTAAAAATGTTTTGGGGGGGGGGGGGGGGGGGTGGGGGCACGGATAAGTTCAAGGTTCACCGCTCATCTCGCTAACGGCATCACGTGTGGGAAACGGAACGACGCGGCTCGTCACGCGCCCACATCGTTGTTAAACCGCGCTCCGGGTCACATGCGGCGCGGTTCGACCTTCGCCGCGGGTGGAGAAAACGAACGCAACCACCCCCCAGGGTGATAATGATGGCAGCTGCCAGAAGCCAAATGAATGGAGAAGCCAAATGATTTTACGATTCTTTAATTGTTGTTATTTAATTTTAAAGATTACGGTGGGCACAGTAGTTACTGCACGGCGCTACGAACCTGGTGACCTCAGACTCGGACTGCCGCGGTGGTGAGATGTTAACTACCTTGCCTGGTATACAGGAGGTCGTGGGGTCGATCCCGACCCTGACGTTTGCTGTATGTATTGGAGTTTGCATGTCTCTCTTTCCCTCCGTGGTCGCTTGGATTTTTCTCCGGGTGCTCCAGTTTTCCCCTCCACATTTAGAAACATGCATTTAGAGAATTTGGCTGCTATAAACTTCCACATGATAAGCCATTTCGTTGGGCGATTATTTAAAGCTGTATAGCTCAGTGGGCCTTACCTGGTGAAATACATAATAGTTTAGTCTTAGTTTTATTATATGCAGCAGTGAGGCCTCTTTGAACTAAGTGGCTCTGTTACACAGAAGACCCACATGCCAAGATCGGTTAGTAGTGGTGGCAGTTAGGGACATTGTGGTTACATAGATCTACATAGAGATCCATAGATGATAAAAATAACACTTTCATTTTATCAAGCGTCATTCATGCCAATGGCATCCCACAACACTGTACATTCATTATATATAAGGACCAAATCCCATATACTAGAGAACCCAGTTTAATCAGAGCTCAGTCTATCAGTCTGTATGTGAGTCCTATGGGTTTCTATGTGGGTCTCTATGTAAGTCTCTGGGTCCCTATGTGGGTGATGGATGACCAGGCAGAGACCATCAACTCGACTACACGAGAGAACCTGGTGTATTCACGGGGCGGTTGAACCCAGGATCACCGCTCAGTGTGGTGCCAGTTCAGCGCGTTTGACTTTGCCACATTGAAACCCCCTTGGGTTAGCCGCAGCCAGCTGTGGTTTATAAATAGTGCACTCAAGTTTGCTGAGCGCTATGCTTCGAAGAGAACGGGCCAGGTGGCTCAGAGGTCAGAGATGCTGAGCTAGCACCGCTGTCGTAGCCTGGGTTCTAATCCGGGTTTCGGCTGCGTGGCCACAGCGATAGCACCCAGGTCTCAAGTGCAGCGAGTTGATGGGCTCAGCCTGGTCACCAATGACTCGCACAGAGACCCATAGACAAACATCCCCCGTATTGCCTTAACAGACTCTTTTTTGAGCAAGTGATGTTAGGGAGCACCTATGAAGGCCGGCACGGTACACGACGGGGTGGTTGGCCAGCACAACGCCGGACTAACTTTGTCTCCCCAGTGGCGATGTTTACACACCGCACCAGTTAATCATTTAAATCCTTCTTGACCTGAGACCCATAGATGTACACGGGGACCTGCAGGCTGACATAGATAGATGCTTATAGACTGAAGGTGTTACTTAACTAGGTTGCCAAGTGTAATAGTGAGTTTATGGTTTCAGCGCGGTCAGCAATGACTGCACACAAAAACAAATAACATTATATATTTATTAATAATCACTTGGGTTGGCTTAATTCCACCCCTGAGAATAAAAACACACCCCCCATAGCAGAGTGTGTGGTGGGGGGGGTGGGGTCGGGAGGTGGAGAGGGGGCTCCCCCTACTCGTGTGAAGGGTGAGGGAGGTCACTAGAAGGCCACGCACGCGGTGGTGCACTGCTCTCTGTTGATTTCCCAACCGGTTCCTCTGTCCCGCGTGAAGCCACGACACCGCCAACGGCGCAAACTAAATAAATCGGGGAAAGGATTTAAATAAAATTAACAAAAGCGACTTCTGAGATACAGTAATGGATGAAAGTGGAGACACGGATGGTAAATTGATTTTAGTTGTATTCTTTATGTACACAGATTGATACGGTTAGAATTTGTGTTATTGTTCGACATGAACACAATTCTAAACGTATTCATTGTGTTAACGTCGTTTTGTTAATGCACGACGGACGCATCCAAGGGAGCTGACTCACCGCGCTAAATGAATACGTTCGCAATTGTGTTTACATCATATGTTATCACGATATTAACGCAACTCTCAACACATTAGCATGTGTTAGCGCACAATCTCGGCGTGTAGCGGTGTCCATGGTTCCACTGCTGTCGCAGGCGCTGTCCGGCGCGTAACCCGGGCTGTCCCCCGCATGTCATACGGCCAAGATGTCCGACGTTTTGCAACCACGTGCCGGCCGGGGGGCAGGATTTTTCTGAAGAAGCTGCCAGGCACGTGGAGTGGAAACGTCGTCAGCCATTGCCTAACGGCCGCGCGGTAACATCCGCGATGCGGCGTCACACCTGGAGATTGTGTTCCTTTCACCGTTGCTAATATGTGGCCAACACGCGACTGACACGCGACTAACACGCGACTAACACGTGACGGCGTCTGTGTTTGTGGTCAGGAAACACTGCCCTGCACGTCGCCGTGATGCTGGGCAATCGAGGTGGGTGCTGCTGCTGAGCGTTCCAAGTCTCTGCTGTGTGTGTAGCTGTTGGTGATTGAGCTGTTGGTGGTTGAGCTGTTGGTAGTTGAGCTGTTGGTAGTTGAGCTGTTGGTGGTTGAGCTGTGTGTGGTTGAGCTGTTGGTGGTTGAGCTGTGTGTGGTTGAGCTGTTGGTGGTTGAGCTGTTGGTGGTTGAGCTGTTGGTGGTTGAGCTGTTGGTGGTTGAGCTGTGTGTGGTTGAGCTGTTGGTGGTTGAGCTGTTGGTGGTTGAGCTGTTGGCGGTTGAGCTGTTGGTGGTTGAGCTGTTGGTGGTTGAGCTGTGTGTGGTTGAGCTGTTGGTGGTTGAGCTGTTGGTGGTTGAGCTCTTTGTGATTGAGCTGTGTGTGGTTGAGCTGTTGGTGGTTGAGCTGTTGGTGGTTGAGCTCTTTGTGATTGAGCTGTGTGTGGTTGAGCTGTTGGTGCAGCCAGCACCACACATGCCTGGCCACCTTTGTCTTCCTCCTGCTGACATTAATTCACGGACTTTGCTACTTGGTGCTCATTTTAGGCTGAGTTAACCTAGTGAACGCGCAGGCCCAGTTTCATATACGTACCACCGTAATAACGACGATGTTCCCACATAGAAAGATATAAATACATTAACTGTTGGGGCAAGTGCTAGTTAGTGAGCACCTACAGCGAGGGAAAAAAGTATTTGATCCCCTGCTGATTTTGTACGTTTGCCCACTGACAAAAAAATGATCAGTCTATCATTTTAATGGTAGGTTTATTTGAACAGTGAGAGACAGAATAACAACAAAATCCAGAAAAACGCATGTCAAAAATGTTATAAATTGATTTGCATTTTAATGAGGGAAATAAGTATTTGACCCCTCTGCAAAACATGACTTAGTACTTGGTGGCAAAACCCTTGTTGGCAATCACAGAGGTAAGACGTTTCTTGTAGTTGGCCACCAGGTTTGCACACATCTCAGGAGAGATTATGTCCCACTCCTCTTTTAAGATCTTTTCCAAGTCATTAAGGTTTCGAGGCTGACATTTGGAAACTCGAACCTTCAGCTCCCTCCACAGATTTTCTATGGGATTAAGGTCTGGAGACTGGCTAGGCCACTCCAGGACCTTAATGTGCTTCTTCTTGAGCCACTTCTTTGTTTCCTTGGCCGTGTGTTTTGGGTCATTGTCATGCTGGAATACCCATCCACGACCTATTTTCAATGCCCTGGCTGAGGGAAGGAGGTTCTCACCCAAGATTTGACAGTACATGGCCCCGTCCATCGTCCCTTTGATGCGGTGAAGTTGCCCTGTCCCCTTAGCAGAAAAACACCCCCAAAGCATAATGTTTCCACCTCCATGTTTGACGGTGGGGATGGTGTTCTTGGGGTCATAGGCAGCATTCCTCCCCCTACAAACACGGCGAGTTGAGTTGATGCCAAAGAGCTCCATTTTGGTCTCATCTGACCACAACACTTTCACCCAGTTATCCTCTGAATCATTCAGCTGTTCATTGGCAAACTTCAGACGGGCATGTATATGTGCTTTCCTGAGCAGGGGAACCTTGCGGGCGCTGCAGGATTTCAGTCCTTCACGGCGTAGTGTGTTACCAATTGTTTTCTTGGTGACTATGGTCCCAGCTGCCTTTAGATCATTGACAAGATGCTCCCGTGTAGTTCTGGGCTGATTCCTCACCATTCTCATGATCATTGCAACTCCACGAGGTGAGATCTTGCATGGAGCCCCAGGCCGAGGGAGATTGACAGTTCTTTTGTGTTTCTTCAATTTGCGAATAATCGCACCAACTGTTGTCACCTTCTCACCAAGCTGCTTGTCAATGGTCTTGTAGCCCATTCCAGCCTTGTGTAGGTCTACAATCTTGTCCCTGACATCCTTGGAGAGCTCTTTGGTCTTGGCCGTGGTGGAGAGTTTGGAATCTGATTGATTGCTTCTGTGGACAGGTGTCTTTTATTCAGGTAACAAGCTGAGATTAGGAGCACTCCCTTTAAGAGTGTGCTCCTAATCTCAGCTCGTTACCTCTATAAAAGTCACCTGGGAGCCAGAAATCTGTCTGATTGAGAGGGGGTCAAATACTTATTTCCTTCATTAAAATGCAAATCAATTTATAACATTTTTGACATGCGTTTTTCTGGATTTTTTGTTGTTATTCTGTCTCTCACTGTTCAAATAAACCTACCATTAAAATTATAGACTGATCATTTCTTTGTCAGTGGGCAAACGTACAAAATCAGCAGGGGATCAAATACTTTTTTCCCTCACTGTATTAAGGTCAACACAGCACATGATGTGGTGGTGTGGCTGAAATCATGCCCATCCGCTTATGTCTCTTGAGTGCTTATATTGTTTTTATACACGACAAGTTAAAATGTCACTGGCAGCTGACGTTAACTGTGGGTGGGAATCGACCTCGGATGACCGAGTTTGTAGCGCACTGCGCTAACCGCTACGCCACTATGCATGCTTAAAACATTCGCCACAAAGTGGCAGGTGATGTCATCACAGCACTTGTGCCAGTCTCTTTGCACCTTAAGACCACGTGAAGTGTCGAAGGCAAGCTGCTGGGTCGACATTCACGGGAAGTTAGTTTCATAGTGCGATCCACCAACCGTCGCTGCCTCGAGTGCTGGATTACAGGCCACGTGCAGCATAGGCTCCTCCGCTCCTGAATACACACACAAAGGCCCACATTACACACGTTGCTTGTGCCATGGTAGGTACATGCAAATAGACAAAGATCCCCCATATAGCCTTAACAGACTGTTGCAGCAAGTGGTGTTAGCGAGCACCTATGAAGGCCAGCACGGCACACGCCCGGCCGCCTTTGTCTCCCCAGTGGCAATGTTTACACATCGCACCAGGTACTCGTTTGAGGCTGAGTCGACCTAGGGGAGGCCCAGGACCGGTTCAGATAATCGTCACCGGTGTTGGCCGTGAGCGAAAATCGAACCCGGGTCGCCAGGTTCGTAGCGCAGCGCGCTGACTACCGCTCCCACTACCGCTCCCACACACAGACACACTCGCATACACACAAGCGTACCCATAGACGTACACATACACACACTTAACCTTTCATGTTCGTGTCATGACCACTCGTACCAGACTAGGTGCACCCACCCACGTGCCACACTGTGGGGGCTGGCTAGAGCCCCCCCCCCCACCCCTCCATCTCCGTGGTGACGTAGTGGCCGGGTTACATATTTCCCGGTTGCGCCGGTTGCTAGGTAATGGCGGTTGCTAGGCAACGCGCTGCTCCGCCGTGGTCTATAAAGCATTGGCGAGCCACTGACGCTCGGACGCAGTGTGGGGGGGGGTCAGCACTGCTTAAAGCCCTAGGGGGCAGGCAGGACAACGTGTGATGTCTGCGTGTGCGGTGTGTGTGTGATGTGCGTGTGTGATGTGTGTGTGACGTGTGTGTGTGTGTGTAGTGGTTAGCGTGCTGCACTACGAACCCGGCGACCCGAGTTCAATTCCCGCTCATGGCCAACACGAGTGATGAATATATGAACCGGGCGTGGTTGCTGGCCACACCATCCGCTCGTGCGCCATGCCGGCCTTTATTAGTGCTCGCTGACAGCACTTGCCCTAACATTTGAGGCTACATGCGAGGTCTTTGTGGTTGTGGTGGTGGTGGTGTAGACTGCACCAGGGTTCTGCTGGCTCACAACGCTCCGGTCAAGTCCCGGAACGCACAGGGATGGAGTCCCCTGGCCGAGGCCGTGAGCCTGGGACATCGGCAAACGAGTGAGAAGCCAAAACACAACAACACAAAAACAATATAACAACACAGCAAAATCAACAACGCCAATAACAGCAACACGACAACACAATGACAACGGCACATAACAAAACGACGACAGCAACAATAACGGCAACAACAATATCAATTTGTTGTCGTTCCCCTGCACCTCCGATGAGCAGGGTTGGCTACGTACGGTGCGAAAGAAGTTCAACATACATACGTGCAACAATAACACAACAATAACAACACAGCAACACAACAGCATCAACTCAACAACACCAATAACACCAACACAACAACACAATAACAACACGACACCATAATAACAGCACAACAACAACACGCGGCAAAATCGTGGCGGCCACCGCTTTGGTCGCCACGCCGTCGCCGTAGCGACACTACAGTCCATCGCACACCACAAGACCCGCAATCGTCGGAGCTTCCGCAAAATATCATCTTGTCGCGATGATCATCATCATGATCACGATCCATGGGCAGATCGCCTGTAGGTGTCCACACATTTCGTCGCGATGATCAGCGCTCGGGTAATTTTCTAATATGTTCGTCAAAATTTCCTGGCTGAAATGTAGTGTCCCCGGTTATCGTTGTCTCTCTCTCTCTCTCTGAATCACCCCCCAACCCCTACCTGCCCCCGCCACCCCCTTCCCCCTTGCCGTCCGCCGTACTTCAGTCGCATCGCTCGTGAGGAAGTACAAGCTGCAGTCGCGGGAGAGCGCAGAAATCCGCAGGCCTCGCCTCCTCAAGGCCATGCAGGAAGTGAGACTGAGCAAGGGCAGCTGCACCAGCACGTGAACGACACGTGAACGACACGCACACGTGAACGACACGTGCACCTGACCCGCACGCATGCACCTGACCCACACGCGTGCGTACGCGAGTGAACACATGCCACCCCTGCGTGTGGAATTCGCGCCATTCCTCTGGCACAAAGTCGCTGTGTTTCGCTCACGGCCACCGACGATTATCTGGACTGGTCCTGGGCCTCCTCCCCTATGTTGAAACTTCCCCACGTAGCAGGGCACGCCTGAGAGAGAGTCTCTAGACTTGGTGTATTCGTACGTACGTGTGTGTATTGTACGTAGCCAACCGTGCTAATCGGAGGTAGGTACAGAAGAGGCGCATGTACAGGCAACACTGTGAGCTCCAGGGCTATTTAAAAGGTCTGGTGCCTCAGGGGGGATAAAACTGTTTTTAAGCACCAGACATTCACCTCTGAGATCCTTGATTCGAATCCGTGTTGTATGTACAGTGAGGGAAAAAAGTATTTGATCCCCTGCTGATTTTGTACGTTTGCCCACTGACAAAGAAATGATCAGTCTATAATTTTAATGGTAGGTTTATTTGAACAGTGAGAGACAGAATAACAACAAAAAAATCCAGAAAAACGCATGTCAAACATGTAAAAAATTTATTTGCATTTTAATGAGGGAAATAAGTATTTGACCCCCTCTCAATCAGAGAGATTTCTGGCTCCCAGGTGTCTTTTATACAGGTAACGAGCTGAGATTAGGAGCACACTCTTAAAAGGAGTGCTCCTAATCTCAGCTTGTTACCTGTATAAAAGACACCTGTCCACAGAAGCAATCAATCAATCAGATTCCAAACTCTCCATCATGGCCAAGACCAAAGAGCTCTCCAAGGATGTCAGGGACAAGATTGTAGACCTACACAAGGCTGGAATGGGCTACAAGACCATTGCCAAGCAGCTTGGTGAGATGGTGACAACAGTTGGTGCGATTATTCGCAAATGGAAGAAACACAAAAGAACTGTCAATCTCCCTCGGCCTGGGGCTCCATGCAAGATCTCACCTCGTGGAGTTGCAATGATCATGAGAACGGTGAGGAATCAGCCCAGAACTACACGGGAGGATCTTGTCAATGATCTCAAGGCAGCTGGGACCATAGTCGCCAAGAAAACAATTGGTAACACACTACGCCGTGAAGGACTGAAATCCTGCAGCGCCCGCAAGGTCCCCCTGCTCAAGAAAGCACATATACATGCCCGTCTGAAGTTTGCCAATGAACATCTGAATGATTCCGAGGACAACTGGGTGAAAGTGTTATGATCAGATGAGACCAAAATGGAGCTCTTTGGCATCAACTCAACTCGCCGTGTTTGGAGGAGGAGGAATGCTGCCTATGACCCCAAGAATACCATCCCCACCGTCAAACATGGAGGTGGAAACATTATGCTTTGGGGGTGTTTTTCTGCTAAGGGGACAGGACAACTTCACTGCATCAAAGGGACGATGGACGGGGCCATGTACTGTCAAATCTTGGGTGAGAACCTCCTTCCCTCAGCCAGGGCATTGAAAATGGGTTGTGGATGGGTATTAAAATGCAAATCAATTCATAACATTTTTGACATGCGTTTTTCTGGATTTTGTTGTTGTTATTCTGTCTCTCACTGTTCAAATAAACCTACCATTAAAATTATAGACTGATCATTTCTTTGTTAGTGGGCAAATGTACAAAATCAGCAGGGGATCAAATACTTTTTTTCCTCACTGTATGTGTAGTGACTCTCGGACAACTTGAACTGTAGAGGTTTTTTTATTTATTATTTAGGGCGTTTCACGCAGATAACTTGGCGAGGAATGACGCGCAGATAACTTGGTCAGGGATGGCACACAAGTAGCGACGACGCGAAGACACCGACGGCCCGAAGACGGCGATGGCGTGAAGACAGTCGACGCCGATCCCACGGCAGCCCTGAACTTCGCCTCTCGCTCCTTTTTATTCCCAGCATGGCCCTCACTCCGTCCCAGGCCGCACCTTCTTTCTCGAATCCTCTAGCACGTTGCCGAACATCCCAGATGGTTCCCCTCTGTAATTACCCCTCGTGACCACTGGCCCACGTACTGTTCCTGCACCCGCACTGTCTCCACACATGCACTGTCCCTACATCCGCACTGTCTCTACGTATGTATGTTGAACTTCCTTTGTACAGTACGTAGCCAACCGTGCTAATCGGAGGTGCGGGTGAAGGACTACAAACTAAACACAAAAAACAGTTAGAAAGAAATTCATTTTCAATCTAGATTATTTTAAAATTCCTAGCTCTCAGTGGCTTTATAATGTTGGAAGGAAGAGCATTCCAGACGGCCGCAGAAGCGCATCTGAAAGCGTGTGTGGCTTGCATGGGTAAATAGGTAATTACTGTGATGATGATGATAACGATGATGTTGATAGAATTGACGCAATGTTGTGAATTTTGTGTTTCCAGCTCGGAGACTTTTACCTGGAGGTTCACTGGGACTTCCAGAGCTGGGGTGAGAACCCAGTAAACACGGAACGTTGGGCCAACATTAGACCAATGTTAGACCAATGTTGGCCCAATATTGGCATGTGGATTGAAAAGATCGCACAAAGATCACACGGAGCTTGAGGTGCATGTGATTTGTTTTTGACTTGGAGTACTTTACATCATAAGCGTGCATTTATATGTTTTGATTGCGTGTTTGTGCAGACTCGCGTGTGCTCGTGTGGTTGTGCGTGCATGTGTTGTTGCGTGTATGTGATTGTGCACCTGGCCTGGCACAGGCGCCGTGGTGACGTCAACGGCACTTAATGGCGAATGGCAGGCATTGGTATTGGTATATGATTGTGTGATTGGGGAGTAGTGGCGCAGCGTGCTACGTTAGGAACTCGGAAACCTGAGTTCGATTCCCGCTCGCAACTAACATTGGTGATGAATATCTGAACCGGTCCTGGGTCTCCCCTAGGTCGACCTGACCTTAAAGGAGTACCTGGTGTGGTGTGTTAAGCATCATGGGGACACAAAGGTGGCCAGTTATGGTGCTGGCCACCCACCAACTCACAGCACTTGCCCCAGCAGTCTGTTAAAGGCTACAGGGGATCTTTGTCTTTTTATAATTGTGCGTTTGCGTGATTGTATTTTGGTGTAATTGTGTGTTTGGACAATTGTGTGACATGTGTATTTATGTAATTGCATGTTTGTGTGCACACGTGTCTGTGTTTTTTTTGCTAAATGTGTGCTTGTACGTTCGTTAGCGATTGTGTATTCGTGCGTTTGTGTGTTTGTGCATCCGTGCGATTATGCGCCAGTGTGATTGTACGTCTGAGCGATTGTGTGTTCATGCAATTGTGTGTCCGTGCGATTGTGTGTTCGTGTGATAGCGTGTCCGTGCGATTGCATGTTCGTGCGATTGTGCGATTGTCCGTGTAATTGTGTGTTCATGCAATTGTCTGTCCATGCGATTGTGTGTTCGTGTGATAGCGTGTCCGTGCAATTGCATATTCGTGCGATTGTCTGTCCGTTTAATTGTGTTCATGCAATTGTGTGTCCATGCAATTGTGTGTTCGTGTGATAGCGTGTCCGTGCAATTGCATATTCGTGCGATTGTCCATGCGATTGTCTGTCCATGTAATTGTGTGTTCATGCAATTGTGTGTTTGTGTAATTGTGTGTTCGTGAGAGTAATGGCACGTTCCGTGACTCCTGCAGTGCCGCTCGTGTCCCGAATGCTGCCGTCGGATACTTGCAAGGTCTACAAGCACGGAAGCAACATAAGGTGCGCGAGCATCCGTGGTCGTCGTCACATCTCGTTCACCCACTCACGACTCTCTTTCACGAGGATCCCTGATACGTTTTTTTTCCAAAGCAGGGGGGTGCGGTTTCCCCCTTGAATAATATGCAGTGTAATTTTTTTCAAACTCGACGGCCTACGCCCCTTCGGGTGACGTCCCAGGATGTTTGACGTACCGCCGTGAGCAAAGGGGGCCGCGAATACGGTTTGTACGCATGGTGGTCTGCCTGATTCCAACCGTGAGCCTCTGCGACGATCGGCGAACGTGCTTGCCGGCTGGGCCACGTGTGTGTATGTAGCCAACCGTGATAATCACAACCGCCACGCTGCTCCCACTGCGGGGGAAGGACACGGCACAGACGCGCCAAGCGTGCAAACGCGTCGAGCGCGTGCGAATGCGTCGAGCGCGTGTGAACGCGTCACCCGTTCTAGGATGGACACGACGCTGATCGATTTCAGCGACATGAAGTGGCAGCGGGGTGACCTCAGCATCCTGTTCGGTGGAGAGACGACGTCGAGCCAAGCGTTCACCGTGCTCGACAACAGCAGTCGCGTGTACCAGCGCATCCAGTACAAGGTGCGCGTGACGCTCATCACACCACCACGCTGCTCCCACTCTCATCACACCGCCACGCTGCTCCCACTCTCATCACACCGTCACGCTGCTCCCACTCTCATCACACCGCCACGCTGCTCCCACTCTCATCACACCGCCACGCTGCTCCCACTCTCATCACACTGTCACGCTGCTCCCACTCTCATCACACCGCCACGCTGCTCCCACTCTCATCACACCGCCACGCTGCTCCCACTCTCATCACACCGTCACGCTGCTCCCACTCTCATCACACCGTCACGCTGTTCCCACTCTCATCACACCGCCACGCTGCTCCCACTCTCATCACACTGTCACGCTGCTCCCACTCTCATCACACCACCACGCTGCTCCCACTCTCATCACACTGTCACGCTGCTCCCACTCTCATCACACCGCCACGCTGCTCCCACTCTCATCACACCGCCACGCTGCTCCCACTCTCATCACACCGTCACGCTGCTCCCACTCTCATCACACCGCCACGCTGCTCCCACTCTCATCACACCACCACGCTGCTCCCACTCTCATCACACCGCCACGCTGCTCCCACTCTCATCACACCGCCACGCTGCTCCCACTCTCATCACACCGCCACGCTGCTCCCACTCTCATCACACCGTCACGCTGCTCCCACTCTCATCACACCGCCACGCTGGTCTAACTCGCCATATCCTCTGGCTTGCCAGGAGATGGCAGTACAGCAAAGTGTCCCCCACCCTGGCACGCGTGGGTTTTTCTCCGGGCACACCGGTTTTCTGCCGCACGTATAAACATTCATTGTTTGGCTGAAACCACCTCAATATATAGAGGACCGCAGAGCTTGGGCGATTGTTGGTCGTGTTTGGTTGTACTTCCCCCACACCTCTGATTAGCAAGGTTAGCTACGTATGGCGTGAAAGAAGTTCAACATACATACCATGTAGCTGGTTTAACAGATTTGCTATAGCAAATTTGCTGTAGCAAATCTGTACATGGAAAACTTTGAAACAAGAGCACTTGCCTCGAGTACATTAAAACCATATTTTTACTTTAGATATGTTGATGACACTTTGGTTGTCTGGCCACATGGTAAAGATTCACTTAATGATTTTCTCAATCATCTCAATGCACAAAACCCGGCCATCCAGTTCACCATGGAAATGGAGGTGAATAACACACTCCCATTCCCTGATATTTTGCTGGTGGCCCGGGTCATCGCCAATCGATTCAACTGTCGGCAGTGGTGGAACATGCTTGTCAACAAGAACACTCAATTGATTTTGATAACGTTGAGGTGTTGTGTAAAACTAATTATTACTGGCCGAGACTAATTAGAGAATCCATTGAAATTGAGAGAAATACAAATAACTTTAATCGCTCTGACAGCTACAGGCTTATTGCAGCCTGGAAGCGTATTATTAAATAAAATAAATTACAATTACAATTCCTTATAGGGGAAACAAATACTAATTAACAACAATTGAATGATTACCAATATATTATATAATTACAATACCCTCCTCGCTGCCTCAAATCACTGCACCTAATTGGGTTGAATGATGACGTCACCGTGCTGCTCTATTTTAGACCGGGAGCAGGTGGAGGGCTTCACCATTCTGGCAAATTGCCCGATGATGCTGGGAATGTAATTACCAGCGAAACATCATACTCAAAAATTGTAAATGTTGATTCAAGTAGTGAACTGTTTGTCTTTTGTAAACGTGACACATTTTTACTGTTTGGCCGTGTCGGGTGGTGGAGGGTTACGACACATTTATAAATAACGCGATCTAACCCAAAACACCTTTATTACGAATACCATGTAGCTGCTGCTGCTGCTTTCCCGCACATTTGTGGTCCCTCCTCCTGGCGCCTCTCAGTCGTCCTCTCCGTCTCTCTTTCTCCACGGGAGCAAAGAGCGAATGCCGTCTGTCGGGTGCGGTGTTACGAGTTGAAGTTGTTACTGCGAGAGCCAATTTACCATGTCCGTATTGGTGATGTATCTGTGCGGCCCCCAACCGGATAATCAGGACTGATTGGTTCATACTGTCTCTGCATGGACGATCTGACCAGGGTTTATCAGGTGTTGTAGACGTTGCGCTGCGAGATATTGTCAGATGGCGGTACGTACATACGCACACACGCATGCACATGTGTGGTGGGATTTACTCACGGTTCTTTGAATTTCTTCCCTTAAGTCGACTCAGTTTTATAAAAAATTAGGACTGCCTGGTGCAAAGTTGAAGCAAAAAGGCAGCCAGGCGTGGTGCTGGCTACCCCCACCCCCTCGTGTGCCATGCCGGCCTTCATGGGTGCTGCTTGCTATACAGCACTTTCCCCAACAGTCTTTTAAGGCTATACAGAGAATCTTTGTCTTAGTTGTGTATTACTAAGTGTAGTTGTGTGTATGTCTGAATGTATATGTGTGTCCATATATGTGCGCCGCGCCGGCCTTCATAGGTGCTCACTGACAGCACTTGCCCCAACAGTTTATTAAGGCTATATCGGGGATCTTTGTCTGTGTCTATGTCTGCTGGAACAGGACGCTGAGGTGGACACGGAGGAGGAGGTGGATGCTCTGATGAGTCGCGACATCGTGTCCATCACAATGTCCACCAAGAACATCAGCTTCCACCGTGCTCACTCTGGCTGGCTCTTCTCCAAAGGAAAAACGGTCTGTGTTTGCGAATTGACTCGCCTCTGCCACAGGAATGCAGAATGGTCACCACGTCTGGCTGAAGGCACCATCGATATGGTTTTAGTGTCATCCACTAATCCTGCATATACCAATAATAATGTACACAGCCTCTGTCTGCGCACTGTTGAATGAAGGCCTTTCCCACCGTGTATCGATCATACTTCACGCTGGTTATTGCAAGTTGGTGAAGTGTCTCCCCTCTTTCTCCCTGTGTCTCTCCATGCCGCCCAGTGTCTCCTTGTCTCTCCCTGACTCTCCCTGTCTCTACCCGTGTCTCCCCGTGTATCCCTGGCTCTTCCTATCTCCCCGTGTCTCTTTGTGCCTCACCGTGGCTCCCCTATCTCCCCGTGTCTACCCGTGTATCCCTGTGTCTCCCCATGCCTCCCCGTGTCTCCGCGTTTCCCCAGGAGCGAGTGGGGGATTTTGTAGGGGAGCTCTTCTCCATCTCCGGGCTGTGTCTTGTGTCGAGGAAGCGCCGTGAGCATCTCACGGAGAGCGACGTGCAGCGCAACAAGGCCCTGCTCGACAGCCTACGGCAGGGGGGGGCGCCCCCCCACCCCCCCGCCCTGGTGTGGCCCGCACTCACTCAACCTATCCACCAACACATTCACACACTCACCCACTCACTGACCTATTCACGCACTCGCCCACGTACTCACCCAACCAACCTTCCACTTATCCACTCGCCCACCCACTCACTCACTCACCCACTCACTCATTCACTCACTCATCCATCTTGTCTATCCGTCTGTATAGCCTACTGTGTGTCTAGTCATCTGGAGTCAGAGCAGGTGGAGCTTAGTCCACACTGCTGTATCGCCTTCTCCTGGTGAGCTAGGGTACCGCTCCTTCTCAACGCCCACCCACAGGAAGGGATTTTCATGACATCTGTGTGGTGATCCACGAACCCCCACTACTGCCTCCACAGCCTGGAGCACTACAGGCAGCCACGTGCAGCAGCGTAGCCACCACCGCCGGCTGTGACAGACTTGACGTTGATCGTCAACGAGAGTAATTGGGCTTGGGGCAAGACATGTCAAGGCTAGATGGCACCATCCTCCACGGTTGAGACTCATGATGCGAAGGGGCAACCAGAGGAGGCAGCCGTGCCTGTGAGGGGGCAACCGCCGCAGGAGATGGAGCGATAAAATCGTGCGCAGGTGCCAGGTGGATTGCTGCATGGCTCGACCGTGAGTGGCGGTGATGGATTGAGGTGGGGGTAGGCCTTCATCCAGCAGTGGATATATTTCATTCTCTTCCCTACCCTCTCCCCTCCACTCTACAAGGTCGCACAAATGAACCGCAATACCTCGCTGATCTTGTCAAGGAGCACCATCACGCAAACTGCGGTCATCCTCGCAGCAGCAGCAGCAGCAGCTTTTGGCTGGAAATTGAACAAAGACGCTCACAGCATCACGCGCTTTTGGATGCGCTTCTGCGCATTAGGAAGCCACTGGAGCTATGAACTTATAAATCTACATTGAAAACTCGATTCTTTAGAACTGCTTTTTGCGTTTAGTTTGTTGTCCTTCCCCCCACACCTCCGATTAGCACGGTTGGCTACGTACGGTGCGAAAGAAGTTCAACATACATACATCCACTCCTTCCTGTCCCTCCCCTACCCTTTCGTGAAGTAACCTCTATCGCTGTCACCCTTTCCTCAATCCTTCTATGCCCCTGCCATCTACATAATTTTATTCGGCCACCGTTTTATAAACTATGTCGAGTGCCTCGAGTGAAGAAGACGTTCCGTAAATAAAAATATGAAATAGAGTAAGAGAATGTTAACCCACACGACACCTTAATGGAACTGAATGTTGTAATTCTGTGCCGTCGCCCCCCTCTACCCCGCCGCCATGTGACACATTCCGCCAATCGCAGCCCAGCAAACGGGACTCTTTGGCCCCGCCTCCAAGCTGCACCGTCCAATGGGAAGACTACATCGCAGCGGAGCCTGGAAGGTAAAGGAGTGTTTGTGGATTACATTTTTTTAAATCTGAAACTTTAACTTATGATGATGATAGTGAAGGCGATGTCGGGAGAGATGATGGGGGATGAGGGAGGCCTTCATCCAGCAGTGATATTCATTGTTGTTACACTTGTTTACCCAGAAAGGCCTCACTGAGTCTCAAGCCTCATTCTCAGGAGGGTCCTGACAAGCCTTCTCAGCAGGAGGCGATGTTGCTCTATGTAATCCAAAATGAGTAAATTTGTGCACAATGAGGGTGATAGTAATGGTGATGGTGTTGATGATGATAATCATGGCGATGATGGTGATAGCGATGATGTTAGTATTGATGATGATCATGGTGATGATGATCGTGTGACAGTGATAACAATGGTCATAGTGATGATGATCATGTGACAGTCATAACTATGATCATGGTTATTATGATGTGATAGTGATAACGATGGCAGTAATGGGGGCATCGCGGTGGCGAGATTTTAACTACCTCGCCTGGTATACAGGAGGGCGTGGGTTCGATCCTGATCCCGATGCCTGTATATTTGGAGTTTGCATGTTTTCTCTGTGGTCGTGTGGATTTTTCTCCGGATCCTCCAATTTTTTATTCCACGTTTAGAAAAAACGTGCGTTTAGAGTATTTGGCTGCTATACATTTCCACATGAAGATAAGCCACTTCGCTTCTGAAAAATAGCGATAAAGCTCAGTGGGCCTTACCTGGTCAAATAAAAATAGTTTAATAATAGTTTAGTAATTATCTCGATTTCGGCGATGATCGCGATGATGGCGACAGTCTTCAATGCCACCGCGTTCGAGTGTGGCTCGTCGCTGAACCCTCCGCCCCAAACTCTAACCCCGTGACCTCTGACCCCGCCGCCTCCGCTCCCACCCCCCTCTGCCCCCCCCCCCCCCACGCGGTGCAGACCTCCGGTTCTTGCTCGGCGTCCCATTTGCAAGGAGACCAAGAAGCATTTCCGCGCCACAGTGGCGATGTGTCCCGACTTCCCCGTCAACCTCCACCTGTGAGTCTGCCGCAGCCTCGCCACTCACCGTGCGATCGCGTCTCTGTCTTCGCCTGCTCGCGTCTGTTTGTGTGGTTGTGCAAACTTTTGAGTGCAGTATTCCAGTTGCGCATGCATGTATTGTTGTGGGGAGCAGTAGTGTAGCGGTTAACTCGCTGCGCTACGAACCCGGCGACCCAAGTTTGATTCCCGCTCATGGTCAACACCAGTGGCGATTATCTGAACTGGTCCTGCACTTCCCCGAGGTCAACTCAGTCTAAAATGAGTACCTGGTTGGGTATGTAATCATCGCCACTGAGGAGACAAATGCGGTCGGGCGCGGTGCTGATAACCCACCTCCTCATATACCGTGCCTGCCTTGATAGGTACTTGCTAACAGCACTTGCCCCAACTGTCTGTTAAGGCTATATGGAGGACATTTGTCTTTGCTGTGTATATGATTGTGTGATTGTGCGTGGGGAGCGGTAGTGCAGTATTCAGCGGCACTATGCTAAAAACCTAGCGGCCAGAGTTCGATTCCCACTCACGGACAGTAACGGTGGTGAATTTCTAAACTGGTCCTGGTCCTCCCCTAAGTCGACTCAGCTTAAGTGAGCTCCTTGTGCGGTGAGTATACATCGTCGGCGCCCGGGAGACAACGGCGGCCGGGTGTGGCGTCGGCCACTCACCCACCTCGTGTGCCGTGCCGGCCTTCACACATGCTCACTAACAGCATCCCAATAGTCTGTTAAGGCGACACGGGGGATCTTGGTCTCCGCGTGTGATTGTGTGTGAACAGGCTGCTCAATGTGCTGGAGGCCGTGGCTCCATTCAAACATTTCAGCAAACTGCGACAGTTCGTGGAGATGAGACTTCCCCCTGGCTTCCCCGTCAAACTGGGTGAGACCCCTCTCTCCCCCCCCCACCCACTCCCCTCCCTCCGTTTGGGGAAGCCTTCATCCAGTAGTGAATCAACAATCAAAGATGTGATTATTCACTATGCTTGGTTCACCCAGGAATGCCAGCTTTTCGCAGTAGAGAGCGACAACGTGTACAGTACGTATATGTGTGTGTGATTGTGTGTGATAGAGGGCAGAGGAACAATGAGTGGAGCGCCGGGCAGTTAAAACACGGCAGGTTTGCATAGTAGGTGTACAGCTAGTACATCTCCCTGTCATCTCAGTCAACCCATGGCACCTGGGTCTGTCCCGTGACCTGCCAGCGGGCGTTCAACACTTCACATGGCCTTAAAGTGCACACAGTCTGGCACAAGCGCCGTGGTGACATCACCGCCATTTAGTGGCGAATGCCGGTTGTGGTTGTTGATGGTGTGATGACAATGGGGAGCGGTGGTGCAGTGGTTTGCGCACTGCGATACAATTCCACCGACTCAAGTTTGATTCCTGCTCTCCTGCTCACGGCCTACTTCATTGGCGATTATCTGAACAGGTCCTGGGCCTCCCTAAGGTCCACTCAGCTGAATGAGTACTTGATACAGTGTGTCAACTTCGCCACTGGGGAGACAAAGGCGGTGGTGCTGGCCACCCACCTCCTCGTGTGCTGTGCTGGCCTTCATTGGTGCTCACTAACAGCACTTGCCCCTACAATCCGTTAAGGGTATACAGGGGATCTTTGTTTTTTGCGTGATTATATTGCTGACTGGACAAAGGCAGGGTGGAAGTTTAAGACATTTTCCCATTGAGTCAATGCCGTCCCGGGAGATGGAATGGAACCGGGAAGCTGCTTCGGATCGCATATCCAGCTTGCCGACCAGCACCGTTACCCCGGCACTATTACCAGAGCACCGTTACCACGGCATCGTTACCATGGCACGTGCCATGACACTGTCACCACGGCGATAGTGACTACGCCATTACGACGGTGAGGAGAATGCAGCTGATTGGCGTGGCATCTCTTCCCCCCCGCCCCCCACACAGACGTGCCGGTGTTCCCCACCGTGAGCGCCACCGTAACGTTCCGCGAGTTCCGCGCCCAGGACTCCTTCCCGCCGGAGCTCTTCCTCGTGCCGCACGGATACACCGAGGATCCGGCACACTTCCCCGACCTCTGAGAGCAACAGCTCCACTCCGTCCCACCCTCCAATCCTCCATCCCTCCCCCTTTCCCTCCCTCCCTCTCTCCCTCCATCCCACCCTTCATCCCACCATTCCTCTGCACATCACTGGCTCTCCTGTCTCCTGTCCATCTCCTCTCTCTCCCCTCTCTCTTGTCTCTTTCTCCAGTCTCCTATCTGTCTCACCCCCCTGCCCGCCACTGCCCTCTGCTGCCTTGCCACTGCCCTCTGACGCCTGCCACGTTGCCCGTCATCATGACACAAACACATTTCCCAAAATGAGAGAGACATTTCCCAAAACCCTCGTTAAAATTACACGAAAAATTAAGCGAACAAAGTACGCCGATTTCCCATATCCGTCCCTCCACGTTACAAAAGTTACAGGTAATTAAGTATATTATTTACGTGTCCCAGAAGGCCATTATTTCACCAACATTGTTTTGGGGATCGACAACTCTGGGTGGCCTTCCTCCTCATCCTGAACCTGCGACCCCCTCTCCCTGTCACACGAGTCGATATCGCCAGACGTTGGGCATCCAACATTTCGCTCCATGTGCCCCAGGGTGCTTTCGTCAGGAGCGGCAATGTGACAACGTCCGGCACGTGGAGTGAAATTGTCGGGCGTCGCGCCGAACGCTTCGATAGCGCAGCGCGACCGCAGCGCTACCGAAGCACAACCCCAACACATACCATAGTCTAACCGCAGCACAACCCCAACACATACCGCAGCACTACCGCAACACGACCAATGTCTAACCGCAGCACGACTGCAACACTACCATAGCGCTACCGCAACACTACCATAGCGCTACCGCAGCACTACCGAAACACTGCCACAACACTACTATAGTCTTAACCGCAGCACGTCCGCAACACTACCATAGCGCTACCGCAGCACTACCGAAGCACTGCCACAACACTACTAATGTCTAACCGCAGCACGACCGCAACACTACCATAGCGCTACCGCAGCACTACCGAAACACTGCCACAACACTACCATAGTCTAACCGCAACACGACCGCAACACTACCATAGCGTTACCGCAGCACGACCGCAACACTACCATAGCGCTACCGCAGCACTACCGAAGCACTGCCACAACACTACCGTAGCGCTACCCCAGCACTACCGAAGCACTGCCACAACACTACCGTAGCGCTACCCCAGCACGACCACAACACTACCATAGCGCTACCGCAGCACGACCGCAACACTACCGAAGCACTGCCACAACACTACCATAGCGCTACCGCAGCACGACCGCAACACTACCGCAGTGCGACCGCGAACGCCCACGCGGTGTTTCCTGTCTTCCCAACGTCTCTCCCCTGTCTCTCTTTGCCTCGCCTAACCCAGAATGGGAGGGGGGCTTTCCTCTCCGACTGAGAGATGAATCTCCTCATTGCGCTGAAACGTACGCAACGCGCTGTGTCTCTGTGTTTGTGTCGCGGCCCCCGAGCGCGTGAACACATTTGTGCGTGAACCCCTTCGCGTTGTTCAGAGATAACGAGAGGTGTCGCTTTCTGCGCGTCGACCGAGCCGAGAGGCCCTCGCAGAGACAGAAGCGAGGAAATTAGAAACACGTTGGCATTGCCGGGTAGAAAATATCCGCCCTCCCCCCCCCCAAGTACTCAATGAGTGCTGCTCAGGCTGATGGACATTGGTGTTTGCGGGCCATTTCCAAGTGGTAGGCCTCTTGTTGCCGTGGGCCATGTGAAGTCACGGGCCGTGTGAAGTGAAATCATGGGCCGTGTGAAGTGAAGTCACGGGCCACGTGAAGTGAAGTTACGGGCCGTATGAAAATATACGGTAATGCTAATGGAGCGAATGGGCCAGGGCAAATGGGACAGAAATATAGTGAGAAAAATTTAGATGGATGATAAAAAGAAGACGGTTCAAACGAGTTGGACAACCCCAGTGGACATGACTAACGAGATGTAGACATTCCAAACAAGTCGGTACAGATGAGATGGACGATACAGATGAGACGCACTTACTGAGACAGACTGTCTCGTTAAGGATTGGGGGGGGGGGAGGTTGAGTTGCGTGCCCCCACACCAGCATTTAATGACGAAGAGTGTCCGACAAAATGTGTATGACTGCTGTAGCCGACTCGACTAAGAGAAATGAGTAAACACGAACTTCCGCTGAGCCTCGACTAGAACTCCACAGGCCGCAAGGGCCGTCGACAGTGAGACGACGACTCGATTGCCATCGCCCGACCCAACTGTGCGAGTCTGGAGAATTAACCAAATTATTCGGTGCTGCTGTTGCATTGGCAGTGATGCACAAGCACAAAAACAAATGCAGCTCGACACACTCGTTTAGAACAACAATATGTGTGTGTGTTGCCTTTCGAAAGGGAGAGAATATAATTAGGTGATGTTTTGGGCAATGGTTCCTTCGTCACAGCGTCACAGCACGTGGAGAGAGAGGCGAAAGTGTGTGTGTCGAGTGGTTTGTGTCATTTGCGAAAGGGTGAGGTCTGGGAATCCTGACGCGTGACATTTCAATCGTTGTGCTAGAAAAACAGTAATCCCAATAACAGCTGCGAATTAGTGTAATGCAAATAGTAAATATGATTCATTTATTTTGGGGGCTAGATCATCATGTACGTGTAATGTAATTTTTCTAACAACCCTCCACCACCCGACCGGCAAGGCCAATCAAATCAAGTTTGTGACGCCGTTGGCAAAAAATATCGGTCGTTATCAAATGTTTTACGAAAGGCGTTTGGGAGAAGACGTTTACTTTCTTAGAGCGGTTTTAACAAATTACAATTATTATTCCAAGCGGTATCTTTTAAACGAAATTACGTTTAGATACGACCCAAACTTTTATTTTTTAAAATAATTTAACGGAAGACAAAAAACAAGTGGTGTCACCCGTCGAACAATCATCCGGGACCAGCAAAATTAACTTTAGCGTGTGCAGCATGGTGCTGAGTGTATTCTGGTGATGCGATGACCACATTCCAGCGAGAGGTGTTACCGGCGGTAACTCAATAACCCACATGCACGCTTTAAAGATATCCCACGCGGAGGTTTATTGGAACGCCTTGCAAATCGATTTCATTCATTATCGATTTTGTTGGGGTCAGATCGCCGCGTGAGCAAGATCCCAATGTGTCATCCACAACATCAATAAAGTTGTGACGTGAACAAACGCACTATCTTATTATTGTGCCGGCAAAAACGGCAAGTTGGTGAGCGATCAATGCACATTTAATTCTGAGGTACGGACGTTTTGCTGGTAGTTGCAAACAGCATCATCAGGTGATCGCATTTGTGATGACATCACAATTGCGATGATGTCACAATGGTGACGACATCACACTGCCGAAGGCTCAAAACTGGAGGAGATTTTTTCACGATTCTGGCTACCAATGCATGATGGTGCTTGTAATTACCCAGAGAGATGTCGCACCACATTGTGATGTGCGCGTGGATCCCCCGACGGCACACGGCCGTGCTGAAGCATTAACAAATCAGTGCTCATGTTCACGTGGAGAAGGGGTGGACGACACAACATTGGCATTCTACTCGCGCGACGATCTGACCCCCCAACAAACTGTCGGCCACAAGTGCCTGCAAGCGTTGAAATTCTATATTGCTGTCATCCTGTAATCATCTCCAAAGGTGTCCGTAAGACAAACTTGACAATTCGATCATTCTGCCGACTCTCAAGCAACAACCGCTACTGTCAACCGGACACTTTGCGATATTGTGGGTTATCGAGTTTTTATTTATTTAAGTTATTTACCGTGACACAATGTTTCAGCACGTAGGGAACAGTGAGGAGTGCTCGATGTACACCCAGTAGCGGTGTAACGAGCGTGGGCCAGGCAGGGGTGCCTTGCTCCCCCCCCCCCCCCCCCCCGGTGCCCAAAGCTTCGAGTTGGGGCCCCCTTGACAACCACCATGAGGTTTGTTTTCAGCAGTGTTGGGGCCCCACCTGATCGATTGCCGCACCCTTCGGGCTAATTGTGTAGTTACGACGCCACTGCGTACACCAGATGTGATGAACCGCTCGCTAGAACATAGACAACGCCCCGAGTGATGTAGCAGCGTAGCTCGCGATGCTCCGACCTGCCCTCGGGTTGTACAGGCGTGTGCTGTTCGGCACGATGTCCGATGTTTCGCTACACGTGGCTGGGAGTCAGCTTCTTCCGAAGTTGACTCCCCAGCACTCGAGCGGAACGTGATGTCCGACGTTTCGCTCCACATGGTTGGGAGCTTCTTAAGTTCAAGTTTCTGAAAAAGCTCCCGGAATGTGCAACAGAACGCCGGACGTCGTGCCCGTACCGCGTGTTTGTTTGGCAGTTCGGTTTCTAAAGCAGCTCCAGGCATGGTGATCGAAACGTCGGACATCGTGCTGAGGGACACGAAGTGGCATGACCCGATAGCACAATGCGGAGCCACGCGGCACAGCCATGAACACCTCCGCAGTCGTGGCACCTGCTTTAACTTTGCGCATGGTTATAAGATTAATCATATATAATATTACGATACGGTAATGATCGAGCATGCGTGCCTTATAGTGGCAATAGATACGTGAACAAATATTTAAAATTGAACTTAAAAAAATGTTACAATGTGAAGGCTTATTATAATTGTACACTTGTGTGAAATTGAATTCGGCTTACAGAAGACGTGCGTGTTGAGATTTGTATAGATGTGGGGGTGGGGGTCTATCGGAAAAATGCGCAGCCTGATTTGAAGCATGAAGATCCCTTGTAGGGTGTGGAGGGGCAGCACAATTGGTCTATCATCATCATTGATTCCCCAAGGATTTCAGAATATTATTTTCAGAATATTTATACTGGAGGAATGCGATGAGCTATAAAGCTCTTTTTCACAAATATCTAGAAGGGTTGGGTTATACCGTTACAACAAACCATTAAAACACACGATCGGAGTGCAAAGTATAGGAAAAGTCACTTTAAAAATATATATACGAATAAAACTAAACTTTTTTTTTATATCTTACCAGATAAAACCCACTGAGCTATGAGGTTATTTTTCAGAAGCGACCTGGCCACAAATGATAGCTCGCCCATGAGAAATGGCTGTCTCCCTTCTTCGCTCAATGAGAGAATCACTCCCTGCGCAGACACGTGGGTGGCACGGGAAGCCAGGCTTGGCGAGCGTGCCCCGACCGAGTCTGGGCACTCAGGGAGAAGACACTGGGGGGGGGGGGGGGTACTGAGGGTTGCTGATGAGTCATCATTTGGATGAAACTGGTCCACAGTTGTCTTAACACTTAATCACTGGCCGCCTGTCAGTCGGTCAAATTTGTCAAATTGTATTGTGATGGTGACAATGCAGTTCTGCAGGACCTGCTCAATGGTTTTATTTGCATAAGGCACACACATGGCTGGGTGTGCTTTTTACTCGTTTCTGTGCTCTGCACTTTGCGCATCCTATTAGCGGTACATTTATTATCCACCGCAACGCTACCCATTCTATTATCTGCACATTAATTAACCCTTGCAACGCCACACATCCCATTGGCGGCACATTAATCCTTGCAACGCCACCCTTCCTATTATATGCACAATAATTAACCATCGTAATGCCACGCCTGCTCTATCAGGCCACGAATTTTTCCGATCGTCCTTTGTAAGTTATGTATTTACTGTATATGCACATGGGGGGGATGTTACAAATTATGTCAGCAAGAACACGTGTTTAAAATATATATGAACAAAATGAGCTTGTAAATTTAATTTAATTTACCCTGAAATTAAATGGCCTCGGATGTGTAGAGCGTGATCTGGTCATTTGGGGGTGATGGCACGAAGCTGCGTAAAGATGCAGTCACATACCTGTTCACCCCCTTATCAATGCCCTACTTTATTACAGACCAATTCAGGCCTTATTGGTCACCCCGTGCCCTTTCAAATCTCCAAATCTCAACGTTCATCCCATAAAGTCCCTTCAGAAGAGAGAAACACACAGATGAAAACATGTTTGCCCGTATTGAAACGGCTGTACGCCCTATGGACCTGAAAACTCAATTCCCCTGTACAAGAATACTGATAAACCGTCTGGGTTGACAGGTATGCAGTCAGGACCGTCCGTATAGGGGGAGCGGGGCCCGGGGCAAACCCCACCGTGTCCCCACCCCCGACGCCTTTCAAACTAAATCCTAAGTATTACATCTGACACCACCGTGACGTCGAATCGCGGGGCCCCCAAAAGTGCGGGGCCCGGGCGGTCGCCCCAATTCGCCCTACGCTAGGGACTGCTCTGTATACAGTACTGTACACACATGGGATGTATGTGTACGTATGGGATGCATACGCGAGTAATCTCTGCTATACAGTGAGGGGAAAAACGTATTTGATCCCCTGCTGATTTTGTACGGTTGCCCACTGACAAAGAAATGATCAGTCTATAATTTTAATGCTAGGTTTATTTGAACAGGGAGAGAGAATAACAACAAAAATCCAGAAAAACGCATGTCAAAAATTTTATAAATTGATTTGCATTTTAATGAGAGAAACAAGTATTTGACCCCTCTGAAAAACATGACATTACTTGGTGGCAAAACCCTTGTTGGCAATCACAGAGGTCAGACGTTTCTTGTAGTTGGCCACCAGGTTTGCACACATCTCAGGAGGGATTTTGTCCCACTCCTCTTTGCAGATCTTCTCCAAGTCATTAAGGTTTCGAGGCTGACGTTTGGCAACTCGAACCTTCAGCTCCCTCCACAGATTTTCTATGGGATTAAGGTCTGGAGACTGGCGAGGCCACTCCAAGACCTTAATGTGCTTCTTCTTGAGCCACTCCTTTGTTGCCTTGGCCGTGTGTTTTGGGTCATTGTCATGCTGGAATACCCATCCACGACCCATTTTCAATGCCCTGGATGAGGGAAGGAGGTTCTCACTCACGTTTTGACGGTACATGGCCCCGTCCATCGTCCCTTTGATGCGGTGAAGTTGTCCTGTCCCCTTAGCAGAAAAACACCCCCAAAGCATAATGTTTCCACCTCCATGTTTGATGGTGGGGATGGTGTTCTTGGGGTCATAGGCAGCATTCCTCCTCCTCCAAACACGGCGAGTTGAGTTGATGCCAAAGAGCTCCATTTTAGTCTCATCTGACCACAACACTTTCACCCAGTTGTCCTCTGAATCATTCAGATGTTCATTGGCAAATTTCAGACGGGCATGTATATGTGCTTTCTTGAGCAGGGGGACCTTGCGGGTGCTGCAGGATTTCAGTCCTTCACGGCGTAGTGTGTTACCAATTGTTTTCTTGGTGACTATGGTCCCAGCTGCCTTGAGATCATTGACAAGATCCTCCCGTGTAGTTCTGGGCTGATTCCTCACCGTTCTCATGATCATTGCAACTCCACGAGGTGAGATTGCATGGAGCCCCAGGCTGAGGGAGATTGACAGTTCTTTTCTGTTTCTTCCATTTGCGAATAATGACACCAACTGTTGTCACCTTCTCACCAAGCTGCTTGGCAATGGTCTTGTAGCCCATTCCAGCCTTGTGTAGGTCTACAATATTGTCCCTGACATCCTTGGAGAGCTCTTTGGTCTTGGCCATGGTGGAGAGTTTGGAATCTGATTGATTGATTGCTTCTGTGGACAGGTGTCGTTTATACAGGTAACAACCTGAAATTAGGAGCACTCACTTTAAGAGTGTGCTCCTAATCTCAGCTCGTTACCTGTATAAAAGACACTTGGGAGCCAGAAATCTTTCTGATTGAGAGGGGGTCAAATACTTATTTCCCTAATTAAAATGCAAATCAATTTATAACATTTTTGACATGCGTTTTTCTGGATTTTGTTGTTATTCTGTCTCTCACTGTTCAAATAAACCTACCATTAAAATTATAGACTGATCATTTCTTTGTCAGTGGACAAACGTACAAAATCAGCAGTGGATCAAATACTTTTTTCTCTCACTGTAGTTACCATCGGTGGCCAATTACTTGAAGCGCTGCGATGAGATGACCCATGCTGGTGGATCTCGATGGGGGTAGGGAGGGGGGGCTCCTGGTTAATCCACGACCAGAAATCTATGACCCAACAATTAACCGCATTGATGTAACCCATATACACTACAATAGAATACTCGTCACATTTACACGAATCCCCTGACCGTTGCGGCTGAGAGCGCGTGGACACAACAACGCGCCAGATAGGAGGACTCTCCCGGGCGAAGTGCGAGTATCTCGCGATCAACATTGATGTCCTGACGATGGCACTCCCACTCATCCTGACGCGGTTATCTGGCTTGACCACCTGAATGTGACATTGTAGTTGTTACTCTGCATCAGCAGCCCCGGGGTCACGCACCCCCCCCCCCCGCCCCCCACTCTCACAGCAAAAGCCTCCTAACAGTGATAGGCAAGTGAAAAGGTACACCGTGGGCTTAAGTACCCACAATTTACCCCACCACATGGGATCTGCCGACCGGCTGACTGCTAACGTAGTGGCCTTATGTGGAAATGCATAGCAGCCAAATACTCGAAAAGCACGTTGATTATAAATGTGGAGGGGAAAAACTTAACCCGGAGAAAAATCCACGTGACCACAGGGAGAACACGCAAACTCTAAATATATAGGCGTCAGGGTCGGGATCGAACCTAGGCTCCTGCATATCAGGGAAGGTAGTAAACATCTCGCCACTGTGTTATTGACGAATCTGTGGAGTTTTGTTATTGGGTGCTAGCGCACAACTGATCCAACTCAGTATCACCAAATAATGTCATAACTATATAGTGGTTCACACCAGGGAGACGGCAACACGTGTATTAACAATCAAGCCCTAAACACGAAGGGGTATATCTGCCCCTTCACCAGCTAACCGAGGGAGGTATCCCCTCCGGGCTAGCTAACTCTAGCACACACTGGGTGGCGACCTCAGACCGGACCCCGGCTCGGGTCCGGGTCTCGTAGTCGGGCAGGTCTTCGCTCGGTGACGACTTGAGTCTGGCAACAGCCGCCCCACCCGTTCAGCGCTCCGGTTTATATTGTCCGTGGCGGGGCTCACTCCGCCCCTAGCCACGCCCACCTTCTCGTGCCTTCGAGAAGGACCTGGTCCCCCAGTCCCCTCTTTGGGGGCCCCCAGGCTGGTACCTCCAGTCACCAGGCCTCCGGGTTCACACAGTGCCATTGCCCCCTGTGAACCCTTGCACCGTACCTGCACTAACGTCCCCAACCTCTAGACTCTAGAGGCTGGCACTGCACGTGAAGTGCAATGCTATCCATCCTTGATTGGCGATCTCAGCCAGCCCCCGCTAGGGCCGGTACTGCATCCGCAGTGCAGGCTGTCAGAAGTGTGCATGCCGTAGATTGTGCCTCACACAGCCCGGGTCACACATCATGCAGTGGCATCCCACGATGCCACTACAGCTACACTACTACACACACGTGTCTTAGAGTTGTGTAACATTATATAGTCAAGTGATTTAGATACCAAGCACTTGTACATTTGTTAAATTGGAATTTAGTGTCATGATTCTTTAAGAGCCCCACGTGACTCCATCGTGTGATTTTAGGCTGTTGCAAAGGCGTTTTGTATTCAATTTAAAACCAACAATTCGCCACCTAATGCAATTGCGCCCTCTCGAAGCAATTCTCTCGTCCTCTCACGAACCACCAACTCCTAATTTGGAGTTGGCCAGATTACACCATCACGACAACCCATAGGGATGTGATCCATCGTTTATTTGTAATGGTTTTTTTTTTCTTCCAAAAATACATAGCTGTTTTAATCGCAGGCATGAATGGTTTGTTCCTTGGCTGCAAGGGGGTGGGCAGACCGAGAATCACTGCAAGGCCAGAATAGCTCACATTAACTAGTCACCTGCATACAATAGCAATTGGAAATATAACAGGCATGTTTCAAGCGTTAATAATTACATCTGCACATTCGTATGTGGAATGTTTAGGCTTGAACTGCGTTTTAAAGATTGTACAACATTCAAAGGCAACTGACTGGCACACTAAAACTGATTGGTAAATGAATGCCTAAATATTTCCACGATTAACAACAGGGATTGTAACAATGTTTGCGTGCTCTTTTGGGGAAGATATGGAAAAGTTTAGAAATATGCATGAAGATCCAGCAATGTAAATTAAACTACAATTTGGTAGCCAAAAAACATTTGTAAACAAATAAGTGAACACATTTATACCTTCATTTATCCATGATGATATAAGATATACAGAGGGAAAAAGTATTTGATCCCCTGCTGATTTTGTACGTTTGCCCACTGACAAATAAATGATCAGTCTATAATTTTAATGGTAGGTTTATTTGAACAGTGAGAGATATAACAAAAAACTCCAGAAAAAAGCATGTCAAAAATGTTATAAATTGATTTGCATTTTAATGAGGGAAATAAGTATTTGACCCCCTCTCAATCAGAAAGATTTTTGGCTCCCAGGTGTCTTTTATACAGGTAATGAGGTGAGATTAGGAGCACAATCTTAAAGGGAGTGCTCCTAATCTCAGCTTGTTACCTGTATAAAAGACACCTGTCCACAGAAGCAATCAATCAATCAGATTCCAAACTCTCCATCATGGCCAAGACCAAAGAGCTCTCCAAGGATGTCAGGGACAAGATTGTAGACCTACACAAGGCTGGAATGGGCTACAAGACCATTGCCAAGCAGCTTGGTGAGGTGACAACAGTTGGTGCGATTATTCGCAAATGGAAGAAACACAAAAGAACTGTCAATCTCCCTCGGCCTGGGGCTCCATGCAAGGTCTCACCTCGTGGAGTTGCAATGATCATGAGAACGGTGAGGAATCAGCCCAGAACTACACGGGAGGATCTTGTCAATGATCTCAAGGCAGCTGGGACCATAGTCACCAAGAAAACAATTGGTAACACACTACGCCGTGAAGGACTGAAATCCTGCAGCGCCCGCAAGGTCCCCCTGCTCAAGAAAGCACATATACATGCCCGTCTGAAGTTTGCCAATGAACATCTGAATGATTGAGAGGACAACTGGGTGAAAGTGTTGTGGTCAGATGAGACCAAAATGGAGCTCTTTGGCATCAACTCAACTTGCCGTGTTTGGAGGAGGAGGAATGCTGCCTATGACCCCAAGAACACCATCCCCACCGTCAAACATGGAGGTGGAAACATTATGCTTTGGGGGTGTTTTTCTGCTAAGGGGACAGGACAACTTCACCGAATCAAAGGGACGATGGACGGGGCCATGTACCGTCAAATCTTGGGTGAGAACCTCCTTCCCTCAGCCAGGGCACTGAAAATGGGTCGTGGATGGGTATTCCAGCATGACAATGACCCAAAACACACGGCCAAGGCAACAAAGGAGTGGCTCAAGAAGCACATTAAGGTCCTGGAGTGGCCTAGCCAGTCTCCAGACCTTAATACCATAGAACATCTGTGGAGGGAGCTGAAGGTTCGAGTTGCCAAATGTCAGCCTCGAAACCTTAATGACTTGGAGAAGATCTGCAAAGAGGAGTGGGACAAAATCCCTCCTGAGATGAGTGCAAACCTGTTGGCCAACTACAAGAAACGTCTGACCTCTGTGATTGCCAAAAAGGGTTTTGCCACCAAGTACTAAGTCATGTTTGCAGAGGGGTCAAATACTTATTTCCCTCATTAAAATGCAAATCAATTTATAACATTTTTGACATGCGTTTTTCTGGATTTTGTTGTTGTTATTCTGTCTCTCATTGTTCAAATAAACCTACCATTAAAAGTATAGACTGATAATTTCTTTGTCAGTGGGCAAACGTACAAAATCAGCAGGAGATCAAATAGTTTTTTCCCTCACTGTAAAAGACACCACCACCACTAGGCATTCAAATTATTAAAACATAACAAAAACACTACCCCCAGTGCCACCAATCCCATTCAAACACAAACCAAAATCAATGGTTAAATCACAAGCGGCCACACACAACACTGAATGAGTATGAATGAAAGATGCCACTTTAGAGGCTGTAGAGCAGTAGACTCGCTTCAGATGACAAATAATGACGACGAGATGGAATCGGTGATGAAAAGACGGGATCGGGTCAGAAATTAAGGTACGAGGAAGAAGGCAAGAGTGTGTCCATCTCAGGCGGACAAGCTGAAAGGCAACTCGGATGGCTAGGACATGCCACGAGATGAAAGGAAACCCGCATAGGGAGAAATTCAATGAACGTGGAAACACCAGCGCACATACCGAGAGGCAGGGCTAGAGAGAGGTGGCTCCCTCGAGCATCTCACGGTGGCGAGATGTTAACTACCTCGCCTGGTATACAGGTTGTGGGTTCGATCCCGATGCCTGTATATTTGGAGCATACATTTTCTCACCATGGTTAAGTGGATTTTTCACCAGGTCCTCCAGTTTTTCCCTCCACATTTAGAAACATGTGTTTAAGAGTATATGGCTACTATAAATATCCACATGACAAGCCACTTTGTTCAGCTATCATTTGTGGGCAGGTCACTTCTGAAAAAGAGCTATATATCTCAGTGGGCCTTACCTGGTTAAAAATAGTTGAGTTTAGTGTTAGTTTTCAAAGTGGTAAACCGACTGCAGATTGGATTTGGAGATGGTGCAGGAATAGGAAGGGATCGAGAAAAAGGATCAGGAAGACAGACTCCCACATGAGTGGGAAGAATCCCAGGAAGAATCAGAGGAGAGACGATGAGCTCTCTGTGCTTCAGGTCAGCAGAGTCTCCGTGCAGTTGTATACCCAGTCGAGTCGCTCGTTCATGGGCATCACATGGTGGCCGATCTGCAGGAGACAGGAACAGACTGTTATCTACAACCAGACCCTGGTCGTGCTGTGCTGTTATAAGAATGGGCCCGGTATGAAACAGAAGTGGGCATAAGGAACCCCCAATGGCCACGAGCGTTGGCAGCACTGTGTAAGATCAGCACGGTTGGCTACGTACGGTGCAGAAGAAGTCCAAGATACACACAAGATGTTGGGATCGGTGGGATCGTACCACTGTAGTGTGGGGAGGGACTTCAACGGCGAACACGTCCATGCCGCGACTGCTTACGCAGTTCTTGCTCTGGGAGCAGTCGACGCGCACCACAACTTTGATGTCGCGCTGAAAATAAAAGCAACACAACCGTCAATGTGTTTTTAGAACGGCTGATTTATGAAACGTTATTAGCCAATACACGTGGGAATTATTTACTGGGCAATCCAGTTTAATTCGACATGCAAAAATACACATTAAAATCTTCATGTTATTACTGCTACTTTTTTATGCCACACAAATACGTAATTGCAACGTGTCTTGATCTTGCAAGTCAAAAGGGAATATACCATCTTAATCAAGGCAGAGTGGTATTAAGGGCTTATAATGTCCTTATTAGAGTAGGAGTAAGCACTTTAGTGATCACTCCTTCATTTTTGGGATGAGATCATCAGCCAGACCTAAAGCCCTCCCTAAATTGGTTGAAAAGCACTCTATGAGACACTTCAGCATTCAGGCATTTACTAATGATGTGCTTCACTCAGATATTGACAAGGTCTGTGATATCCCCAACCTGATTACGGCTTGGGAGACCTTCAGGTACACGTTTCTCCAAATTCTTAACAAACATGCTCCGTTGGTTAGAACCGCCCACCATGGTTTGATATTTTGTATATAAAGCTCATGAAAACTAGGGACAAGGCTTGGGCATGTGCTCAGAAAAGTAATTTGGTCAATGACTGGCTAGAATACAGGATTTTAAGGAATAGATGCGTCAAAAAAATACGGCATGCAAAAAATGCCTACTTTTCCTTCACTCTCCTGGAATCACATGGAAATGCCAGGATTTTTTGGAAAACAATCAAATGTATCGAAAAGGCATCCAAAACAGACAATCTGCCCATTGAGCTTAACCGAAATTGGGAATATTTTTCAGATCCCAAAAAAATAGTTGACAATTTTAACCTTCATTTTTCTGAAGCTGGTAATCTTTTTGATAATGTATTGGGAGTCACCCCTGCTCATGCAAATCCCTACACCCTGTCCAAACATTAAACTAATTTAGTTTCCAGCCAATCCACGAAAGTAATGTTCTGAAACAACTGTCCTACCTCAAAGGGTCCTCCTCTACCGGAGCAGATAGTATTCCCGTCTTTACTCTGCTAACTGTTGGTCACCTAATATACAAACCTATAGCCCTTATTTTCAACCTGTCCATCAAAGAAGCATCAGTTCCTCTAGAATGGAAACATTCCTATGTCCGTCCACTTCACAAAGGGGGCCCTAAAGATGATCCAAATAACTACCGACCTATCTCAATTTTGTCCCCGTTGATGAAAATTTTTGAAAAATAATTGACCTACCAAATTAGCAGTTTCCTGTCCACCAACAATCTACTACATCTAAAACAATCTGGGTTCCAAAAAAATACAGCACCACATCTGCTGCATCAGACTGTCTGAATCACATTTACAGTAGCCTTGATAATAAGCAGTACTGTGCCTGTCTTTTTCTAGACCTGTCCAAAGCTTTTTATACAGTAGACCACAACACCCTGCTTAGTAAACTAAGTTGCCTCGGTTTTTCCGAAAACACAGTAAAATGGTTACAAAATTACCTCTTTTCTCGCACCCAAACTGTATTCACAGATGGTTGGAGGTCAAACAGTGTTAAGATAACAAAAGGGGTTCCACAGGGTTCCATCCTCGGCCCCCTTTTGTTCTCTCTTTATGTCAATGACTTGGGCACTGACCTGGATCATTCCAGGGTAAATCTTTTTGCAGATGACACGATACTGATTACTGCTGGACGCTCTCCGGATGACGTGATTGCTAAGCTACAGGGTGATTTCAACAAACTACAACATCAGCTAGTTGCTCTTAAACTAGTCCTAAATACCTCCAAAACCAAGGTGCTATGCTTCTCACCAGGACTAAAGCCGGAAGTTATTTTTCCCCAATTACATTCCTTAAATAATGATCAAATAGAGCAAGTCAAGATCTATAAGTATCTTGGGGTCATCCAAGATTGAAAACTGAATTTTGAAGATTACATTGATTATATTGGTAAAAAGACAAAAATAAAAATTGGTTTTCTGTATCGACACAAGCACTGCTTCCCCCCAATGTTCCGTTTGGAATTGATAAAAGCTACCATACTGCCCCTACTTGACGACTGTGACATCGTGTATAAATCAGCCCCAAGTACTGTACTGAAGAAGCTTGATTCCATCTATCACTCGGCCTTAAGATTTACATTGAACTGCCCATATAGGACTCACCACTGTGATCTCTACATTGGGTCAAACTTAACATCTCTTAATGTTCGACGGCTTGTGCACCAGATCTTATTTATTCACTATGTACTTACAAAAAAATCCCCAGACTACCTGCTGGATCTCCTCTCTGTTTCAAAAAACAAATTTGACCTCAGGTCTTCGCTCATTTACCAGCTTCACATTCCCTATTGCCGTACAAAAACTGGAGGAAGGGCCTTTGCTATTGATGCCCCCAGAGTCTGGAATGCTATTGCCAATAAACTGCAACTTGAATCGCTACCAATGAGATCTTCTCTCAAAACTGCTCTAGAGGAGTTGTACACCCCTAGCTGCTACTGCTATTCATTGGCGTAAAATAAAATGTTTCACTCCGGATGACGCTGCAAAGTATTATCTGTATTTTGATTTAGTGTGCTGATCTTAAAGGTGCATTGAAAAATTTGATACTCCGACTGATGCTTCTGTTGTTGTGGAGTAACTCATGCAGCCAGCTATGGCTCTAGGATTTGGTGTTACATGTTATTTATGTAGTTTATTGTAAAAAATCGGTCACAGTCCCTATGATCACTGTTACGTTGCAATTATGGCTTTATTTTTTGGTGATTTCGAAAACGTTTTTTGGTTTGGACATGTATGTTTTGTTGTAGTACTGAGTTAGACTGATGGCCTTAATCTAAGTTTTCTTGTGGTTGTTGTTGTTTGACTTGCATCTCACTGGGATTTTTTACAAAAAGCGTTTGTGTACGGTGCATTTTTCAGGAATATTTTGCTGTTTTTTTCATATATTTTCTGTTTGCACAGTCACATAGTCACTTTAAGATGTGTTCTTGTTCGTGTTTTTGGTGTTTTGTTTGTTGTGGTTGCACCCGATTCAAGAGCCGAATGGCTCACAGGGCTATACCAAAATAAATAAACTAAAAACTGAAACTTTTGAGATTATCTCTCTGGCCTGTGTATTTATATGCTATGAAAAACTATAACTAGTCTATTTTTATTTTACCAGGTAAGGCCACTGAGCCAAATAACTAATTATGCTGTCCCAGACAATCACAGACGTGGGCCAAAACATTAAACTAAAGCTAAACTATTTTTTATTTTGCCAGGTAAGATCCACTGAGCTATATACAGTGAGGGAAAAAAGTATTTGATCTCCTGCTGATTTTGTACGTTTGACCACTGACAAAGAAATGATCAGTCTGTAATTTTAATGGTAGGTTTGTTTGAACAGTGAGAGACAGAATAACAACAAAAAAATCCAGAAAAACGCATGTCAAAAATGTTATAAATTGATTTGCATTTTAATGAGGAAAATAAGTATTTGACCCCCTCTCAATCAGAAAGATTTCTGGCTCACAAGTGTCTTTTATACAGGTAACGAGCTGAAATTAGGAGCACACTCTTAAAAAGAGTGCTCCTAATCTCAGCTTGTTACCTGTATAAAAGGCACCTGTACACAGAAGCAATCAATCAGATTCCAAACTCTCCACCATGGCCAAGACCAAAGAGCTCTCCAAGGATGTCAGGGACAAGATTGTAGACCTACACAAGGCTGGAATGGGCTACAAGATCATTGCCAAGCAGCTCGGTGAGAAGGTGACAACAGTTGGTGCGATTATTCGCAAATGGAAAAAACACAAAAGAACTGTCAATCTCCCTCGGCCTGGGGCTCCATGCAAGATCTCACTTCGTGGAGTTGCAATGATCATCAGAACGGTGAGGAATCAGCCCGGAACTACACAGAAGGATCTTGTCAATAATCTCAAGGTAGCTGGGACCATAGTCACCAAGAAAACAATTGGTAACACACTACGTACGCCGTGAAGGACTGAAATCCTGCAGCGCCCGCAAGGTCCCCCTGCTCAAGAAAGCACATATACATGCCCGTCTGAAGTTTGCCAATGAACATCTGAATGATTCAGAGGACAACTGGGTGAAAGTGTTGTGGTCAGATGAGACCAAAATGGAGCTCTTTGGTATCAACTCAACTCGCCGTATTTGGAGGAGGAGGAATGCTGCTTATCCATCCCCACCGTCAAACATGGAGGTGGAAACATTATGCTTTGGGGGTGTTTTTCTGCTCAGGGGGCCGGAAAACTTCACCGCATCAAAGGGACGATGGACGGGGCCATGTACCGTCAAATCTTGGGTGAAAACCTCCTTCCCTCAGCCAGGACATTGAAAATGGGTCGTGGATGGGTATTCCAGCATGACAATGACCCAAAACACACGGCTAAGGCAACAAAGGAGTGGCTCAAGAAGAAGTACATTAACGTCCTGGAGTGGCCTAGCCAGTCTCCAGACCTTAATCCCATAGAAAATCTGTGGAGGGAGCTGAAGGTTCGAGATACCAAACGTCAGCCTGGAAACCTTAATGACTTGGAGAAGATCTGCAGAGAGGAATGGGACAAAATCCCTCCTGAGATGTGTGCAAACCTGGTGGCCAACTACAAGAAACGTCTGACCTCTGTGATTGCCAACAAGGGTTTTGCCACCAAGTATTAAGTCATGTTTTGCAGAGGGGTCAAATACTTATTTCCCTCATTAAAATGAAAATCAATTTATAACATTTTTGACATGCATTTTTCTGGATTTTTTTGTTGTTATTCTGTCTATCACTGTTCAAATAAACCTAACATTAAAATTATAGACTGATCATTTCTTTGTCAGTGGGCAAACGTACAAAATCAGCAGGGGATCAAATACTTTTTTCCCTCACTGTAGCTCTTTTTCAGAAGCGACCTAGTCACAAATGATAGCTCAACGAAGTAGCGTATCTTGTGGAGATTGCAGCCAAAATTCGAAATGTGGAGGGAAACACCGGAGGACCTGGAGAAAAATCCACACGTCCACGGGGAAAACATGAAAACTCCAAATATACAGGCGTCAAGGTTTGAGATCGAACCCATGACCTGTATATTGGGCGAGGGAGATAACATCTCACCACCGTGGCACCGTTGCATGAAGATGTGCGCTGTAACAGGACATAATGAACCCCGCGACTGATTGAATGATAAACTATGTTGGATTATGTTAAATCATTCAGATTAACGTTTTTTGGGTTAGATCGCGTAAATGTAAATGTGTCGTAAACCCACCTCCACCCGATGCAGCCAATTAGTAAGGCTTGTCATGTGAACAGAATATGGCAATTCGAAAAAATGCAGGATCCGGAGAAAAATCCACACGACCATGGGGGGAGAGAGAACACGCAAACTCCAAATATAGAACAGGCATCAGTGTTGGCATTGAACCCACGACCTCCTGTATACCGGGCGAAGGAGATAAAATGTCACCGTTGCCTATTCCAAGTAATCACTCGTTTAGCACTCACCTTGTTCTGCAGCACGGTGGTGATACGGCTCTCGCTGCGATGCACGTGCACCACGACGCTCTCACTGGCGTCCAGCACCCGCGCCTCCCCCTTGCCTGCCGTGGCCTCGCAGACGGCGCGGGCGAGGCGCCAGCCCAGCGCCTCCACGGGCAGAGCGCTTAGCCGTGGACGCACCTCCTCCGCGAACACATCCAGCACCAGCGGGCACGCCTGGCGCGAAAAGACATTTGCCAACATGTCAGCCCGTGCAACAGTTCCACGGAATCAAAATATTTGTTCATACTGGAGGAATCCCGATGAGCTGTGAAAGCTCTTTTTCACACATGTCCAGCCGGTAGGAGTGAATTGGAATGTTACAACAAAGTATAGGAAAGGTAAGCAAATCACGAAAACGAAGAAATTTTTATTTTACCAGATAAAGCCCACTGAGCTATTAGCTTATTTTTCAGAAGTGGCCTGGCCTCAAATTACTCTTAAGATTGATATAGGGGTTGTGACATGGCCCAGTGGTCGCGCGTTTGCTGGTTGATGCAGAGGTTCATGGTTTGAGGCCACCAGCCACCCTGGTTAATATTGCTGCGGGTGTATTAACCTAAGACTATGCGCCATCTGATTCGCTGATGTCATGGTCCCAATATACTACAAATAACCCAAAAACTACTCAAATTGTAAAATCTCAAAGCAACATCCCCATCTTCTGGCAGACTATCTGTCTGTGAAAATTAGCATCTCCATGATAGCTTTGCACATATTCTTAGTTTTTTCGGTAAAGTCACGTTGAAGAGAAACAACAAAATAACAAAATATATATAAAACAATAAAAAATATATTTTGTTATTTTGTTGTTTCTCTTCAACGTGACTTTACCGAAAAAACTAAGAATATGAATTACTGCAGTCACGAAAGCTTTAAATCAAAGCTTTGCACATGTTTACCAAAGGTACTTAGTTTTTCTATTTATTAAATTCTTATAATAGCATGTGCACATAGATATTTTGGGGTTCATGTATACATCATTATCAATTATTTGTGCAACATGATAGACTATAACAAGGCAAGGCCCTTTGTCAATGCAAAACTGGATAAAGCCCTACCCATGCTGTGTCAGTCAATGGGGTCGTTTGACCATACTTCACCAAGTTGGATCGTGCAGGTAAAGGGGGGCGGGGGTCAGAACCAGTTTAGATATCATTCAGTACTGATGTTAAACTAAACTTTATGAAACTATTTTAATTTCACCAGGTAAGGCTTACTGAGCTATATAGCTCTTTTTCAGAAGCGACCTGGCCACACGTGAAAGTCAAACAAAGTGGCAAATCGCGTGAATTTAGAGCAGCCAAATACTCTAAACGCATGTTGTTTATAATTGTGGAGGGAAAAACCAGATGAGAGAGAGACACGCATACTCCAAATATACAGGCGTCAGGGACGGGATCGAACCCACGACCTCTTGTATACCAGGCGAGGTAGTTAACATCTCATCACCGAGACGCCCATGTTAGCCATTGCCGGGTAACAAACTCAGGCAGCTGGACTCAGAGCGATGCTCTAACCACTGCACCACGACTCCAACCAAAACAACTTGTGCTAAAGAAATAAAATAACAAAAACCACAATCAACTTCCCAACAGACAGTACTGGATGTGTTTGCATGTTTCAGGGCAATGAGGATGCTTGTGTACGCACCTCATCCAGATGCAGATCCCGGTTGTATCCCATGGCCTCCAAGGTGACCCACAAATCTCTAGGGTCGCCACCCTGGTCCCTGGCCTCCATGAGCGTGAGGTCCAGGAAGCCCTGGCGGGTCAGCTCGTTTCTCTTCATGTCGAAGTTGGCTGAGTGCGCGGGAACGTGCACAGTGACATTAGCGGGCTGCTTCTGCATTCCACGCCAACATGGGGCTTCAACAACTAACATACGTACCTACATGTACGAAAACAAAATGCATGTAACTATGCACAAAATCATTGGCTGAAATCAATTCTCATTCTCATGACACACGCATCAGAATCGTTCGTATATAAATTAAATATATGCAATTTATAAGAATTGTGAGAAATGTGCTAATCTTGCATTTAGACGAATGCAGGAAACTGTACACACAAAATAGTAGTACAAATGTGACAAGAATAATAAAACAAAAACAACAAGAAAAATTCCTTTTTAAAATATAATTGTGACCACTCTATCAATGTGTAGTGACTGTGAATGTCACTGTGTGGTGCCGGGCTTACGAAGCCACAGCGGATAATGTGTTGGCATTATGTGTAGCCCGCTTACTGGGCGTAGTACCGGCCCTAGCGGGGCTTGGGTGAGCGTTGGTCAGCGCGGAGGCACCACGTAAAGTGTGCGGTGCAGGCTCCCGGTGAGGGAGCGAGAAGGAGTGTCAGTCGGCCAGGGTTACGTTGGGGCATGATACGCTGGTTGACCTGCCAACACGTGACCGGATGATATTGGAGGGGGGCCACCGGTGGACGGGGGCTGCTGGGCGGTCACGTGGTATAAAAGAGCTCTCGGGAGCCTTCGGGAAAGAGCTCGAGAGATCTAGAAGGTGGGCGGGGTGAGGCCGCTCTCCTATCTTAAAGTTACATGCTAATTTCTCACATTAACATCACTATACCCGGCCACTTCTTTATGACCCTTGGGCTACACCCATTTCAAACCTTTTAAAACATAAAGCTCTTTTTCACAAATATCTAGAAGGGTTGGGTTATACCGTTACAACAAACCATTAAAACACACGATCGGAGTGCAAAGTATAGGAAAAGTCACTTTAAAAATATATATACGAATAAAACTAAACTTTTTTTTATATCTTACCAGATAAAACCCACTGAGCTATGAGGTTATTTTTCAGAAGCGACCTGGCCACAAATGATAGCTCGCCCATGAGAAATGGCTGTCTCCCTTCTTCGCTCAATGAGAGAATCACTCCCTGCGCAGACACGTGGGTGGCACGGGAAGCCAGGCTTGGCGAGCGTTCCCCGACCGAGTCTGGGCACTCAGGGAGAAGACACTGGGGGGGGGGGGGGGGTACTGAGGGTTGCTGATGAGTCATCATTTGGATGAAACTGGTCCACAGTTGTCTTAACACTTAATCACTGGCCGCCTGTCAGTCGGTCAAATTTGTCAAATTGTATTGTGATGGTGACAATGCAGTTCTGCAGGACCTGCTCAATGGTTTTATTTGCATAAGGCACACACATGGCTGGGTGTGCTTTTTACTCGTTTCTGTGCTCTGCACTTTGCGCATCCTATTAGCGGTACATTTATTATCCACCGCAACGCTACCCATTCTATTATCTGCACATTAATTAACCCTTGCAACGCCACACATCCCATTGGCGGCACATTAATCCTTGCAACGCCACCCTTCCTATTATATGCACAATAATTAACCATCGTAATGCCACTCCTGCTCTATCAGGCCACGAATTTTTCCGATCGTCCTTTGTAAGTTATGTATTTACTGTATATGCACATGGGGGGGATGTTACAAATTATGTCAGCAAGAACACGTGTTTAAAATATATATGAACAAAATGAGCTTGTAAATTTAATTTAATTTACCCTGAAATTAAATGGCCTCGGATGTGTAGAGCGTGATCTGGTCATTTGGGGGTGATGGCACGAAGCTGCGTAAAGATGCAGTCACATACCTGTTCACCCCCTTATCAATGCCCTACTTTATTACAGACCAATTCAGGCCTTATTGGTCACCCCGTGCCCTTTCAAATCTCCAAATCTCAACGTTCATCCCATAAAGTCCCTTCAGAAGAGAGAAACACACAGATGAAAACATTTTTGCCCGTATTGAAACGGCTGTACGCCCTATGGACCTGAAAACTCAATTCCCCTGTACAAGAATACTGATAAACCGTCTGGGTTGACAGGTATGCAGTCAGGACCGTCCGTATAGGGGGAGCGGGGCCCGGGGCAAACCCCACCGTGTCCCCACCCCCGACGCCTTCAAACTAAATCCTAAGTATTACATCTGACACCACCGTGACGTCGAATCGCGGGGCCCCCAAAAGTGCGGGGCCCGGGCGGTCGCCCCAATTCGCCCTACGCTAGGGACTGCTCTGTATACAGTACTGTACACACATGGGATGTATGTGTACGTATGGGATGCATACGCGAGTAATCTCTGCTATACAGTGAGGGGAAAAACGTATTTGATCCCCTGCTGATTTTGTACGGTTGCCCACTGACAAAGAAATGATCAGTCTATAATTTTAATGCTAGGTTTATTTGAACAGGGAGAGAGAATAACAACAAAAATCCAGAAAAACGCATGTCAAAAATTTTATAAATTGATTTGCATTTTAATGAGAGAAACAAGTATTTGACCCCTCTGAAAAACATGACTTATTACTTGGTGGCAAAACCCTTGTTGGCAATCACAGAGGTCAGACGTTTCTTGTAGTTGGCCACCAGGTTTGCACACATCTCAGGAGGGATTTTGTCCCACTCCTCTTTGCAGATCTTCTCCAAGTCATTAAGGTTTCGAGGCTGACGTTTGGCAACTCGAACCTTCAGCTCCCTCCACAGATTTTCTATGGGATTAAGGTCTGGAGACTGGCGAGGCCACTCCAAGACCTTAATGTGCTTCTTCTTGAGCCACTCCTTTGTTGCCTTGGCCGTGTGTTTTGGGTCATTGTCATGCTGGAATACCCATCCACGACCCATTTTCAATGCCCTGGATGAGGGAAGGAGGTTCTCACTCACGTGTTGACGGTACATGGCCCCGTCCATCGTCCCTTTGATGCGGTGAAGTTGTCCTGTCCCCTTAGCAGAAAAACACCCCCAAAGCATAATGTTTCCACCTCCATGTTTGATGGTGGGGATGGTGTTCTTGGGGTCATAGGCAGCATTCCTCCTCCTCCAAACACGGCGAGTTGAGTTGATGCCAAAGAGCTCCATTTTAGTCTCATCTGACCACAACACTTTCACCCAGTTGTCCTCTGAATCATTCAGATGTTCATTGGCAAATTTCAGACGGGCATGTATATGTGCTTTCTTGAGCAGGGGGACCTTGCGGGTGCTGCAGGATTTCAGTCCTTCACGGCGTAGTGTGTTACCAATTGTTTTCTTGGTGACTATGGTCCCAGCTGCCTTGAGATCATTGACAAGATCCTCCCGTGTAGTTCTGGGCTGATTCCTAACCGTTCTCATGATCATTGAAACTCCACGAGGTGAGATTGCATGGAGCCCCAGGCTGAGGGAGATTGACAGTTCTTTTCTGTTTCTTCCATTTGCGAATAATGACACCAACTGTTGTCACCTTCTCACCAAGCTGCTTGGCAATGGTCTTGTAGCCCATTCCAGCCTTGTGTAGGTCTACAATATTGTCCCTGACATCCTTGGAGAGCTCTTTGGTCTTGGCCATGGTGGAGAGTTTGGAATCTGATTGATTGATTGCTTCTGTGGACAGGTGTCGTTTATACAGGTAACAACCTGAAATTAGGAGCACTCACTTTAAGAGTGTGCTCCTAATCTCAGCTCGTTACCTGTATAAAAGACACTTGGGAGCCAGAAATCTTTCTGATTGAGAGGGGGTCAAATACTTATTTCCCTAATTAAAATGCAAATCAATTTATAACATTTTTGACATGCGTTTTTCTGGATTTTGTTGTTATTCTGTCTCTCACTGTTCAAATAAACCTACCATTAAAATTATAGACTGATCATTTCTTTGTCAGTGGACAAACGTACAAAATCAGCAGTGGATCAAATACTTTTTTCTCTCACTGTAGTTACCATCGGTGGCCAATTACTTGAAGCGCTGCGATGAGATGACCCATGCTGGTGGATCTCGATGGGGGTAGGGAGGGGGGGCTCCTGGTTAATCCACGACCAGAAATCTATGACCCAACAATTAACCGCATTGATGTAACCCATATACACTACAATAGAATACTCGTCACATTTACACGAATCCCCTGACCGTTGCGGCTGAGAGCGCGTGGACACAACAACGCGCCAGATAGGAGGACTCTCCCGGGCGAAGTGCGAGTATCTCGCGATCAACATTGATGTCCTGACGATGGCACTCCACTCATCCTGACGCGGTTATCTGGCTTGACCACCTGAATGTGACATTGTAGTTGTTACTCTGCATCAGCAGCCCCGGGGTCACGCACCCCCCCCCCCCGCCCCCCACTCTCACAGCAAAAGCCTCCTAACAGTGATAGGCAAGTGAAAAGGTACACCGTGGGCTTAAGTACCCACAATTTACCCCACCACATGGGATCTGCCGACCGGCTGACTGCTAACGTAGTGGCCTTATGTGGAAATGCATAGCAGCCAAATACTCGAAAAGCACGTTGATTATAAATGTGGAGGGGAAAAACTTAACCCGGAGAAAAATCCACGTGACCACAGGGAGAACACACAAACTCCAAATATATAGGCGTCAGGGTCGGGATCGAACCTAGGCTCCTGCATATCAGGGAAGGTAGTAAACATCTCGCCACTGTGTTATTGACGAATCTGTGGAGTTTTGTTATTGGGTGCTAGCGCACAACTGATCCAACTCAGTATCACCAAATAATGTCATAACTATATAGTGGTTCACACCAGGGAGACGGCAACACGTGTATAAACAATCAAGCCCTAAACACGAAGGGGTATATCTGCCCCTTCACCAGCTAACCGAGGGAGGTATCCCCTCCGGGCTAGCTAACTCTAGCACACACTGGGTGGCGACCTCAGACCGGACCCCGGCTCGGGTCCGGGTCTCGTAGTCGGGCAGGTCTTCGCTCGGTGACGACTTGAGTCTGGCAACAGCCGCCCCACCCGTTCAGCGCTCCGGTTTATATTGTCCGTGGCGGGGCTCACTCCGCCCCTAGCCACGCCCACCTTCTCGTGCCTTCGAGAAGGACCTGGTCCCCCAGTCCCCTCTTTGGGGGCCCCCAGGCTGGTACCTCCAGTCACCAGGCCTCCGGGTTCACACAGTGCCATTGCCCCCTGTGAACCCTTGCACCGTACCTGGCACTAACGTCCCCAACCTCTAGACTCTAGAGGCTGGCACTGCACGTGAAGTGCAATGCTATCCATCCTTGATTGGCGATCTCAGCCAGCCCCCGCTAGGGCCGGTACTGCATCCGCAGTGCAGGCTGTCAGAAGTGTGCATGCCGTAGATTGTGCCTCACACAGCCCGGGTCACACATCATGCAGTGGCATCCCACGATGCCACTACAGCTACACTACTATACACACGTGTCTTAGAGTTGTGTAACATTATATAGTCAAGTGATTTAGATACCAAGCACTTGTACATTTGTTAAATTGGAATTTAGTGTCATGATTCTTTAAGAGCCCCACGTGACTCCATCGTGTGATTTTAGGCTGTTGCAAAGGCGTTTTGTATTCAATTTAAAACCAACAATTCGCCACCTAATGCAATTGCGCCCTCTCGAAGCAATTCTCTCGTCCTCTCACGAACCACCAACTCCTAATTTGGAGTTGGCCAGATTACACCATCACGACAACCCATAGGGATGTGATCCATCGTTTATTTGTAATGGTTTTTTTTTTCTTCCAAAAATACATAGCTGTTTTAATCGCAGGCATGAATGGTTTGTTCCTTGGCTGCAAGGGGGTGGGCAGACCGAGAATCACTGCAAGGCCAGAATAGCTCACATTAACTAGTCACCTGCATACAATAGCAATTCGAAATATAACAGGCATGTTTCAAGCGTTAATAATTACATCTGCACATTCGTATGTGGAATGTTTAGGCTTGAACTGCGTTTTAAAGATTGTACAACATTCAAAGGCAACTGACTGGCACACTAAAACTGATTGGTAAATGAATGCCTAAATCTTTCCACGATTAACAACAGGGATTGTAACAATGTTTGCGTGCTCTTTTGGGGAAGATATGGAAAAGTTTAGAAATATGCATGAAGATCCAGCAAGGTAAATTAAACTACAATTTGGTAGCCAAAAAACATTTGTAAACAAATAAGTGAACACATTTATACCTTCATTTATCCATGATGATATAAGATATACAGTGAGGGAAAAAAGTATTTGATCCCCTGCTGATTTTGTACGTTTGCCCACTGACAAATAAATGATCAGTCTATAATTTTAATGGTAGGTTTATTTGAACAGTGAGAGATATAACAAAAAACTCCAGAAAAAAGCATGTCAAAAATGTTATAAATTGATTTGCATTTTAATGAGGGAAATAAGTATTTGACCCCCTCTCAATCAGAAAGATTTTTGGCTCCCAGGTGTCTTTTATACAGGTAATGAGGTGAGATTAGGAGCACAATCTTAAAGGGAGTGCTCCTAATCTCAGCTTGTTACCTGTATAAAAGACACCTGTCCACAGAAGCAATCAATCAATCAGATTCCAAACTCTCCATCATGGCCAAGACCAAAGAGCTCTCCAAGGATGTCAGGGACAAGATTGTAGACCTACACAAGGCTGGAATGGGCTACAAGACCATTGCCAAGCAGCTTGGTGAGGTGACAACAGTTGGTGCGATTATTCGCAAATGGAAGAAACACAAAAGAACTGTCAATCTCCCTCGGCCTGGGGCTCCATGCAAGGTCTCACCTCGTGGAGTTGCAATGATCATGAGAACGGTGAGGAATCAGCCCAGAACTACACGGGAGGATCTTGTCAATGATCTCAAGGCAGCTGGGACCATAGTCACCAAGAAAACAATTGGTAACACACTACGCCGTGAAGGACTGAAATCCTGCAGCGCCCGCAAGGTCCCCCTGCTCAAGAAAGCACATATACATGCCCGTCTGAAGTTTGCCAATGAACATCTGAATGATTGAGAGGACAACTGGGTGAAAGTGTTGTGGTCAGATGAGACCAAAATGGAGCTCTTTGGCATCAACTCAACTTGCCGTGTTTGGAGGAGGAGGAATGCTGCCTATGACCCCAAGAACACCATCCCCACCGTCAAACATGGAGGTGGAAACATTATGCTTTGGGGGTGTTTTTCTGCTAAGGGGACAGGACAACTTCACCGAATCAAAGGGACGATGGACGGGGCCATGTACCGTCAAATCTTGGGTGAGAACCTCCTTCCCTCAGCCAGGGCACTGAAAATGGGTCGTGGATGGGTATTCCAGCATGACAATGACCCAAAACACACGGCCAAGGCAACAAAGGAGTGGCTCAAGAAGCACATTAAGGTCCTGGAGTGGCCTAGCCAGTCTCCAGACCTTAATACCATAGAACATCTGTGGAGGGAGCTGAAGGTTCGAGTTGCCAAATGTCAGCCTCGAAACCTTAATGACTTGGAGAAGATCTGCAAAGAGGAGTGGGACAAAATCCCTCCTGAGATGAGTGCAAACCTGTTGGCCAACTACAAGAAACGTCTGACCTCTGTGATTGCCAAAAAGGGTTTTGCCACCAAGTACTAAGTCATGTTTTGCAGAGGGGTCAAATACTTATTTCCCTCATTAAAATGCAAATCAATTTATAACATTTTTGACATGCGTTTTTCTGGATTTTGTTGTTGTTATTCTGTCTCTCATTGTTCAAATAAACCTACCATTAAAAGTATAGACTGATAATTTCTTTGTCAGTGGGCAAACGTACAAAATCAGCAGGAGATCAAATAGTTTTTTCCCTCACTGTAAAAGACACCACCACCACTAGGCATTCAAATTATTAAAACATAACAAAAACACTACCCCCAGTGCCACCAATCCCATTCAAACACAAACCAAAATCAATGGTTAAATCACAAGCGGCCACACACAACACTGAATGAGTATGAATGAAAGATGCCACTTTAGAGGCTGTAGAGCGGTAGACTCGCTTCAGATGACAAATAATGACGACGAGATGGAATCGGTGATGAAAAGACGGGATCGGGTCAGAAATTAAGGTACGAGGAAGAAGGCAAGAGTGGTGTCCATCTCAGGCGGACAAGCTGAAAGGCAACTCGGATGGCTAGGACATGCCACGAGATGAAAGGAAACCCGCATAGGGAGAAATTCAATGAACGTGGAAACACCAGCGCACATACCGAGAGGCAGGGCTAGAGAGAGGTGGCTCCCTCGAGCATCTCACGGTGGCGAGATGTTAACTACCTCGCCTGGTATACAGGTTGTGGGTTCGATCCCGATGCCTGTATATTTGGAGCATACATTTTCTCACCATGGTTAAGTGGATTTTTCACCAGGTCCTCCAGTTTTTCCCTCCACATTTAGAAACATGTGTTTAAGAGTATATGGCTACTATAAATATCCACATGACAAGCCACTTTGTTCAGCTATCATTTGTGGGCAGGTCACTTCTGAAAAAGAGCTATATATCTCAGTGGGCCTTACCTGGTTAAAAATAGTTGAGTTTAGTGTTAGTTTTCAAAGTGGTAAACCGACTGCAGATTGGATTTGGAGATGGTGCAGGAATAGGAAGGGATCGAGAAAAAGGATCAGGAAGACAGACTCCCACATGAGTGGGAAGAATCCCAGGAAGAATCAGAGGAGAGACGATGAGCTCTCTGTGCTTCAGGTCAGCAGAGTCTCCGTGCAGTTGTATACCCAGTCGAGTCGCTCGTTCATGGGCATCACATGGTGGCCGATCTGCAGGAGACAGGAACAGACTGTTATCTACAACCAGACCCTGGTCGTGCTGTGCTGTTACAAGAATGGGCCCGGTATGAAACAGAAGTGGGCATAAGGAACCCCCAATGGCCACGAGCGTTGGCAGCACTGTGTAAGATCAGCACGGTTGGCTACGTACGGTGCAGAAGAAGTCCAAGATACACACAAGATGTTGGGATCGGTGGGATCGTACCACTGTAGTGTGGGGAGGGACTTCAACGGCGAACACGTCCATGCCGCGACTGCTTACGCAGTTCTTGCTCTGGGAGCAGTCGACGCGCACCACAACTTTGATGTCGCGCTGAAAATAAAAGCAACACAACCGTCAATGTGTTTTTAGAACGGCTGATTTATGAAACGTTATTAGCCAATACACGTGGGAATTATTTACTGGGCAATCCAGTTTAATTCGACATGCAAAAATACACATTAAAATCTTCATGTTATTACTGCTACTTTTTTATGCCACACAAATACGTAATTGCAACGTGTCTTGATCTTGCAAGTCAACAGGGAATATACCATCTTAATCAAGGCAGAGTGGTATTAAGGGCTTATAATGTCCTTATTAGAGTAGGAGTAAGCACTTTAGTGATCACTCCTTCATTTTTGGGATGAGATCATCAGCCAGACCTAAAGCCCTCCCTAAATTGGTTGAAAAGCACTCTATGAGACAATTCAGCATTCAGGCATTTACTAATGATGTGCTTCACTCAGATATTGACAAGGTCTGTGATATCCCCAACCTGATTACGGCTTGGGAGACCTTCAGGTACACGTTTCTCCAAATTCTTAACAAACATGCTCCGTTGGTTAGAACCGCCCACCATGGTTTGATATTTTGTATATAAAGCTCATGAAAACTTGGGACAAGGCTTGGGCATGTGCTCAGAAAAGTAATTTGGTCAATGACTGGCTAGAATACAGGATTTTAAGGAATAGATGCGTCAAAAAAATACGGCATGCAAAAAATGCCTACTTTTCCTTCACTCTCCTGGAATCACATGGAAATGCCAGGATTTTTTGGAAAACAATCAAATGTATCGAAAAGGCATCCAAAACAGACAATCTGCCCGTTGAGCTTAACCGAAATTGGGAATATTTTTCAGATCCCAAAAAAATAGTTGACAATTTTAACCTTCATTTTTCTGAAGCTGGTAATCTTTTTGATAATGTATTGGGAGTCACCCCTGCTCATGCAAATCCCTACACCCCTGTCCAAACATTAAACTAATTTAGTTTCCAGCCAATCCACGAAAGTAATGTTCTGAAACAACTGTCCTACCTCAAAGGGTCCTCCTCTACCGGAGCAGATAGTATTCCCGTCTTTACTCTGCTAACTGTTGGTCACCTAATATACAAACCTATAGCCCTTATTTTCAACCTGTCCATCAAAGAAGCATCAGTTCCTCTAGAATGGAAACATTCCTATGTCCGTCCACTTCACAAAGGGGGCCCTAAAGATGATCCAAATAACTACCGACCTATCTCAATTTTGTCCCCGTTGATGAAAATTTTTGAAAAATAATTGACCTACCAAATTAGCAGTTTCCTGTCCACCAACAATCTACTACATCTAAAACAATCTGGGTTCCAAAAAAAATACAGCACCACATCTGCTGCATCAGACTGTCTGAATCACATTTACAGTAGCCTTGATAATAAGCAGTACTGTGCCTGTCTTTTTCTAGACCTGTCCAAAGCTTTTTATACAGTAGACCACAACACCCTGCTTAGTAAACTAAGTTGCCTCGGTTTTTCCGAAAACACAGTAAAATGGTTACAAAATTACCTCTTTTCTCGCACCCAAACTGTATTCACAGATGGTTGGAGGTCAAACAGTGTTAAGATAACAAAAGGGGTTCCACAGGGTTCCATCCTCGGCCCCCTTTTGTTCTCTCTTTATGTCAATGACTTGGGCACTGACCTGGATCATTCCAGGGTAAATCTTTTTGCAGATGACACGATACTGATTACTGCTGGACGCTCTCCGGATGACGTGATTGCTAAGCTACAGGGTGATTTCAACAAACTACAACATCAGCTAGTTGCTCTTAAACTAGTCCTAAATACCTCCAAAACCAAGGTGCTATGCTTCTCACCAGGACTAAAGCTGGAAGTTTTTTTTCCCCAATTACATTCCTTAAATAATGATCAAATAGAGCAAGTCAAGATCTATAAGTATCTTGGGGTCATCCAAGATTGAAAACTGAATTTTGAAGATTACATTGATTATATTGGTAAAAAGACAAAAATAAAAATTGGTTTTCTGTATCGACACAAGCACTGCTTCCCCCCAATGTTCCGTTTGGAATTGATAAAAGCTACCATACTGCCCCTACTTGACGACTGTGACATCGTGTATAAATCAGCCCCAAGTACTGTACTGAAGAAGCTTGATTCCATCTATCACTCGGCCTTAAGATTTACATTGAACTGCCCATATAGGACTCACCACTGTGATCTCTACATTGGGTCAAACTTAACATCTCTTAATGTTCGACGGCTTGTGCACCAGATCTTATTTATTCACTATGTACTTACAAAAAAATCCCCAGACTACCTGCTGGATCTCCTCTCTGTTTCAAAAAACAAATTTGACCTCAGGTCTTCGCTCATTTACCAGCTTCACATTCCCTATTGCCGTACAAAAACTGGAGGAAGGGCCTTTGCTATTGATGCCCCCAGAGTCTGGAATGCTATTGCCAATAAACTGCAACTTGAATCGCTACCAATGAGATCTTCTCTTAAAACTGCTCTAGAGGAGTTGTACACCCCTAGCTGCTACTGCTATTCATTGGCGTAAAATTAAATGTTTCACTCCGGATGACGCTGCAAAGTATTATCTGTATTTTGATTTAGTGTGCTGATCTTAAAGGTGCATTGAAAAATGTGATACTCCGACTGATGCTTCTGTTGTTGTGGAGTAACTCATGCAGCAAGCTATGGCTCTAGGATTTGGTGTTACATGTTATTTATGTAGTTTATTGTAAAAAATCGGTCACAGTCCCTATGATCACTGTTACGTTGCAATTATGGCTTTATTTTTTGGTGATTTCGAAAACGTTTTTTGGTTTGGACATGTATGTTTTGTTGTAGTACTGAGTTAGACTGATGGCCTTAATCTAAGTTTTCTTGTGGTTGTTGTTGTTTGACTTGCATCTCACTGGGATTTTTTACAAAAAGCGTTTGTGTACGGTGCATTTTTCAGGAATATTTTGCTGTTTTTTTCATATATTTTCTGTTTGCACAGTCACATAGTCACTTTAAGATGTGTTCTTGTTCGTGTTTTTGGTGTTTTGTTTGTTGTGGTTGCACCCGATTCAAGAGCCGAATGGCTCACAGGGCTATACCAAAATAAATAAACTAAAAACTGAAACTTTTGAGATTATCTCTCTGGCCTGTGTATTTATATGCTATGAAAAACTATAACTAGTCTATTTTTATTTTACCAGGTAAGGCCACTGAGCCAAATAACTAATTATGCTGCCCCAGACAATCACAGACGTGGGCCAAAACATTAAACTAAAGCTAAACTATTTTTTATTTTGCCAGGTAAGATCCACTGAGCTATATACAGTGAGGGAAAAAAGTATTTGATCCCCTGCTGATTTTGTACGTTTGACCACTGACAAAGAAATGATCAGTCTGTAATTTTAATGGTAGGTTTGTTTGAACAGTGAGAGACAGAATAACAACAAAAAAATCCAGAAAAACGCATGTCAAAAATGTTATAAATTGATTTGCATTTTAATGAGGAAAATAAGTATTTGACCCCCTCTCAATCAGAAAGATTTCTGGCTCACAAGTGTCTTTTATACAGGTAACGAGCTGAAATTAGGAGCACACTCTTAAAAAGAGTGCTCCTAATCTCAGCTTGTTACCTGTATAAAAGGCACCTGTACACAGAAGCAATCAATCAGATTCCAAACTCTCCACCATGGCCAAGACCAAAGAGCTCTCCAAGGATGTCAGGGACAAGATTGTAGACCTACACAAGGCTGGAATGGGCTACAAGATCATTGCCAAGCAGCTCGGTGAGAAGGTGACAACAGTTGGTGCGATTATTCGCAAATGGAAAAAACACAAAAGAACTGTCAATCTCCCTCGGCCTGGGGCTCCATGTAAGATCTCACCTCGTGGAGTTGCAATGATCATCAGAACGGTGAGGAATCAGCCCGGAACTACACAGAAGGATCTTGTCAATAATCTCAAGGTAGCTGGGACCATAGTCACCAAGAAAACAATTGGTAACACACTACGTACGCCGTGAAGGACTGAAATCCTGCAGCGCCCGCAAGGTCCCCCTGCTCAAGAAAGCACATATACATGCCCGTCTGAAGTTTGCCAATGAACATCTGAATGATTCAGAGGACAACTGGGTGAAAGTGTTGTGGTCAGATGAGACCAAAATGGAGCTCTTTGGTATCAACTCAACTCGCCGTATTTGGAGGAGGAGGAATGCTGCTTATCCATCCCCACCGTCAAACATGGAGGTGGAAACATTATGCTTTGGGGGTGTTTTTCTGCTCAGGGGGCCGGAAAACTTCACCGCATCAAAGGGACGATGGACGGGGCCATGTACCGTCAAATCTTGGGTGAAAACCTCCTTCCCTCAGCCAGGACATTGAAAATGGGTCGTGGATGGGTATTCCAGCATGACAATGACCCAAAACACACGGCTAAGGCAACAAAGGAGTGGCTCAAGAAGAAGTACATTAACGTCCTGGAGTGGCCTAGCCAGTCTCCAGACCTTAATCCCATAGAAAATCTGTGGAGGGAGCTGAAGGTTCGAGATACCAAACGTCAGCCTGGAAACCTTAATGACTTGGAGAAGATCTGCAGAGAGGAATGGGACAAAATCCCTCCTGAGATGTGTGCAAACCTGGTGGCCAACTACAAGAAACGTCTGACCTCTGTGATTGCCAACAAGGGTTTTGCCACCAAGTATTAAGTCATGTTTTGCAGAGGGGTCAAATACTTATTTCCCTCATTAAAATGAAAATCAATTTATAACATTTTTGACATGCGTTTTTCTGGATTTTTTGTTGTTATTCTGTCTATCACTGTTCAAATAAACCTAACATTAAAATTATAGACTGATCATTTCTTTGTCAGTGGGCAAACGTACAAAATCAGCAGGGGATCAAATACTTTTTTCCCTCACTGTAGCTCTTTTTCAGAAGCGACCTAGTCACAAATGATAGCTCAACGAAGTAGCGTATCTTGTGGAGATTGCAGCCAAAATTCGAAATGTGGAGGGAAACACCGGAGGACCTGGAGAAAAATCCACACGTCCACGGGGGAAAACATGAAAACTCCAAATATACAGGCGTCAAGGTTTGAGATCGAACCCATGACCTGTATATTGGGCGAGGGAGATAACATCTCACCACCGTGGCACCGTTGCATGAAGATGTGCGCTGTAACAGGACATAATGAACCCCGCGACTGATTGAATGATAAACTATGTTGGATTATGTTAAATCATTCAGATTAACGTTTTTTGGGTTAGATCGCGTAAATGTAAATGTGTCGTAAACCCACCTCCACCCGATGCAGCCAATTAGTAAGGCTTGTCATGTGAACAGAATATGGCAATTCGAAAAAATGCAGGATCCGGAGAAAAATCCACACGACCATGGGGGGAGAGAGAACACGCAAACTCCAAATATAGAACAGGCATCAGTGTTGGCATTGAACCCACGACCTCCTGTATACCGGGCGAAGGAGATAAAATGTCACCGTTGCCTATTCCAAGTAATCACTCGTTTAGCACTCACCTTGTTCTGCAGCACGGTGGTGATACGGCTCTCGCTGCGATGCACGTGCACCACGACGCTCTCACTGGCGTCCAGCACCCGCGCCTCCCCCTTGCCTGCCGTGGCCTCGCAGACGGCGCGGGCGAGGCGCCAGCCCAGCGCCTCCACGGGCAGAGCGCTTAGCCGTGGACGCACCTCCTCCGCGAACACATCCAGCACCAGCGGGCACGCCTGGCGCGAAAAGACATTTGCCAACATGTCAGCCCGTGCAACAGTTCCACGGAATCAAAATATTTGTTCATACTGGAGGAATCCCGATGAGCTGTGAAAGCTCTTTTTCACACATGTCCAGCCGGTAGGAGTGAATTGGAATGTTACAACAAAGTATAGGAAAGGTAAGCAAATCACGAAAACGAAGCAATTTTTATTTCACCAGATAAAGCCCACTGAGCTATTAGCTTATTTTTCAGAAGTGGCCTGGCCTCAAATTACTCTTAAGATTGATATAGGGGTTGTGACATGGCCCAGTGGTCGCGCGTTTGCTGGTTGATGCAGAGGTTCATGGTTTGAGGCCACCAGCCACCCTGGTTAATATTGCTGCGGGTGTATTAACCTAAGACTATGCGCCATCTGATTCGCTGATGTCATGGTCCCAATATACTACAAATAACCCAAAAACTACTCAAATTGTAAAATCTCAAAGCAACATCCCCATCTTCTGGCAGACTATCTGTCTGTGAAAATTAGCATCTCCATGATAGCTTTGCACATGTTTACCAAAGGTACTTAGTTTTTCTATTTATTAAATTCTTATAATAGCATGTGCACATAGATATTTTGGGGTTCATGTATACACCATTATCAATTATTTGTGCAACATGATAGACTATAACAAGGCAAGGCCCTTTGTCAATGCAAAACTGGATAAAGCCCTACCCATGCTGTGTCAGTCAATGGGGTAGTTTGACCATACTTCACCAAGTTGGATCGTGCAGGTAAAGGGGGGCGGGGGTCAGAACCAGTTTAGATATCATTCAGTACTGATGTTAAACTAAACTTTATGAAACTATTTTAATTTCACCAGGTAAGGCTTACTGAGCTATATAGCTCTTTTTCAGAAGCGACCTGGCCACACGTGAAAGTCAAACAAAGTGGCAAATCGCGTGAATTTAGAGCAGCCAAATACTCTAAACGCATGTTGTTTATAATTGTGGAGGGAAAAACCAGATGAGAGAGAGACACGCATACTCCAAATATACAGGCGTCAGGGACGGGATCGAACCCACGACCTCTTGTATACCAGGCGAGGTAGTTAACATCTCATCACCGAGACGCCCATGTTAGCCATTGCCGGGTAACAAACTCAGGCAGCTGGACTCAGAGCGATGCTCTAACCACTGCACCACGACTCCAACCAAAACAACTTGTGCTAAAGAAATAAAATAACAAAAACCACAATCAACTTCCCAACAGACAATACTGGATGTGTTTGCATGTTTCAGGGCAATGAGGATGCTTGTGTACGCACCTCATCCAGATGCAGATCCCGGTTGTATCCCATGGCCTCCAAGGTGACCCACAAATCTCTAGGGTCGCCACCCTGGTCCCTGGCCTCCATGAGCGTGAGGTCCAGGAAGCCCTGGCGGGTCAGCTCGTTTCTCTTCATGTCGAAGTTGGCTGAGTGCGCGGGAACGTGCACAGTGACATTAGCGGGCTGCTTCTGCATTCCACGCCAACATGGGGCTTCAACAACTAACATACGTACCTACATGTACGAAAACAAAATGCATGTAACTATGCACAAAATCATTGGCTGAAATCAATTCTCATTCTCATGACACACGCATCAGAATCGTTCGTATATAAATTAAATATATGCAATTTATAAGAATTGTGAGAAATGTGCTAATCTTGCATTTAGACGAATGCAGGAAACTGTACACACAAAATAGTAGTACAAATGTGACAAGAATAATAAAACAAAAACAACAAGAAAAATTCCTTTTTAAAATATAATTGTGACCACTCTATCAATGTGTAGTGACTGTGAATGTCACTGTGTGGTGCCGGGCTTACGAAGCCACAGCGGATAATGTGTTGGCATTATGTGTAGCCCGCTTACTGGGCGTAGTACCGGCCCTAGCGGGGCTTGGGTGAGCGTTGGTCAGCGCGGAGGCACCACGTAAAGTGTGCGGTGCAGGCTCCCGGTGAGGGAGCGAGAAGGAGTGTCAGTCGGCCAGGGTTACATTGGGGCATGATACGCTGGTTGACCTGCCAACACGTGACCGGATGATATTGGAGGGGGGCCACCGGTGGACGGGGGCTGCTGGGCGGTCACGTGGTATAAAAGAGCTCTCGGGAGCCTTCGGGAAAGAGCTCGAGAGATCTAGAAGGTGGGCGGGGTGAGGCCGCTCTCCTATCTTACAGTTACATGCTAATTTCTCACATTAACATCACTAGCCCCGGCCACTTCTTTATGACCCTTGGGCTACACCCATTTCAAACCTTTTAAAACAGTCTGCCTCAGCAGCAGACCATGCTTTCCCACCTGATGACGGCCGCTTGTGTTGCGCCAGAAAAGTCGTGATTTATTTTATACCTACGTGACTTTACCGAAAGAACCAAAGAGTATGTGTTATGTTATATTGAAATAAATAGTGTTGCTCCCAAGACAACGTCTGGACTCACTACACATGCATTTAATCGCTGGTATTCAAAATAGTTGAATGCCTATTAAATAACCCATACTGTCATCCTCTGACCACCTCACACAGCAGTTATTCACAAACTTTGCATTTCATGCACATACAGTGAGGGAAAAAAGTATTTGATCCCCTGCTGATTTTGTACGTCCCCTGCTGATTTTGTACGTTTGCCCACTGACAAAGAAATGATCAGTCTATAATTTTAATGGTAGGTTAATTTGAACAGTGATAGACAGAATAACAACAAGAAAATCCAGAAAAACGCATGTCAAAAATGTTATAAATTGATTTGCATTTTAATGAGGGAAATAAGTATTTGACCCCCTCTCAATAAAAAAGATTTCTGGCTCCCAGGTGTTTTTTATACAGGTAACGAGCTGAGATTAGGAGCACACTTTTAAAGGGAGTGCTCCTAATCTCAGCTTGTTACCTGTATAAAAGACACCTGTCCAGAGAAGCAATCAATCAATCAGATTCCAAACTCTCCACCATGGCCAAGACCAAAGAGCTCTCCAAGGATGTCAGGGACACAATTGTAGACCTACACAAGGCTGGAATGGGCTACAAGACCATTGGCAAGCAATTTGGTGAGGAGGTGACAACAGTTGGTGTGATTATTTGCAAATGGAAGAAACACAAAATAACTGTCAATTTCCCTCGACCTGGGGCTCCATGCAAGATCTCACCTCGTGGAGTTGCAATGATCATGAGAACGGTGAGGAATCAGCCCAGAACTACATGGGAGGATCTTGTCAATGATCTCAAGGCAGCTGGGACCATAGTCACCAAGAAAACAATCGGTAACACACTACGCCATGAAGGACTGAAATTCTGCAGCGCCCGCAAGGTCCCCCTGCTCAAGAAAGCACATATACATGCCCATCTGAAGTTTGCCAATGAACATCTGAATGATTCAGAGGACAACTGGGTGAAAGTGTTGTGATCAGATGAGACCAAAATGGAGCTCTTTGGCATCAACTCAACTCGCCGTGTTTGGAGGAGGAGGAATGCTGCCTATGACCCCAAGAACACCATCCCCACCGTCAAACATGGAGGTGGAAACATTATGCTTTGGGGGTGTTTTTCTGCTAAGGGGACAGGACAACTTCACCGCATCAAAGGGACGATGGATGGGGTCATGTACCATCAAATCTTGGGTGAGAACCTCCTTCCCTCAGCCAGGGCATTGAAAATGGGTCGTGGATGACTATTCCAGCATGACAATGACCCAAAACACACGGCCAAGGCAACAAAGGAGTGGCTCAAGAAGAAGCACATTAAGGTCCTGGATTGGCCTAACCAGTCTCCAGACCTTAATCCCATAGAAAATCTGTGGAGGGAGCTGAAGGTTCGAGTTGCCAAACGTCAGCCTCGAAACCTTAATGACTTGGAGAAGATCTGCAAAGAGGAGTGGGACCAAATCCCTCCTGAGATGTGTGCAAACCTGGTGGCCAACTACAAGAAACGTCTGACCTCTGTGATTGCCAACAAGGGGTTTGCCACCAAGTACTAAGTCATGTTTTGCAGAGGGGTCAAATACTTATTTCCCTCATTAAAATGCAAATAAATTTATAACATTTTTGATATGCGTTTTTCTGGATTTTTTTGTTGTTGTTATTCTGTCTCTCACTGTTCAAATAAACCTACCATTAAAATTATAGACTGCACATTTCTTTGTCAGTGGGCAAACGTACAAAATCAGCAGGGGATCAAATACTTTTTTCCCTCACTGTAACAACCTCTCTGGGAATCATCAATCTTGCCTAATAAATGCTGGGGTATAGTCCCTGTATAACAGTGCCTGACAAGACAATGTACCCTTGTATCTGTGATGCTGCTGCTGCCACTACATTATGCTTGACCCATTGAACTCTGACCTTTGCACACCTCCCAGGCGCTGGTATCGCACTCCTCCCCGCTGGTGCGCAACTCAAACAGGTTGTACTCCTCCAGGCTGAGCAGCCCGTTCCCATCCAGATCTATGATCTCGAAGATATCCGACAGGACCGTCCTGCATGCACACACACACACAATGTGTAATGAATCTATCAATAACACAAATCAGATATACAGAAATTATAAGAAATATAATCATATAACATGAATAGAAAAATTTACACAAACCAAACATAACCCTTTTATCAATTTGGCCAGTTTTCAGTCAGGCAAGACCTTCATTAGCAACACATTATACAAAAATGTGTTCATACCGGACTAACTTCATGAGTTAAAACGCACCCCCGCTCCCATTACGGATAAACAGACAGACGGACCGGCAGAGCAAATGCATACGTCCTTTCAACAGCCTCAGTTGTGATGTGTTAATTAAAACACAAACCACCAACGCAAATCAGCGAACCGACCGGAACTGGCGCGTGAGCTCCAGTTCCCCGTTCTCAGCTGTCGTGATGAGGGCGGTGCTCCTGCTGGCGGTGGCGGCAGTGCTACTCCGCTTACGCAGGCGGCAGCCCGTGGTGAAGGGCAGAAGGAGGTAGGAGCCTTTCTGAAGGTCCCCGCGCCAGGCAAACGTCTGCCGATGGGAGGCAAACGCGTGTCTCATACCCTCACCGATACATTAGCACAGTGGTTGTCACCCAGGGGGTACGCGGGCCCTTTGGGGGCACGTGGCAATTATACCAGGGTTGGTATGTGAGGTGATTTAGAAATGTGCAAAATTATATCATACGTGAGAGTCATTAGTGAATAACCATGTTTGAATGGGCCAATAAAAAATAACTATCATGACATTTAAATCCATATTGTAACTTAGAACTTATTGATTGTAAACAATGTGGTTTCCCAGAGTAACCAGCGAGCACAAACAAATTACATCACACATGCAGAGCGTCCGTTGATTTTTTTTATTCGCCTGCAGTTACTAGCTAGTTATGATACTTCACAAAATGGACATTTGGTAAGAAATATTCATTATTCATACATTGATTTCTCAGATAACCATGTTGGGTCAGGCAAGGGGGTACGACTCGGGTGGGGTACACTAGTAGCCAAACAAAGTTGAGAACCATTGCACTAGCGGGTCCACCCAGGGTCCACCTGCTTTCACTGAGCCAGGCTAAGGCTTCAGCAGAATTATTTTGTATAAGTTTCAGGAACTGCAGTGTACTGTGCGTCACAAAGTTGCATATTCAACACAATGGCGACCGAGGTATGGGCGGGTATGTGACAAAAGGTCAGGTATCTGAACGTCGACGTGAAATGACAGTTAAAACTATCGTGCACCAATAGGTTACTGGATGAAAATACATCTGAAACTGCTTTAAACGTAGAGAAAATGCATGACTATATTAGAACGAAGTGAATACATGCGACATTAAGATTGAATTACCGTATATGAAAATGTGGGACTTATAAACTTCTGAAACTGCTTTCAACGTAGAGAAAATGCATGACTATATTAGAACGAAGTGAATACATGCGACATTAAGATTGCATTACCGTATATGAAAATGTGGGACTTATAAACTTCTATAGCAGAAAATATGAACTTTACACCGTACACAAACATCGCACAAATATTGCACGAATAAAAATCCGTGGCTGGAATTTTACCTCCTTGTGACAAAGCTCGGTAAAGCTGACCAGATCCTTCGCGTTAGCAGAGTCACCGTTCTCTCGCAGTATGAACACAGCTGTGTCCACACCAAACCAGGTAGACCTTGGGCCTGTTGGTAGGGCCATCATGAGTACATACTCCATAGCAGCCTACCGCGATGATATCTGCTATTGAACAAGTACTGATAGGAACCTCCTGGTTACACCAGCCCATAGGGGATTATTGTGTCCGTCCGTCGTGCATCCAAAAATGGGAGGGGTGGGGCTGGGTGGAGAGGGGAGGGTGGGGAGGGGCTGGATGGGGAGGGAGGGGCTGGGTGGGGAGGGGAGAGTGGGGCTGGGAGGGGGGTGGGAGGGGTGGGGCTGGGTGGGGAGGGGCTGGTCACCCCGTGGTGCCCTTAGAAAACTCAACGTTTAACCTACTCACGCCGGCTTGTGCCCGCCCCCACAGTCGGGCATATTTGCGGAATACACCACTCCGCCGTTGACCCTGGCCATTGACCGAGCAACCCAATGTTCCTACCAGCTCCCTCCGCAGGAATGTGTTTTATATAGACTACAGTTCGAGGAAACTAATGGGCAAAACTCTTGCTCAAGCCACAAGCCTCATTAAGAATTATAATTTGCTTTATATCACCCGACAATTCCTGCTGCGCTTGAGTCAACTTGAGGATAAGACTTTGCTAGAGAAGCCAACCAACTAATCATGTTGCCCCAGAAAATCGCAGACGTGGCCCAAAACATTCAACTAAAACAAAATTATTTTTGTTTTACCAGATATTACGCACTGAACTATAAAGTTATTTTTCAGAAGCGACCTGGCCACAAATGATAGCTCAGCGAAGTGGCTTATCATGTGCAAATGTATCGCAGCCAAATAATCTAAACACGTGTTTCTAAATGTTGAGGGAGAAACCAGAGGATCCAGAGAAAAATCCATGCGATCACGTGGAAATAATGCAAACTGCAAATATACAGGCGTCAGGGTCGGGGTTGAACCCATGACCCCTGTGTAGTGCGGTAAAATACGCAACCGAGGGCAGGCAGGTGCGCGTGTGCAACGTGAGGTTGCACGAGCAAACCTCCACCTCATTAAGGGGAGAATCAGGTGCAGACGGGGTCGGCCCGGGTTTGCACACTGACACTGGAGGTGTTGCCAGGGAGACGTGCGATAAGGGGTGATTGATAGCCTGACAGGCGCAAGCCTGTCTGGCCATCAATCACCAGCCTGTCTGGCCCTAAAGAGACACAAGGGAGGAGCTGGATAATTGGGAGGAGGATATAAGGAGGCGCGTGGGAGCGGAGCGGGAATTCGGGTTGCTGGGACCAAGGTGAAGACATCTCTCCGCTGCCGCTCAAGCCAAGGATGTACCTCAACCCTCACGAGTCGCCGGGCGGGTGATGGTTGATCCCCCCGCCCGGATCGGACGAGTGAGTGGGTCTTAGGGAATGTAGGCGAGGGCAGCGGTGCAGAGTGAGGGAAGCTGTGTGCAAGCCTCTGTGCGAGCGAAGCTGTGTGCGAGCCTCTGTGTGAGGGAAGCTGTGTGCAAGCCTCTGTGTGAGGGAAGCTGTGTGCGAGCCTCTGTGTGAGCGCTGCTGTGTGCAAGCCTCTGTGCGAGCGAAGCTGTGTGCGAGCCTCTGTGTGAGCGAAGCTGTGTGCGAGCCTCTGTGTGAGCGCTGCTGTGTGCAAGCCTCTGTGTGAGCGCTGCTGTGTGCAAGCCTCTGTGTGAGCGAAGCTGTGTGCGAGCCTCTGTGTGAGGGAAGCTGTGTGCAAGCCTCTGTGTGAGCGCTGCTGTGTGCAAGCCTCTGTGTGAGCACTGCTGTGTGCAAGCCTCTGTGAGCGAAGCTGTGTGCAAGCCTCTGTGTGAGGGAAGCTGTGTGCAAGCCTCTGTGTGAGCGAAGCTGTGTGCAAGCCTCTGTGTGAGCGCTGCTGTGTGCAAGCCTCTGTGTGAGCATTGCTGTGTGCAAGCCTCTATGGGAGCGAAGCTGTGTGCCAGCCTCTGTGTGAGCGAAGCTGCGTGCGAGCCTCTGTGTGAGCGCTGCTGCGTGGAAGCCTCTGTGTGAGCGTTGCTCTGTACAAGCTCTGTGTGAGCGCTGCTGTGTGCAAGCCTCTGTGTGAGCACTGCTGTGTGCAAGCCTCTGTGTGAGCGCTGCTGTGTGCAAGCCTCTGTGTGAGCGCTGCTGTGTGCAAGCATATGTGTGAGCGCTGCCGTGTGCAAGCCTCTGTGTGAGCGAAGCTGTGTGCAAACCTCTGTGTGAGCGCTGCTGGGTGCAAGCTTCTGTGGGAGCGCTGCATTGTGCAAGCTTTGTGTGAGCGCTGCTGTGTGCAAACCTCTGTGTGAGCGCTGCTGTGTGCAAGCCTCTGTGTGAGCGAAGCTGTGTGCAAACCTCTGTGTGAGCACTGCTGGGTGCAAGCTTCTGTGTGAGCGCTGCTGTGTGCAAGCCTCTGTGTGAGCAACGCTGTGTGCGAGCCCCGGTGTGAGCGCTGCTGCGTGGAAGCCTCTGTGTGAGCGTTGCTGTGTGCAAGCTCTGTGTGAGCGCTGCTGCGTGGAAGCCTCTGTGTGAGCGCTGCTGTGTGCGAGCCTCTGTGTGAGCGCTGCTGTGTGCAAGCCTCTGTGTGAGCGAAGCGGTGTGCAAACCTCTGTGTGAGCGCTGCTGGGTGCAAGCCTCTGTGTGAGCGCTGCTGTGTGCAAACCGTTGTGTGAGCAAAGCTGTGTGCAAGCCTCTGTGTGAGCGAAGCTGTGTGCAAGCCTCTGTGTGAGCGAAGCTGTGTGCAAGCCTCTGTGGGAGCGCTGCATTGTGCAAGCTCTGTGTGAGCGCTGCTGTGTGCGAGTCTCTGTGTGAGCACTGCTGTGTGCGAGCCTCTGTGTGAGCACTGCTGTGTGCGAGCCTCTGTGTGAGCGCTGCTGTATGCGAGCCTCTGTGGGAGCGAAGCTGTGTGTGAGCCTCTGTGTGAGCGAAGCTGTGTGCAAGCCTCTGTGTGAGCGCTGCTGTGTGCAAACCTCTGTGTGAGCGCTGCTGTGTGCGAGCTCTCTGTGAGCGCTGCTGAGTGTGGAGCCTCGAGTGCGGAGCTGTGAATGCGGAGCTGCTAAGAGGAAGAGCTGCCGCAGGCAGGTTAGCGAGGTGTAAAGTAGATAAGGGAAGTTAGTCAACAAAAGTGACCATATAGACAGAGACAGGAGTGCCTACAACTGGTGCAAGAATATAGTAATAAAGTGTAAGCAGGTGACCTGTAACAACGTGTCCGACTGAGTGATTTTACAAGACACCACACCTGTATACCAGGCGAGGTGGTTAACATCTTACTACCCTGGCGCTGGAATTTCCAAATAAAACGGTCAAAAATGTGCACTTTCATTATTTCCAAAAATACACAACAAAAAAGATTACCAACAGCTACATTACTGCTAAGATGGGGAATCTTTGAGCGGTTATTGGTATGAAATAAATCGGTACGCACCATCCTCTGGGCTCAGGTCTAGAGGCTGCACGGTGATGTAAACACTGGTTGGCTGTGTCAGCTCCAGACGGTAGTGATGGCTCGCCAAGCTGCCATCCTCCTCCACGAAGAAGCAACCCTTGCTGCGGATGTGTTTCCAGTCCTGCAGAATCCCATCAGAGCAAATGCAATGTGCTCACAACCACTAGCTTGCGGGGGAGATGTATAATAATAATGCCTGCTCGCCTTATCACCTGACGTTTAAGTATAATAAAGGAGTAAATAAGGTATGAGCATTTGAAGATAGACAACTACGATGTGCTCTTTTTTTACATCAAGTAATGTAAATAAATTGGGATGCTATGAATGAAAACATGACAAAAATGCATACATAAACAACATTTTGAGCAAGAGTACTTTACTGCAACTATAACCTCTAAAAATGTTTTATTACAGACATTACATTGTACCATTCTCATGCGCTCTTTAATCTAGTTACCTTTGTTGCCTGCTATTTTGCAATATAAGCCTTTGCTTGGGAAATGTAATTCAAAAACTAAACATCGCCAACACACAGCACACTTTTCCTGGATCAATTATTTATTACCACTTAGTGACGTTAATAGTCACTATGGCGTTTAGCACCAGCTACTGTCACAAGAGTGGAACTGTACGTCTTGGGCCTCCCTCTGGCACCAAAGTAGATATGGCATGAAAGCGCGCCGAGGGGACATCGTTCGGGTGACGGTCTGAGGGAGGGCAAGTGAGGACGTGACAGTCTGGGTGAACCCGAGAGGGCACGTGACCCGGGCAGGGTAGCGAGGGGGGCTTGAGGAACACGTGATATATGGCCCACAGCTTTCTAGTAGGATCTAGAAGGGGGCGTGGCCGAGGGCGGAGCCAGGCCACTCTCAGAGGCATAAAAGGGAAGTCCCGAGAGCCGATCCGGGCTGTTTGTTGGAATGCAACCCGTCGGTGCTATGTCTCTTCGATCTTCGGTCTTTACGCTCGGCTTCGTGGGTCCGGCAGTATGTTACTGACTGACCCGGTTATATAGTTACCCAGTTGTGGCCTAGTTAACCAAGTGTACGTTTATGGAGTTACCATGTTGGGGTGTTATAATAAACGTGCTGCCTCCAAGTTCTAGTGTGTGTCTCCGTGGAACCCACTACATCACAATAAGAGCTCCTTAAGGCTTAATGATTCTTTGTAGATACCCAGTATATAAAGCAAAGCAATTACATCTTTTTCGATCTCCAAGGCTTCCAAAATGACTGGAATGTAACATTCCATACCTCCTCTGCCTGTGATTGCATTTAGTATTGAAAAATCGGCAGGAATTAATGTACTTGTGAAATTTGTACTTCATATGTACAAAAATCGATTGCACTCCCCGACTGGATATTTGTGAAAAAGAGCCTCATAGGTCAGTGGATTCCTCCAGTCTAAATAAAGATTCTGCTTCCGATTCTGTACCTTTAAAGTATCTTCAACGATAGCATGACATTTTGTTTTTTTCCTTCTCTGCCTTGTGGCTTCTTATCCCTCATCTTCCTCCAGTAAAAACACAATTCTCATTTATCTCTCCTGTCTCTTCAACGCACATCTCACTCTTTGTTCAGCGTTATCGGATATGATAACACTTCGGCGCTGTATAGATCCACATCCTAACTGCATTGTCATTCACCCGCCTACGCGTGATTGCGTCCGTCATGCTCCATAGAGGCGTGCGCATCACCTTAAGGTTCTTTGGCTCGGGAAGTTTTCCACGTGCCTTGCCAGCTGAGACGCTGACCATGGAGGACACGGAGGGTCGGCGATCACGCCCCGACGATGATGGCCTGGAGGCCGCCCGCATTGCCGGCTGCGGAGTGACACGTGGCGACGCTCGGGGCGAGGCTTCGCTCTTGCCTGGAAACAGTCAACGGTTGGGCGCCACGCAGGCGAGATGTTATCAACCTTGCCTGGTATACAGGAGGTCGTGGATCCGATCCCAACTGACACCTGTATTATTGGAGTTTGCGTGTTCTCCCTGTGGTCGCGTAGATTTTCTCTGGGTCCTCCGGTTTTTCGCTCCAAATTTAGAAACATGCGTTTATAGTATTTGGTTGCGATAAATTTCCACATAAGTTAGTTCGTTGAGCTATAATTTGTGGCCAGGTCGCTTCTGAAAAAGACCTATATAGCTCAGTGGGCCTTACCTGGTTAAAAAAAAAATTGGGGGGAATTATTTTTGCCGATTCTCGAACCGTATGCGAGAGATTGAGATTTGGGGCAGCAGTGGGTGACGACTGCCATTGCTTGCAGACCAACCGCTGTCTGGCCAAGCCTCCCTTTGAGTCAATCAAATTAGCCGATTGCTTGGACTGTGTTGCGAGTCCCATTTTCAAATAATTCTGTCAATTCACGGCTGAATGAAGGCCTCCCCATGCCCGGGCAGTCACACGGTATTTGAAGATACTCTCTCATACTGATCAATTTGAGTGGGTAAAAGAGAGGGGCCTAGGACTGGTTCAGATATCACTTGCCACTGGTGTCAGGCGTGCCCGGATATCAAACTCAAGTCACCGGATTCACGGCACAGTGCACCGACTACTGCCCCTTACATAAGTACCAATAACGACCCACCCCACGAGTTACTCCACGACCCACCCCAAGAATCCAAATTAGCTGCAACATTTCCATATGTGTTAAATAAAACACGTATGATGGAAATAATGAATGTACGTATATTGTGATTTAATAAGGATCAATTTTAATCGATGAATCATGAGACATCCCTGATGTCCACTCTCTGTGTTTCTTCAAATCCAGACTCAAAATATCCTTTTTTCCTCCTACCTATGACCAACGGCTTCTCACTCAAACAAAATATCCCAACTGTTCTGAATAGTGGTTGCATTTATATGTTACATGAATGCAAATTGTATCGTATTGTATGAGACGACTACTACTTTACAATAGCTCCTTTTAAAGGATGTACAAATATGGTAAGAAGTGCCTGACAGGGCAATGGCAAGCACGTGGGGGCTGCTGTGCGAGACGACTCACTGCACACTAGCAGGATGAGCGCTGCAACAGGACGAATAGAATGATAAATTACGTTAATGTACAGGGCAGCCAATGATCATCAATGGGTGGGATAATGGCCAAACATGCCAGCAATGGGCTTTGTCGATCCACAAGGGCCTGATAAATTAACATAATTTGACATAATAATTCGGATTTTGCGACTAATATTATTCAAAATAAGGTTTTTGGGTTATATCGCATAAATGTGTCATAAACCCGCCTCCACCCGACACAGCCAATTAGTGAGGTTTGTCACGTGAACAACGCACCGGTGTGCTGAAGTAGTCACTAATTTGCGCGTTTTGTTCACGTGACAAACCATACTAGTTGGCTGTGTTGGGTGGAGGTGGGTTTACGACACATTTACGAGATCTAACCTAAAAAAGCTTCCTCTGAATTATATAACATAATTTAACATAGTTTATCATTCAATCAGTCACGGGGTTAATTTCCTGTTACAATGCACGTCCTGATGCAATGGCACCGTGGTGGCGAGATGTTAACTCCTTCGCCTGGTATGCAGGAGGTCGTGAGTTTGATCCCAAACCTTGATGCTTGTATATTTGGAGTTTTCATGTTTTCCCCGTGGACGTATGGATTTTTATCCAGTTACTCCGGTTTTTCCCTCCACATTTAAAATTTTGACTGCAACAAATTTCCACACGATAAGCCACTTTGTTGAGCTATAATTTGTGGCAAGGTCACTTCGGAAAAAGAGCTGTATAGCTCAGTGCGCCTTACCTGGCAAAAAAAAATAGTTTAGTTTTATTTGAACGTTTTGGCCCATGTCTGTGATTTTCTGGGGCACCGTCATTAGTTGGTTGGGTTCTGTAGCAAGTCCGATCCTCGTGCTTACTCAAGCGAAGCCGGAATCGCCAGGTGATATGAAGTAAATCGTAATTCTAGATTAGCGTTGTGGCTTGAGCAACAACATTTGTGACCAGGTTGCCTCTCAGTGGGCCTTAACCTGGTGAAATAAAGGGAGTATTAGTTCTTAGCTCTTTCGGTAAAGTCACGTTGAAGGGAAACAATAAAATATATATAAAACAATAAAAATTCTCACGACGTTTCAACCATAACACAAATGGTCATCATCAAGTGTGAAAAACCAACGGCAAGAAACATTTGAAAGGAGTGGCGGTTCGCATTTATTTATTAATGGTGTTTTTATTTATTTATAAAAAACGTTAGCACCACAGGCAGCGATTTGGCAGTTTATTTAGAAGGATGAGTCCATCTATGTTCTGAAAAGAGGAGGGGGGAGACGAAAAATTAATGTATGCTGTCTGAAAGCCACCGTAAGCGTGAACAATCAATTAAGACCTGAAATGGTTTATCAAATCCTTCCAATGATTGCTAAGCCAGAATCAATCTTCTCGGTTGAAATTGTCTCTGTGCTTGTATATGTCGATAGCCTCATGAACGAATCTCTCATGGTAGCTAGATGGCTTACAAAGAACCTCTGTCTTGGAAAAGTCAATGTCATGCGAGCCTACTGAATTATAACAATGATCTGCCACGGCCGAGGTGTTGGTCCTACCGTGTTTAAGGTCTGCTTTGTGTTCACGAATGCGGTCCGAGACATGGCATTTGGTTTCTCCAATGTAACTACTACCACAGAGACAACTTAGTTTGTAGACACCAGGGTACTGTATGTCCGGAATCACATCTTTTACAGACGGAACCAGATCACGGATTTTATGTAATGTGTTGAAGCGGACCTGGATATTGTGTTTATTCAAGATTTTGGAGATCTTTTTGTGATCCCCGCAATGTAGGGTAAAGTGATGGTTTTGAAAGGCTCCTCAAGAGGGTCCTTCTTCATGGTTTGAGTGATAGCTTTGCGGATTGTATAGTCGGAGTAACCATTAGCCTTAAGAGCTTGGTGTACGTGCTTGAGTTCACTCCCTATGTGTTCCTGGTTGGATATGCATTTGGCTCTATGGTACAGAGTCTTGATCAGATAATTCTTCTGTGATGGATGGTGGTGGGAATCCGGTTTCAGATAAGCATCCGTATGGGTAGCTTTCCTGTAGACAGAGTGGCTCATTGAACCATCAGGTCTCTTTTTTATTAGGACATCCAAAAAAGGTAGCTTGCCATCTTTTTCGACTTCCATGGTAAATCTGATGGCTGGGTGTATGGAATTGATATGGTCGAAGAATTGGTCTAGAGCAGGCCGGCCATGTGGCCAGATGACAAAAGTGTCATCCACGTACCTCTTCCATAAGGTTGGGTGCAGAGTGGCAGTCTGGATGGCGTCAGTCTCAAATTTCTCCATGAAAATGTTAGCTATAACCGGAAATAGGGGGAAGCCCATTGGGGTGCCCTCAGTTTGTTTGTAGAAAGTTCTATTCCAAGTGAAGTATGTATTGGTTAAACAGTGTCTCACCAGGGGGGGTACCTCAGTGTATAGTCCTTGATGAACCAAGTCTTCAATGATTGCGATGGTGTCAGGTACAGGAACTTTGGTGAATAAGGAAACTACATCAAATCTGACAAGCAGGTCGTCTGGGGACAGGGAAATACCTTTGATTGTCAATACCAGGTGAGTAGAATTTTGTACCACATTGGTGGTTTTTCCAGTAAAAGGACGCAGGATTTCAGACAAAAAACCATCACTTTACCCTACATTGCAGGGATCACAAAAAAGATCTCCAAAATCTTGAATAAACACAAGATCCAGGTCCACTTCAACACCTTACATAAATTCCGTGATCTGGTTCCGTCTGTAAAAGATGTCATTCCGGACATACAGTACCCTGGTGTCTACAAACTAAGTTGCCTCTGTGGTAGTAGTTACATTGGAGAAACCAAACGCCATGTCTCGGACCGCATTCGTGAACACAAAGCAGACCTTAAACACGGTAGGACCAACACCTCGGCCGTGGCAGATCATTGTTATAATTCAGTAGGCTCGCATGACATTGACTTCTCCAAGACAGAGGTTCTTTGTAAGCCATCTGGCTACCATGAGAGATTCGTTCATGAGGCTATCCACATATACAAGCACAGAGACAATTTCAACCGAGAAGATGGATTCTGGCTTAGCAATCATTGGAAGGATTTGATAAACCATTTCAGGTCTTAATTGATTGTTCACGCTTACGGTGGCTTTCAGACAGCATACATTAATTTTTCGTCTCCCCCCTCCTCTTTCCAGAACATAGATGGACTCGTCCTTCTAAACAAACTGCCAAATCGCTGCCCGTGGTGCTAACGTTTTTATAAATAAATAAATACAAACACCGTTTATAAATAAATAAATGTGAACCGACACTTCTTTCAAATGTTTCTTGCCGTTGGTTTTTCACACCTGATGATGACCGTTTGTGTTATGGTCGAAACGTCGTGAGAATTTTTATTGTTTTATATATATTTTAATATTTCATTGTTTCCCTTCAACGTGACTTTACCGAAAGAGCTAAGAATATGAATTACTGCAGTCACGAAAGCTTTAAATCAAAAGAGTGTTAGTAGTTTAGTTTGGGGAGCAACGTGCCTGCGCGTGACGAGATGCCCCTCTCGGGTGCTTGGCTGCCCAGTTGCCACACTCTACCCCTGCCGTCCGCTTCTAGTCGCTCCAGCGCCATCCGCTCACACTGCCGAGCGGTTTCCAACACCATCCGGGAAAACTGGCACAGGTAGTCGAGAAGCATCCGTGAATTCATAAGAGTTCTTGGGTGTGTGTACTTGTCGCGTGTTAAATTTACACTGATATATGATTGTGTTTTGTCTGTGGATGTATAAACTACAAACGCATCATTGAAATGACCTGCATAATGTTGTACGTATGTATGTTGAACTTCTTTGGCACCATACATAGCTAACCGCGCTCACCAAAGTATAGAAAGGTCTGTCGATATATTTGCAAATGGAATATTAAAAGTGTGGTTGAATATAGTACATGAAAGGACACTTAAATATCTGAAAAATGGACAATGCTATATATTTTTGATATATATACGACAGAATGTAGAACCCTTTCGTCAGTGCACTACTGAATTAAGACCTCTACATGCCTCGCGCGTCAAAGGGTGTTTTGTGACCATACTTCAACACGCTGATCAGCGTGGGTTGTCAAAGCCCAGCAGCATAGATGTGATGGCATAGAAGTACAATATAACAAATATTTTTTCTGCAGTTCCCCGCATTTAATACATATGGGTCTAAAAATAAATGTTACTACACAACTTATTTCTACAGAATTAAACTATCAGAGGTGGATTGATAAGTTTAGCAGTGTTATATAAAATTATGTAGGCATATATTCTGTCCGTCCGTCGTGCATCCAAAAATGGGAGGGGTGGGGCTGGGTGGAGAGGGGAGGGTGGGGAGGGGCTGGGTGAGGAGGGTGGGGAGGGGCTGGGTGGGGAGGGGAGGGTGGGGAGGGGCTGGGTGGGGAGGGTGGGGAGGGGCTGGGTGGGGAGGGTGGGGCTGGGTGGGGGGGTGGGGCTGGGTGGGGGGTGGGAGGGGTGGGGGTTGGGTGGAGAGGGGCTGGTCACCCCGTGGTGTCCTTATAAAACTCAACGTTTAACCTACTCACGCCGGCTTGTGCCCGCCCTCACAGTCGGGCATATTTGCGGAATACACCACGTGGTGCCGCCGTTGACCCTGGCCATTGACCGAGCAACCCAACGTTCCTACCAGCTCCCTCCGCAGGAATGTGTTTTCCCATCTGTTCAATGATATATATTTTTTAAACTATCCCTTTATCAATCCACCAAGACCAGCATTGTGCAGAATCAATCCTCCATGACCCAAATTGTAGGAAGGCTTTCATTCAGCAGTGGATTAATTGTTAAAGGGCTGTAATATACTTCTTACACAAGTACAGAGCAAACTCAATGCAAGAATTGTTTATGGATGAACGTGAGTATTTCTCACCTCTGCATAATCCAGCTTTCCATCACGGTTAACATCGGCATCTTCAAACACTCCTTGTAACTCCTTCTCCGTCATCCGCTCCCCTCTCTGTGCATGTGTACAGAAAGTAGAATGCGACGTTGTAAAGTTAGTTTTGTAACAGTTGTTTGGTCATTTTCCATCAGTTTTATCCTGAGAATACTGCGAGACAAACCTTATATTGGGATTCCTCACACAGCAAGTGCAACCCTTTGTGTTAGGGAATGGCCTATGGAAGCAGATATCACAGAGCTACCACTGAGTCACTTTACGTGACACGGTCTATAGAGTAGAGGGCAGCACTTTCCCACTCGCTCTGCTATATGAAAGTAAAGTTTGTCATGTACAGTGAGGGAAAATAGTATTTGATCCCCTGCTAATTTTGTACGTTTGCCCACTGACAAAGAAATGATCAGTCTATAATTTTAATGGTAGGTTTATTTGAACAGTGAGAGACAGAATAACAACAACAAAATCCAGAAAAAAGCATGTCAAAAATGCTATCAATTGATTTGCATTTTAATGAGGGAAATAAGCATTTGACCCCACTGCAAAACATGACTTAGTACTTGGTGGCAAAACCCTTGTTGGCAATCACAGATGTCAGACGTTTCTTGTAGTTGGCCACCAGGTTTGCACTCATCTCAGGAGGGATTATGTCCCACTCCTCTTTGCAGATCTTCTCCAAGTCATTAAGGTTTTGAGGCTGACGTTTGGCAACTCGAACCTTCAGCTCCCTCCACAGATTTTCTATGGTATGAAGGTCTGGAGACTGGCAGGGCCACTCCAGGACCTTAATGTGCTTCTTCTTGAGCCACTCCTTTGTTGCCTTGGCCATGTGTTTTGGGTCATTGTCATGCTGGAATACCCATCCACGACCCACTTTCAATGCCCTGGCTGAGGGAAGGAGGTTCTCACCCAAGATTTGCCAGTACATGGCCCCGTCCATCGTCCCTTTGATGCGGTGAAGTTGTCCTGTCAACTTAGCAGAAAAACACCCCAAAGCATAATGTTTCCACCTCCATGTTTGACGGTGGGGATGGTGTTCTTGGGGTCATAGGCAGAATTCCTCCTCCTCCAAACACGGTGAGTTGAGTTGATGCCAAAGAGCTCCATTTTGGTCTCATCTGACCACAACACTTTCACCCAGTTGTCCTCTGAATCATTCAGATGTTCATTGGCAAACTTCAGACAGGCATGTATATGTGCTTTCTTGAGCAGGGGGACCTTGCGAGCACTGCAGGATTTCAGTCCTTCACGGCGTAGTGTGTTACCAATTGTTTTCTTGGTGACTATGGTCCTAGCTGCCTTGAGATCATTGACATGGTGGAGAGTTTGGAATCTGATTGATTGATTGCTTCTCTGGACAGGTACCTTTTATACAGGTAACAAGCTGAGATTAGGAGCACTCCCTTTAAGAGTGTGCTCCTAATCTCAGCTCGTTACCTGTATAAAAGACACCTGGGAGCCAGAAATCTTTCTGATTGAGAGGGGGTCAAATACTTATTTCCCTCATTAAAATGCAAATCAATTTATAACATTTTTGACATGCATTTTCTGGATGTTTTTGTTGTTATTCTATCTCTCACTGTTCAAATAAAGCTACCATTAAAATTATAGACTGATCATTTCTTTGTCAGTGGGCAAACGTACAAAATCAGCAGGAGATCAAATACTTTTTTCCCTCACTGTAAGAGTCAACCCAATATTTTAATTGTCAGAGATGGAAGTTGGGAAAATTAAGCGCAGAACCAAATGTTTTGTGATGCCATGATTTTGTACAGTTATTAGAAACCGGGCTGAGACCATAAACTCTAATTCTAATTTACAAAGTGCTTTCACTCAAGGCGCTAGACATAGCTTTGAAAACGGTGACAGAATGGAATGCTGTAGTTGACTGGGATGTACATGTATTGAGGAATGAGTGACATTGATAGAGAGGTACATAGGGATCACAAAAGGGTAGGAGAGGGACAGGAAGGAGTGCAGTCGCGAGGGGAGGGAAGAAGAAGAGATTGGGCGACAGAGAAGAGGTGAGGATTTAAGATAGGAACAGAAGGAGCTTAAGGAGGGGGACTGCTCAATGTACAAGGGAAGTTTATTCCAGTGGAGGGGAGCAAGAAAGGAGAAGGAATTGATATACTTTTACAAATTGTAATGATATACTTTATATTTATTTATAGTGATTTGCTGACCTTTCCAATACTTTGTATTTCTATTGGTTTTTGTATTGCCATTTTTATTTTCTTACCTGCCCCTACTGGACATCTGTGAAAAATAGCTTCATAGCTCATCGGATTCTACCTCGAGTCTAAATAAAGATTCTGATTCTGAGAAGGACCGAAAACGGGGAAGGGGCACAGGGAGAAGGAGGGACAGACAGTGAGAGAGAGAGGTTTTGAAAATACAGTGGTTGTAAATGGGAAGACAGTGGCGTTGAAGGAGGAGAGGCAAAGTGTGAGAATTAAAGGGGAGTTTGAAAATAATTTGTGCATAAGCATTTGAAATTGTTGGACCGGAGTGGGAGCAGAGGCAGAGACCAAGAAGAATAAAATTGCAGTAGTCCAGACGATTAATGAATCAGAGAATAAATCAGGCATCAAACTCAACTTCGTGCTCTGGCCTCTGAGCCAACCAGCCCACCTCCAGTTTGTAACTTTAAAATAATTGCAATTATATTTTCATTTTATTCCAAGTATTACTCTTCCCAAATATGCTTTAAAACATCTATTTCATAGCCCAGTAAAGACAAAATTGGCCAACATCCCAATGCAGGACTCTCCTAAAACAATAATTTGAACTTAATAATATTAAATGTGTCATATTGTGACTGCCAATTTACATAAGTCAATTTCATTTAACATTTTTATGCCAAAACTATCAACTAAACATGAAACATAAACAAACATGGGTGGCTGGATATACTACTTATGTCAGTGCACTGCACTGGCAATGCAACATTCTGGGTTCCAATACAAATACAGTAGAACTCCTCTAACCATGCTACAATTATCCAAAAATCTTGTTTTTCATGCCCTAAATCAATCCGTGAACACTCCTCGTATGCAGACATTGATTTTAGTTAAATTAGAAACGGCATTACCAGTTCAAAAAATAATGCCCTCTAGTACCTGTTTAGAGTGGCAAAAAATATTCCAGCAATGGATCAATATTGTTTGTCGGCTGTTTTGAAGTGGCTGGCCTAGGTTGCCTGGGCCTGGTTTTCAAGGCCGCCATGGCGGTGAGATGTTAACTATCTTGCCTGGGATACAGGAGGTCATGAGTTCGATCCTGACCCTGACGGCCGTATATTTGGAGTTTGCATGTTCCCTCCGTGGTCGCGTGGATTTTTCTGCAGGCCATCTGGTTTTTCCCTCCACGGTGACTTTCGGTGAGCACCACTAACCGTGGTGAGCACCCGCCGGAGCTCGTCGCACGTGAGGAAGCCGTCGCTGTTGCGGTCGATCTTGCGAAAGGCAGCGAGCAGCTCCTCACGTGCCACGGGCCTCTCCTGCCGTGCCACCTCGCACACGTCCTCAAAGTCCAGCGCCGACATCGACACCGGGAAGTATTGTTCCAGCGCACGGCGGGACGGGCTCCTCCCGGCATTCTGCAGAACTGAGAGAGCGGGTACCGGTGAAGGCTGAAGGCAGCAAAGGGGCCCAGGTGCACAGTACAGCTCTGCGCACCAATCCTCCGATTAGCACGGTTAGCTATGTACGGTGGGAAAGAAGTTCAACATGCATATATAAATACATACAACCCTGTCTTCAAAGAGCTTACAGGTCTGTGCCACCAGATGAATGTGGGCCCAATTGATGTGTTGACGAACGTTCCTTATCAAAATATTTTTTGATCTGGGCTGTTTCGTCAACAAGTCCAATCTATGAGGTGGCCGGGTGACTCAAGAGGTCGGAGCGCTGCTCTGGAACCGCTGAGATCCTGGGGCTTGAATCCAGATTTGCCTGTGATTAAACCGGATTCTTAAGTGTAGCGAGTGACATGGTATCAGCCTGGTTACCACTGACTGCACAAAAAAACCTCACATTTGATTTATTCCAGTGCTTAATTTGGTTCAAATCCAGCTCTGATCATTAAAAACATCAGTTGGGTTGCCACAACAACAAACATATCTCTCAGTGGTTTGATGAGTGGGAAAGTGCTGCCCTCCACTGTGTAGAACATAGATCACGGGAAGCAATCTCAGAGGTAGTTTTGTGATATCCCCTTCCGTGGGCCATTCTCAAACATAAAGGATTGCACTGCTTAGCAAAGCACAATCGGAATACAATTGGAGGAAAATATGAAAAAATTATATTACAAAAAATCTGTGACTTTGCATTAACAAAGAGCTGATAGGTCTCCTGTAACAACAGGTAATTGGAAACGCACCTTGACAAAGCTGCTGACGAGTGGTTATCTTCTCCAGCGTGCTCTTGCACACCATCAGGTAGGCGGCTCTACACTGCCGGTAGAACTCCTCCTCTCCTGCCCGTCCATTCAGTTCTGACTTTTCGCCAACATCTGACCTATCAAAGACTTCTGACCTTTTGACAATGGCATCTGACTTGCGGCTTGAAATGGAAGCCACGCTGTTCTTTCGACTGCCCATGTCTAACGTTCACTGCGAAGTAAACAACAAAATACGCAATGGAAAGTCAACTCATTCAGTCCGTCTACTGTCAAGCCAGTGACGTTTAGTTTTGCTTATATCAAATTAATACTCAAACATAAACATATACAATGAGAAAAAAGACATGTACCAATTATCTCACTGGTAAAATGAGCAATGGGGTAATGGTTATTCTCCATTGGCAAGGCTTGGGCAGTGGTGGAAATTTTAATTTCATAATGCAGGAGCCAAATGAACCCATAGGAGACTGGCACTGTTTTGATGTTATCAAGCAGTAGATGAAAGCCAGTCAATTCATGACTGGAATTTGAAATCACAACCTTTTGACTTGAGTCAAGTGTTCCAACTACATTATCACCAGACGTATACAGGCCAAAGTCCTTGACCTATAAAACCTGAATTAAACTATTAAGATACATTTTTATACGTTTAGGCTATTTGGTAAATGTTTTCGTGAGTTTTTTTGTGAAGAAGAGAACCAGAGTATTCAGATACACCCGTAATTGATACAGCTAAGCCTCTGCAAGACTTGTCTCTCTTTTTCTGGAGGGTCCTGTCCAGGACCGGATTAAGGTCCTAGGCATTTCTGTTTCGTAGACCTTCAGTGATAACTTTCGACAGTTGGTACTGCTGCCCATGTTACTACCGCTGCTGTCACTCGCTTGTTTCATGCGTACTTCGTCCGGCCGCCGGAAAAATGAATCATTTGGCGGGACCGCGGGGTCCCGCAAAAATCAGGTCAATAATTATTATTTTTCAGTCCGCCCACTCGTGATCGCCAAGAAGTCCTTTTCGATCCCCGCCGATTGCCTCGACTACTATCCAGCCATCCCGCCCAATCTCGACAGCAACGCGCCGCCCGCCCAGACTCGCGCCAACAAGCGCCAGCAGGCGGCGATCAACATGATGGGCGCCACCCCACCGGCCAAACACAAGCCCCGGGGGGCGTCTGCCGCAGCCGTCGATCCACAGCTTCTTTGCCAAGGCGAGCCCGCCCCCGCGGTGATTTTAACGTGTTTATGTAATTTTTAAACTTTTTACGAAACTTAGTGCCCCGAGTAGCTCTCGACGAGGCCAATCGATTGACACTAGTTTTGTTGTCGGTAAGGCAAGACTCGTGTCGCTACGCAGTTTTTTCCACCCCGGGGCAGTGATGGGACCTCGGGGTCCCGCCAATTGCTTCAAATGTCGTTCCTGATACGTTCATTATTTAGTCTGTGCCCTAATTCGATCATTATTTAGTCTGTGCCCTAATTCGATGGGAGCGTGCTTGTGCCGCAAATAAGCAGATTTAAATTTAAATTAGTGAGAAAAAAACACAAGTTAAGCCTGAAAATATTACAAGCGAAAGTGTCAACTATATTTTTACTATGATTATCATATCGGATGACAGCTTTAAAAGGATGCCGTTCATTTTCATCAATAGCACTCAATGTTCTGATAGGACAGCCGCATGGTGAGCGCCATGTTGCCTTTCATTTTAGCTTAAAGATTTGTTTGAGTGTCATTTTAGGTGTAATATGCCTCACTTACGGGTTGACGACTTGTTACCACTGCAAAGACATTGCAACGAGCAGCCAACAAATTATGTGCCGAAAATAATGAATGAGATTGTGCGAAAAACACCATTTGAAGATGTTACTGCTAATTTTTCAATGAAAAACTCTCGTAAAGTCAATCTCCGGTGTTAATTTCTCTCACCTTATGAAAAAAACGATTGACATGACTGTCTCTTTGTATAAACACGGTGCCAATCCTTGCTATATACATATATTTATTCAAGAAGATATCTTCGTTACATTTTTTATCATACAAACAAAAAAACATGGTAAAATTGTGTTTTCGTAGGCCCTATTGGATAATACGGCCCTGGTCCTGTAGTGGGATATTTTACCAACTGCATTTAGTATGTATGTACAACGTATGTAGAACTTCTTTCGCACCGTACGTAGCCAAGCATGCTAATCGGAGGTGCGGGGGAAGAACAACATTTTAAAGATCGGTTTGCGTGTGGAGGAAATCAGGATTCCCTAGAGAAAACAGATGCCTGCAAGCTCAACGGTCTACACAGATTTGGTCACAAACTCACTTGCTGAACAAATATCTTTCAGTCAGAGCATAGCCTCAACGGCTTGAGAGTTTACAAAACCACATGAATCGGCATGCCTTGCCTCGAAAGTGTCGAATTAGAGCCATGTGGAACTGTGCTGGACGCATGCCCATATGAGGCAATAAGCAATTCGTCAGAACAGAAAGTTAAAGAAACATATTCTCTTTATTGACATATACTCGCAACGGTCCTGCAGGCTGAAATCAGCACAATTAAATACAGTACAGTACTGTACTGCATCCATTAGTCAACAATTCAGCCTGCCACAGCACTTGTAATACAGGCGAATATTTCCAAAACGTCTGGCAAATACTGTACTCCAGATGAGATTTACTTACGACTCTATATGTGTCCTATGACTTGTATGCCTCTTATCACCACCATGCCACATGGCCAATTCCTACGGTTTAACCAACGACTGCTGATGGTCAACGTGCATGATTAACGTGAATGACGAGAGAGCTGAAATATAGAACTATATTAAAAGAAAATCCCTGTACAGCGTGCTACTGCAGTCCTCTCTAACTTTACTGCGGCTCTGATGGACCAAGGATGCTTCCTAGTGCGGCACAAGCAGTCCAGAGTTAAATGTGTTTTTTTAGTGTGTGTTGATACATGGCTGCATGAGAGGTCCCGAAAGAGGCAAACGATGTTTTTCTAACATGCCAAGTCCCACGCCCCTACCGTGAGAGGCACATCTTAAACCATCACATCCAAAACCGGATTAGTGCTCGTTGGGGTGGGGGGCTGCCTGTCGTATGTGTCTGATGTATGCACTTTGACATTTACGACAATGGCTTTAAAGCCAGCAGTAAACGTTGCAGATGGAGTTGGGGCTCACTCATTCCTCCCTGCCTTTTTTAGTATTTGGCACGTGTGTGTGTGTGCTCCAGCAACTTCGTAGCGGGGTTGGCGATTCGTGCAGAGATTGAACCTTCGTGTTTGATACACCCAACTGGAATGGCACTGATATTCCTGTAGGCACTATATCAAGTAGGTTTGGGCACCAGAATTTTTGAGTGTTATCCCATCGTTTGAATGAGATTGTTTTTTTTTCCCCCCAAGAACTCCAATTTTATAAACACGAAAAAAAGTTATTCGATCTGAATTGGGCAAAAATATCAATGCAGGAAACATACGTACGAGTACGTTGGGTAAACACAAAGCGTTACAAAAAAATACCCGTAAAATCCCATGGTTTTAGTCACTACACAAATAATCGTGTCCAATATATGTCACGGGCAATTTTCATTTAAAATGACGATTTGTAACTTCTAACTAAAATATCGTAATGAGAATTAACGTTGTGAAATTCTAGAACTCCATAAGAAGAGCATGGTGAAACATAACGAGTTGTTTTACCGATGTTAAAGGTCACAACAACATGTCATCGTCCGTACCACGAGGGCCTGGGTCCTTCTGGTTACAATCAGCTCGTGACTCAACTCTCGTTACGACACGAATTACTCGTGATGGAAAGTGACTCATCCAGATTAATGACGTTTCTTATGTAGAATGTAAATAGTGAAAGTCAAAAATTGTACTCCCCAGTAGAATACATTCGGATATGAGCAGGTCGACCGTATAAAGAAGAGTGGAGAAATAATTTACTGGATGTATGTCTAGCAGAACGAAGTCCGAATTGGTATAATGCTATGACCATGTAAAATCTTTACATGGTCATAGCATCTTTAAATTGTCCGAGATGTACGTCCGATAAGTAATATTTAAAAATAGTTTTTTTTAAAACACGCTTTAATGAAATGTACCGTGCTAGTAATGGAAAAACTCCACGACTCCAGGAAGTGGCCCCGAAGCGTGCCACAACGTAAGGGGGCGTGGCCAATTACAATTAAACCCAAGCCGAAACATAACATATACAAATTAATGTTAAAAAAATATTTTTTGTATTTTTAATGATAGAATATAGTATTGTCATCAGTATGACATAAGTATACCAAGTTTGCAGTCGATTCCACATTGGAACGTGGGTAAAAATTGAGTTACAGGATTTGGGGATACAACAGAGTGAGTTAAATGAAAGCGTGTACAGTAATAAAAATAAACGTGTGGATTAGACATGTAAGTATAGCCTTAACAGACTGTGTCGGGGCAAGTGTTGTTTGCGAGCACCTATTAAGGCCGGAACGGCACACGAAGGGGTTTGTGGCCAGCACCACGCCCGGCCGCCTTTGTCTCCCCAGTGTCGATGTTTACTACACACCGCACCAGGTACTGTACTCATTAAAGGCTGAGTTGACCTAATTGCACGGGCAAGTTATGACCAACAAGCACGTCTAAACATGTTCAACACTTTAAAGGGCTTAGACATAGCAAAACCTTTTGCTTGTATACTGTATGGTGAACTACCATGTACAGTTGCTTACAGATGTATACAGTACTGTAGCGAGTATTGTATTATTGTCCAGGGTAGCCCAGATGTTTTGTGACCCCCCCCCCCCACACACAATTTAATTAAGGTTTATTTAAAACAGAAACGAACATGCAAAGAAAACTTCGGGGTCGATTAATTGAGGGGTCACAAAAGATCAGGAGAACCACCCTGTACACAGGAACATGATACAGTGTTGATAAATAAGCAACACAAACACACACGAGGTCTTTTAAAAGCCGACGAGTGCGCAATCTTTACATTCGTACGTTTGAGTAGTTTGAATAGTTATTAAAACGATGGCACACTCCGCTGTGAACATTTGCAAAACAAGTTCGATACCCGGCTAACGTTGAGTGTTGGCCCTTCACCAACCCGCACCGACCAGCGTAGTGAAGTATGGTCACAAAAATAAACTCCCATCGACCGGCACGGCGTGAGGATGTCTTTATCGAAGAAGTGGATTGACGAAGTGTAAATGTAATCTGTTTTAATAACGTCAAGTCAACGACTGTTGCGGTATTCACCACACTTAACAACGCCTCGCTGCCTTACGATTCTTTAAACCCATTACAGCATTTTTATATATATTTTAAAGCTATTATACAGAGCAAAGCGTACCTTGTAATAGAGAGCTTAATCGCTAATGTGTTCGTGTGTTTATGTTTTGAATACAATACGATTAACAGTAACTTTTTGTAAAGCTAAAGATTCCACGCTGTGAGCGGCAAACAGCTGGGACGTTTCCATGGCGACGGGGCGGCCCGGCCTAAGCAAACAGGCTCCACTGCGCAAATAACGCCGTTAACTTTGCACCCTTTTACACCACGCTACACATTGTACACGCAACTATTATACATTTTTTTTTAAAATGGTACAATTATTGATACCAATTCAATTGCAGCTGACGATTTGTGATTGTTGCACTTTACGCCGAACGTGCAAGGCCGCGCCTGCCAATGGCTAAACAATTGACCCGGAAACACTTCACGTTCATTTATAAATGTTGGCATATCTTCGGTTTTACTGAAACTAAATACGAAAGGGTTTCTTTAGTTTGTTTAAACAACGTTGCCATGATACTTTTAAAGAGATGGACATTAAGTAATTCTCATATATAAATGGGGTTTTCCCCGTGCATGTTCATGGTGGCCCAGATGTCTTGTGACTCCCAATTCATTGACCCCGAAAATGTTTGTTCCTTTGGAACTTAATTTCTGTTTTACATAAACATAACTTTTATTAAATGGGAGTCACAAGACATCCGGACCACCCTGTACAATAATTATTGTCTCATGTTAAACATTCAATTATATTACTTAACTAGCTTTGGGGCCGTCCATAAATGACGTCACGCATCTGGGGGGGGGGGGGTCAAACATTTGTGACGATGTGTGACGAGGGGGGGGGGGGGGTGAGAAATGTGACGTCACATTAAAATGCGCAACTTTAAATAAATATAGACTGCACGTTCTAATTAATTAGACTTTTTAATTTCTCCTACATCAGAGTGCAGCGCCACATTAAATACGCACTACAATGACAATAGTTTAAAGCGATTTGAAGCATGTTTTTTGGGGGGGGGAGGCAGAGCTTTGTGACGTCATATTTGAGGGGGGGTCTGACTTTTTGTGACGCCGTGTGACGACGGGGGGGGTTAAAAATCGTCCAAAATCGCGTGACGTCATTTATTGACGGTCCTTTTACTACCCGGCTTCGCCCGGCCGCCTTTGTCCCCCAAGTGGCGATGTTCACACACCACACCAGTTACTCGTTTGAGGCCGAGTCGACATAGGGGAGGCCCAGGACCGGTTAAAATAATCGTCACCGGGTTCGTATCGCAGCGCGCTAACCACTACACCACCGCTCCCCCCACACACACACGCGTCCATAGCTACACACACACGCGCTTGCTGCAGACACACACACAACTTCCAGGGTGCGTACGGCAGTAAACGACTCAAATAATAAAGCAATGCTGCGCGAAGAACGTCTTAGACCTGCAACACATTAGTATGGCACTTTACTCGCGGAGGGTTGGGGGGGATGCGTGACATCAGCAGGCACACTACGTGACGCTTCCGCATGCGGGTGACATGACAGAGTATGACGTCACAGCTCACTTGCCGTGCAAAATATATCTATTATTGCGCCTCCCCCCCCACCCCAAAAGTATATTTTTTATAATGTTTGCATCGTGTACAAAAGTATATTTTTATAATGTTTGCATCGTGTACAGTCTAGAAAGTACTCACATGGCAAATTTCAAGTTTGTTGCATGTCGGGAAGTACGCTAAACATTTTGAACAGACCCACATTCACAAATTTCCTTTTTATATATATAGATGACAGCAATGGCAGCAATACTTGTTCAGAATCAAGAATAAGTTTATTTCCCGAATAAGTCCTATTGAGCTGAGAATATTTCTGTTCAAGGGTGACTCGGGCCGCAGACACCATCAAAGCATTGCACAATTACAGATTTATAAAACAAACTTAACAACCGCATAATTTTGTAAAATTACATTCACACTTAAAAAAACCGGAGTGATTTTAATCGTGTGTTTAAATGAGGACAGAGATGGAATAATTTAGATGCCAAGAGACGAAACGAGGTGGTTACAAAACTACATTAAATGCCGATTTAAAGCTTTCGTGACTGCAAGGATTCATCTTCTTTGGTTCTTTCGGTAAAGTCACGTAGAATGAGAATAAAATAATAAAATAACACAATTAAATTATCACGGCCGCTTGCGTTGTGGCCGAAACGTCGTGAAAATTTTATTGTGTTATTTTATTATTTTATTCTCATTCTACGTGACTGTACCGAAAGAACCAAAGAAGATACATTAAATGCTTTGGATCCAAATTGTGTGTGGTATCTGGGAACTATAAATAGACAATAAGACCCGCGTCGATGATTTTTAGGAACAAGGTTTCTGCATTGGCGAGTTCTGCATTCACGAGCGTTTAAAATAATGTAACCCTCACGGATAGAGAGAGTTTACTGCATTTAGATAATTCCCTAAACATTAAGAGGAAATCTAATTTATGGAAATTGTTTTCCTTCAACAACTTAAGGGGCCGTCCATAAATGACGTCACGCGATTTTGGACGATTTTTGACCCCCCCCCCCTTCGTCACACGGCGTCACAAAAAGTCAGACCCCCCCAAATATGACGTCACAAAGCCCTGCCCTCCCCCCCCACCAAAAAAAACATGCTTCAAATCGCTTTAAACTATTGTCATTGTAGTGCGTATTTATTGTGGCGCTGCACTCTGGTGTTGTAGGAGAAAACATTAAAAAGTCTTATTAAGTATAGGAATAGGTTTTACCCTTTTAACTGGCACAAAAACTGACACCTTTATTCAAGGCATCATGTTTGCAAAAACCACAACACAAGCAGTCAGAATGCTGTTTGCAAAAACCACAACACAGTCAGAATGCAAACAAAAAAGACAACTCTGATAATATGCACTGTCCTTGAATTTGATTGGTCCACACCCGAGACAGCTTTTCTTAGAGCCTAGTCTCCATTGGTGTTGGACCAGAAGACGCCAAAAGGCGTACAACTCAAAAACAGCGCACCATCAGAGTATTGAGGGCTCGGGGTGAGCATTTACATTATGAGACCTCCTTTGCCAGAAACAAGATATAGGAATAGGTTTTACCCTTTTAACTGGCACAAAAACTGACACCTTTATTCAAGGCATCATGTTTGCAAAAACCACAACACAAGCAGTCAGAATGCTGTTTGCAAAAACCACAACACAAGCAGTCAGAATGCAAACAAAAAGACAACCCTGATAATATGCACTGTCCTTGAATTTGATTGGTCCACACCCGAGACAGCTTTTCTTAGAGCCTAGTCTCCATTGGTGTTGGACCAGAAGACGCCAAAAGGCGTACAACACTGTTCTGGTCCAACACCAATGGAGACTAGGCTCTAAGAAAAGCTGTCTCGGGTGTGGACCAATCAAATTCAAGGACAGTGCATATTATCAGGGTTGTCTTTTTTGTTTGCATTCTGACTGCTTGTGTTGTGGTTTTTGCAAACAGCATTCTGACTGCTTGTGTTGTGGTTTTTGCAAACATGATGCCTTGAATAAAGGTGTCAGTTTTTGTGCCAGTTAAAAGGGTAAAACCTATTCCTATATCTTGTTTCTGGCAAAGGAGGTCTCATAATGTAAATGCTCACCCCGAGCCCTCAATACTCTGATGGTGCGCTGTTTTTGAGTTGTACGCCTTTTGGCGTCTTCTGGTCCAACACCAATGGAGACTAGGCTCTAAGAAAAGCTGTCTCGGGTGTGGACCAATCAAATTCAAGGACAGTGCATATTATCAGAGTTGTCTTTTTTGTTTGCATTCTGACTGCTTGTGTTGTGGTTTTTGCAAACAGCATTCTGACTGCTTGTGTTGTGGTTTTTGCAAACATGATGCCTTGAATAAAGGTGTCAGTTTTTGTGCCAGTTAAAAGGGTAAAACCTATTCCTATATCTTGTTTCTGGCAAAGGAGGTCTCATAATGTAAAGTCTTATTAAATTAAGTAGAACGTATTCTTGGTTCGTTCGGTAAAGTCACGTAGAAGGGAAACAATAAAATAATAAAAATATAAAACAATAAAATTCCCACGACGTTTCGACTGATTGCTTGTGTTGCAGTCGAAACGTCGTGAGAATTTTGTTTTATATTTTTATTATTTTATTGTTTCCCTTCTACGTGACTTTACCAAAATAACCAAGAATATGAATCCCTGCAGTCACGAAAGCTTTAAATCAAAATTTAAGTAGAACGTGTTGTCTATATTTATGTAAAGTTGCGCATTTTGATGTGACGTCACATTTCTCAACCCCCCCCCCCTCGTCACACATCGTCACAAATGTCTGCCCCCCCCTAGGTGCGTGACGTCATTTATGGACGGCCCCTAAGATATTGGACAGACTTTATAGGCTTTGGCAAAAAAAAGATCAAATATTACCCCCGCCTCAATTTTCAGTCCCGAATTTACATTATTTTAGGTTTTTTTCTTTGTTTAGAAGTATAGCCTGGAATATCAATGTGCCAAATTTCAGTTTTATAGCCTTCTAATACAAGTAAAAATCCTATCAGTCAGTCACAACCGTTTATATGAGACCGGATTGGATATTATTAGATACTAGCTTTTTTCCCGTCCAAGGACGGGTGTATATTGCAGTAAATCTGAAATATTCAATAGAAAAATTGTTCAGCTCATGATTATTAATGAGTGGGGGGGGGGGGGTTTGCACCATGTGGAGTGACGTCACCCGCTAATGGTTATTGGGGAGGAGTGCGGCATGTGGAGTGACGTCACCCCCTCAAGGTTATTGTGGAGGGGTGCGGCATGTAGAGTGACGTCACCCGCTCATGATTATTAAAGAGGGGAGGGGTGTGGAGTGCGCGACCTTTTTGAGCGTTCGTGTAAATTTCCACGCGTGCATGAATATTAATGAAGGGGGAGGGGGCTCTTTTGCAGTGACGTCACGTACGGATGTTGCAGTGTGCTACAGTAGATTTATTTTTTACCGTCACTTTCTGCCAAGAAACGTCATATCTGAAGCGACTTTGCGTAATAAATTATTTAATTCAGCTCGACCTTCTGCGTTAGTGTGAAAACCCACCCATCATTAATATTAATGAGAGGGGTGGGCTTCATGTGGAGTGACGTCTCGCGGGGGGGGGGGGGCTCATGTGGGGTGACGTCCGCTGGGGGCCTTATGTGGAGTGACGTCACGCTGGGAGCCTCATGTGGAGTGCCGTCACGCGCGGGACACATTCTTGGCTCAGCAGTAATGTTCAATGTGCAAGTTTATTTATGGAAACATTTTAATTTGTGTGTTTACGTGTACACATCTTAATTTATTAAATCATGTGTTTACCTTGTCCCACCAATCTTGCCACTTAGGCGCTCCATGTACCGCCCGCTGCTCTTGAGGCCATTGACCCTCAATGTCTCATTTGCCTCCTTTCCCCTGCACCCTCTCTCTATACTTGGCTACCCACCCCTCACTTATATAACCCCCTGGTAATCGCAGCTCTTTTGCCTATTTCAGAAACTGTTTTTTTGCTGTCATTGTTCCCACCTGATGACGGACGCTTGTGTTGCATCCGAAACGTCGTGATTTATTGACATTTATTTGTTTTTTTTATTTTTCACCTACGTGACTTTACCGAAAGAACCAAAGAGGAACAACTGAATGAGCCATGTTCAGAAACTGACCCATGACCCGAGAGTATAAGTTAGTTAATCCTCTTGATCCCCGATGGGATACGAGGTCGCAATGAGTTTCCACTTCTTCCTGTCCTTGCCAACTTGTTTGAGCCTCGCCCCAAGAGAGGTTAATCGCTGCTACCAGCTCGTCCTTCACGGTATTGAATCTCTTCATTCCTCAGAGTATGAACGGTAAAGTCTTTTTTTTTCCCCCATCAGCATTTATTGAATAATTTCAAACAATAAAATAGTCACCACAAATATGCGGGACAAGCATCCCAGTCAATATGGAACGTTGGGCCAACATTGGTCCAATGGTTTCAACTCCGTGCCAGCCTTGGCGCAAGGTTGCATGTTTGCTGGGATTCACTTCAAGAAGGTAAAGCAGTAACCTGGTTTACGTCGAGGGTGCGTTCCTGAAAGGTGCAACAGCGAATATCGAAACGACGTAAATCAAGGCGATTTCTAGGGTAGGTGGAGGGGAAGGCTGAGAGGTGATAGAAACGTCGGACGATGCTGCCAATGATGTGTGGTTTGAGGCTATGCAAATCTGGTAGTGGTATTAATCAAGTTACGACATGTTTACGAAACGACATAAAAAGGAGACGACGTACATCCGGGGTTATTAATGTATTTCTTAACAAAACATCCATCGGAATATTAATTCGATTTTAGGGACTTTAGTATAGACAGTGATGCAAAAACAAATGCATTACCTCTGTTAATGACATAACTGACAATTATGTATGTGCACTAATGGCTTAAGGCAGCATGTTATAATGTATTAAATGTACAATATTTTCAATCAAAAGCAAGAAAAAAACTTTTGACAGGAACAGGATGGAATGCCTTTGGAAAACTCAAGAACGAAAAACAGTGTACCGACGTTCCCAGCGAAGAACATGTCCAGTAGTCGTATACGTACTGTATCAGCTATGACATGGATCACAACTATTTACACTGAAAAAATATATATTGTACTCTACTGTAAAAGTGTGTGATGAAACATTTTGAAATTATTGCTGAGAATATTTGAATTCACACATTATGGTAGAATGGAAATGCTTGAATTATCACCGTTCTAGAGCGCAGAACACCGATTGGCAATCGGCACAAAATGTGTAAAAGTTCCGCAACCGGCAGGCTTGTCATCGTTGTTGTCCGCACGAGAAAGAGAAGTGGAAAAGTTGTGGGTGGCTTAGCACCCACGCGGTTTCGCAAGGGAAACTGAATTGACACACGCAAAAGAGGACCTACAGTCTTATTGCAATCAAGAGGTTACCACAAATACTAGCGCAAAAGAGGCACGTAAGACAGAAGAGGGGAAGAACTTGGTCCAAATTGAATGACACAACGGACAGAACTGGGGCAATGCGATGGACGACAACGGCAGCAAAGGTGGCTGAAAACAGCGACAGAAGTGGATGGAATCCACATCAAACAGCACGCGCGAAAATGCACCTGATGATAACGACTGTAAAGGGCAGTGTTCTTCACTCATTTTCTGAGAGGGGGGGGGGGGTGGTGCACTTTCGCAGTTACAACATCAGGGTGAGGGCTGCCACACCGACTGCAAGCGGTGTGTTGTTGGGGGGACCGCACGTTAGGGGCCCCACTAAAGGCCACCAGGGGCCACCAGTGGGCCGTGGGCCTTGCAATGAAGAACATGGCTGGACTTTGTATGATGGCAACTTGCAATGGAGCACACTGGTATAGGCAGAATCACAAGACAGTATCATAATATTGAAAAACGTTCGCTGTATACATGGAACGTTGGACAAACGCTGGGCCATCGTTGGTTCAGCGGGTTCAACCACATGGCAAAGTTGGCCCAGCGTTGCATGTTTACTAGGTTGCTGTATTGCAGCCATTCGTATGCCATTTGCCATCATACAAAATCCAGCCATGGCCTAGCTATCGTCTGCATTTCAGTGTAATGCATGTTAAAGAGCCACCCGAGCATTGAGATTAGACGCACATAGCAACAGCGTGGGGAGGCCATAATCCAACAGTGCTTTGAAATATGACTGCACATTATTATTTTAGTTTCAGTGATGGTGAAGGAAAAGTTGATTGAGCAAGGTATTGCAGGAATGTAGACGCGACAGTGTTGAAATTACATGGTGGTTGGGAAAAATAGGGGCCAAGATGACTCAAAGGAGACAGCAGAGAAGGTACATGAACAAGGAGTGTTGTCAACCACATTTGTAAGCAGATACAATTGAGATATGGGCATATGGATCCCATGCGTATGGTGCTGTGAGACAAAACTAAAAGATTTTAGACACGAATGAACATTCTTCGGATTGGGCCCTCACGATTGTATCCTAATAATGCATCTTGCGTTGCAGGCAGTTCCTTCAAACATCCTCGGATGTCTTGATATCCATGGATTCTACGGTCACAAAATCCTGTGCAGAGACGTCTGGCATGGTTGCTGTAACATATTTTTGCGGCGGAGGCAGAATAACACTGTTGCAGAACTGGCTATTGAGATATACAGCAGGGTTGTGTTGCAAATGCTCGCGTTTGCTTTTTACTTGGAAGATGGGGACATACACCACGCGGCAGAGGAAACTACGAAAATGCTTGCTGCAGAAGAAGTAAATGACGGGATCGAAGCAGCCATTGGCCGTCGCCATGCAGACTGTCGCGACCACAGTCGGCTGCAAGGCTCTATACTTCTCACAGGCCACTGCGTCGGGAAGCTCGGCCTGCAGTCCAGCATACAAAGAGATGGAACGCACGACGTGATATGGCAGGAACAGAGCCACGAAGAGAAACACCACGGTAATGCTGAGGGCCCAGATCCTTCTCTGGGTCCTCCACATCCTTCGTTGGGCACCACCGGTTCCCCTGCCCTGCATCAAATGCTTGAGCAGCGCTGCGTAGCAGAAAACAATGACGACCAGCGGGACGACGAAGCCAATCGCGAAGGAAACGTTGTTCATGATCCCTCTGTTGGCGGTCTCTCTCGCGGGCTCTAAGCAGCGCACACGGCCGTCGGACTCGTAGGTGCCCGTGAGCACAATGGGAAGGCTGCACAGCGCAGTGAAGGCCCATATGGAGACGCACACCACCCTGGTCCATTTGCCATGGCCTCTCCACTGCTGCATGGGGCGCGCCACAGCCAGGTAGCGGTTGACGCTGATGGCCGTCAGAAAGAAGATGCTGCCGTAGAGGTTCACGTAGAAGGTGTAAATCGTGAGCCGACAAAGGGCGTCGCCGAACGGCCAGTCGCTATTCCGCGAATAGTAGACGATTTGGAGCGGCAGCGTGAGGATGTAGAGGAGGTCGGCGCAAGCCAGGTTGATGCAGTAGCTCCTGGAGGAGTTGTTTTTCTTGTAGTGGCGGGTGAACACGTAGAGGGCGAGCGAGTGTGCGGGCAGCCCCAAAACGGCGATGACGGTGTACACCGCCGTATAGACGTCGTGTTTGAAGGAGTCGTGCAGCTGGCACAGGCTGGGTGGCACGGAGCTAATCGGCTCGTAGTGAAGGGTGGGCGCAGTTGTGTCAGCGGTTTGCAGATCCATTTCACAACGCGGATGGATTTGGAGTCTCGTGTGGCGGCGGTCTTTGCAATTCTCTCAGTATGGAAAGAAAGAAAACGAACAGAAAACTATTACCAAAATTTTGGTCATTCATTGCATTATTCTTGCGCGATTTGAACGTCACGTTTATAATGCTTAAAGACATTCTATAATGCTGTCTGTTCTCCTATAATACGAGAGTTGCATTTCTGAAGAACACCGCGTTATAGAAAATTCCAACTAGTAATTAGTATATAATAACACGTGAGATTGATAGCATCCAGCAGCATCCCGCCTTGTTGTGATGCTACGCCGATGCAGCCGTATAACCGCTTATTCCTACTCGTGCGACGTAGTTCTGTTTAAGAGTGTGCTCCTAATCTCAGCTGGTTACCTGTATAAAAGACACCTGGGAGCCAGAGATGTTTCTGATTGAGAGGTGGTCAAATACTTATTTCCCTCATTAAAATGCAAATCAATTTATAACATTTTTGACGTGCTTTTTTCTGGCTTTTGTTGTTGTTATCCTGTCTCTCATTGTTCAAATAAACCTACCATTAAAATTATAGACTGATCATTTCTTTGTCAGTGGGCAAACGTACAAAATCAGCAGGGGATCAAATACTCTTTTCCCTCACTGTATATCCAAATCGCGTTCTGTAAACTATTAGAGAACAGACTGCATAAGAGTGGACTGCAACCGCATATCTTGCACCCTCAGAACTGCAATACAAAGAATACGTTACAATAAAATGCGGTATTTCCACGGTTTAAAACGCTGTTGAAACAAAACGGAAACCTCAAATGGGCACGCATGTGGAACGTAAGAACTTGCATTGGTGATGGTGCAATAGACCAGGCCAACACACTTACAACTGTTGTCATTAAACTACGGCTTAGAACGCGGGGACGCTTCTTCGGGAACTTAATTGAAGACGCTCCCAGCCTGTAAAGCGAAAACGTAGACATCATACCGAAACATCATCCTTCATAGCAACCCTTCACAGAAGCACCTCCGATTAGCACGGTTGGCTATGTACGATGCGAAAGAAGTTCTACATACATACGTACATACACAGATGCACGACGGTTTGGCTTGCTGATGAAGTGAGGTGTTGTTCGGCCTGACATGCCGTGCACATTCATTCAAAGGGTGCACTAGTGGCACATTGGTTTGCACCCTCCATTATGAGCCCAGGAGTAAGAGTATATAAGTAAATTTTTCCCATTTGAAACGGAATTTGTTTTCCCTTAGGAGCCAATACTAGGGACAGTAGGTTTCCCCTCGTAAAGTTTGTACCCCTTTAGTTTTTGTAACAAGAGTTGATGAGCAATGTATATATCCACGCATTTTGAAGACCACGTTCCAAAATTATTTGCGACACATTTGGTCCATTTGCATTCAGTGAAGTTTTACCTTCTCATTCATCTGTTTAGTCATCACTTTGTCCTAATTAACACAGCGTTTTGTTTACCCTAACCATAACCGGTATATTTTTTTCGATAGGGGCACACACATAGCGCTTCACCCAATATTCACCTACACCACAACCCGATCTTAATTCCCGCCCCTGGCTTAACATGAGTGGGGAGCAGAGGCGGCTTGTGACATTGCTACTAGATGGGGCTGTTGTGAGTGACCTCTGAAAATATTGTGTTCTAATGAAGAAAAACCTTGTCATGCATTTATAAACAATACGAAATAAAACAACAAAGCAAGCAAATGCTGTCCCCAATAACCCTCAAGGCCACACTCCACAATCCCTTTGACACTGCCTCCTAGAGCGTGTAGGCCATGACCTGCTCTATTTGCACTGTGCAACCTCCTCGCGTTGTGACATCGTCTCATTACAGCCATGGGTCACCGCCCAGAATGTGTCTCAAACGGCGTGGCTACAACGTGAAGCTGCTAATCGCAATGAATTAAGGGAAATCTCTCACTCGGACGCCTTCACAGCCGCCCCGATACCTCCCCGAGACACAAATAAGACTGTGGTGTTGCAGCGGTGTCTGATACGAACAACTTAAAAATGGTATCTTCATGACAAAACTGGAGAAAAGTACTTTTATTAGGCAAATAATTTATAATTCCCAGCTGCTTGTTGGGTCGGCGCCCCAACGCCAGAAACAAAATTCATTGAGAAATTAAGCCCCGAGTGTGATAAAACACATTCCTGCGGAGGGAGCTGGTAGGAACGTTGGGTTGCTCGGTCAATGGCCAGGGTCAACGGCGGCACCACGTGGTGTGTTCCGCAAATATCCTTAACTGTGAGGGCGGGCACAAGCCGGCGTGAGTAGGTTAAACGTTGAGTTTTATAAGGGAACCACGGGGTGACCAGCCCCTCCCCACCCAGCCCCACCCCTCCCACCCCCCATCCAGCCCCTCCCTCCCCACCCAGCCACTCCCCACCCAGCCACTCCCCACCCTCCCCACCCAGCCCCTCCCCACCCAGCCCCTCCCCACCCTCCCCTCTCCACCCAGCCCCACCCCTCCCATATTTGGATGCACCACGGACGGACACAATAATCCCCTGTGGGCTGGTGGTGTAACCAGGAGGTTCCTACCAGTAAAAACAAATCCCATGACTAACATGTCATGGGAGAGCCTTCATCTAGCAGTTGATTGACAAAGGGCTGTAAGTTATATTTTCAAACTACTACAATATATTATTGGTTCTTTCAGTAAAGTCACGTAGAAGGGAAAAAGGGGAAAAAAACAAAGCTTTAAATCGAAACTACTACAATTTCATACTCCGGTGGTCAAGCCAGACAACCGCGTCAGTAGTAGCAGAGTAGTGTATCGCTTTTATGTCTCCTTTGTATTTGTGGATCGGGCATTGCATCGCTCCATGCTGTATGGTCTGTTCTGGATGACCACAGTCGCACACTGGAGAGTTTTTAATTTTCCTTTTGCGTATCAGGTTTCCGCATCTTTCATGGTTTGTGCAGTGGATGCGGTTTAGGGTGGACTGTGAGCTTCGTACAACACCGATACATTGGGATTAAGCAGATGACTACACACATATAAGCTACACGTTGATGTTATTGCAATGTGAATTACTCTATCCCAATGTTGCAATACGTACGTTTTTAAAACAACGCATGAGGATTATACTATGTATTATCACAGTGGTTCAACTGTGTGCTTAAATGAAGTGTACCAAAAAAGCATCCACCCATTGCTCTGCGATACTTACATTTGTATTAGCTTCCTTATTGCAGACAATTTGGGTGTATTCTTTCAGGATGCGTGTATATCATTGTCGTATTTTGGTCAAATGCAAAAATCATTCACTGCCTTGAAATATTCTTTGGGTCTTTCGGTAAAATGTCACTCAATTCCTTCTTACGTAACCCCCTCCACTTCCCCAGAAATACAGAATAGCCTTTAAGATCGATTGATATTTTGTATTTAGTCTGTCAAATAATTTACAAACCAACCGATTGCAGTGCTGTAAGTGTGCTAAAGTCACTTCCTTACTCACCAAAGGCACTATGATCACACCAGTCCTCTATATAATGATTTTTACATCTCTCACATTGTCTCAACAAATCATTAATGACCTTACCAGTCCTTAGTTTGTGCTTACATCTGACATTGTGTCTCCATGGAGCGGTGGCGCAGTGGTTATCACACTGCTCTGTAAACCCGGTGACCTGAGATGAATTCCCGGTCACAGCTAACATCAGCGGCACGTGATATCTGAACTGGTCCTGGGCTCCGTCACCTTCCCCCGCCCGGCACTGACCAGCGTGGTGAAGTATGGTTAAATAGCCCATATGACTGAGAGGGCCTTCAGAGGCATTCATCCAGTAGTGGATTGACAAAGGTCTGTACGAACTGTAATATCCTTTCGGCACGTCTTTATGCATGTATGTTGAACTTCTTTCGCACCGTACGTAGCCAACCGTGGTAATCAAATGTGCAATTTCATCACGCACTGACTTGTAAATACCTCCACAGCATGAGGCTACCTGTTAATACTTTGCTTTATAGTTTGATGCGACGCGAGTTGAACGCTGTATTTGTCCACATGAGTGTGGAACACTGCGTTGCTATAATCATGCCGTAGCGTGCAATGCTTCAGCAGAACGCTCACGCACAAGTGCAGCCCTTTCGTCGAAGCACTGCTGGGTGATAAAGCCCCCAACAACGTACATCATGGACAGGTATATGACCGCACTTCAGAGCACAGGTTAGTGTGGATTTGCACTGCCCTCTGTTACCCACAACGTAGCCTCGCAGCAGCAGCAGCCTATAGCAACCTGTTGCGCACAGTGGTCACCTATGTAAGCACTATCCAGACTCACAACCTTGCCTAGATTCTGAGAGCGAATGAGATCTGTCACATCATGGGGGATTTATTGGTAGGGTCAGGGTTAGGCGTGTGCAGTAGTATGCTGGATGTAATTTACTATTCGAACTCCACCGTAGGCTATATTCAGCTCCAGGATTGGATATCATCAGGGTTGCCGATTCCTTATCATGGGAAATTGCCAAACGAACCTCAAAGAGTTACGAGACCAGAGGTCGGCAACCTTCTGCTCCAGAGCCGCATGTGGCTCTTTAAGCACTGCTTCGTCACATTATTTATTAAGGACCACCGTCTCGTATTCTCCACATGCATTGATATATTGATTTTTTTTTGCTACAAAGATAGACCTTGTACAGCCATCAAAAACCATCATCAGACAATGTACCGAGTATGACTGTGTGAACCGATACAGGTTCCTCAATACACACATGGAATCGCTTCTAAATACACGCTTGGCATCCTGTCCTCAGCTCGGCTGCACCTCCGATAAGCACGGTTGGCTACGTACGGTGGAAAGAAGTTCAACATACGTACATCTTGAAAGCCTGCGGAGGCGTTGACAGTATTTTGTCGCTGAAACCCCCTCCCAAATTTTTGTTTCTATATATCTAGCGCAGGGGTCTGCAACCATAAATAACAAAAATAACAAGAGACATTTTTTTTTACAAATTCGCAACACCCCCCCCCCCCCAAGAGCGGCATGCGGCTTCAGAGTTGCAGGTTGCCAGCCCCTGGGCTAGCGCGACGAAACGCGAGATTGGCCACAACCCGGCAGCGTGGTGCATCTTACTGTTGGTGTGAAGCGGAGAGCCCTATCGTCATGAATCAGCCCAGCAAAGTCGATCGTTTATTCTATGCACAGCACAATGAGAGCAGTGCTTACCTTGGTCTCTCACGGGAAAATCATTCTTCGCAGCCTGTAGGTAAGAGGTTAATTGTGAATTTGTTTCTCAGACAGATCAAAAAGCAACTCTTGCTCAGCTCAGCGCGAAGTGAAAGTGGAAAATTCGTCGTTTCTGCATTTTCCACCCAGATCGACCTCCACACGTTTCCTTCCCACTATTAATCAGTCCCAAGTATGCGTGGCACCATGTCCTTTTTGGCTTAACGCAAGCGGTTCGTTTGCAACGTCCACTAGTTTTTATTTATATTATGGTATTATTTAAAAATCCCAAATGACATTCCGAATCTGTCACCATGAAGGCCGTCTTCTTCGTCGTGTTATGAGAAAAAAAGCCAATCTCCTTACAACACTCCCACAACGAGAAGCACAGCATACGGTGCGAAAGAAGTTCAACGTCATACATACATACATAGCAAATCCTCAAGACACGGTGGCCTACACAGTCTGCATATCATGGGCTTTGGTGCAACGAATGAATTGCCCACCCCCCCCAACTCAACCCCGTACAATTTCTCCCCTCTTCGTAGCACGGGGCCAGGCCCCCGCATCCCATGCCCCCCCCACCCCCCCAGTGCAGTTACACCGCCTGCACACTCGACACTTAACTCCGCTGTCAAGATACAGCTCAGTACTTCAATCGGCTTTTTGTATTTAGCGTTGGGACAATAAACCCTTGCACCCTTATAAGGAGCAATTCTCACACGTCATGCTAAAACCAATGGTTTTTAGTTAGTCCTCTGGACAAACAAAAGCCGAATGAGGTTAAAAGTTAAATGCGCATTGGAAGAGAAAGAAATAGGAACACGTGGATTAGAGAACACACACCCAGGTTAAATACTTAATTCAAACTTAACAAAATAAAGTGGGCTCCTGCAGGACACATTCCCAGAAGGGATGCTAGCCGACAGACGAGACTGCTGATGGAATGGCAACCGAGGAACGGTATACGACCACCAAGGAGACGGAGCGATGAAATCGGCTCATCTGCCGGTGCCACGTGGATCGGTTCATCGCAGAACAACTGAGAGGTGGCAACGGCTTTGGTAAGCTTTCATCCAGCAGGGGATTGATCATGGCCTATAATGATAATGGTGACCGGTCTAAGCTCATAAATTATTTTCAATCTAGATTGAAAACTAATTTCTTTAGAATTGCGTTTCGTGTTTAGTTTGTTGTCCTTCCCCCGCACCTCCGGTTGGCTACGTATGGTGCGAAAAAGTTCAACATACATACAATACATAGTACGATTCGCTACACTTGAGAAGCCAATTGAATCACAGGTCTGAATCGTGGATTCAAACCCAGGCACTCAATGATATCAGCACTGTGCTCTGGCACAAACATTAAACATGCGAATCATCCTAGCCCCTACACACGGACTGCTAGACCACAAGACTGTTACTTTATTCCGAGACTTCACTTCTACATTCCTGTGGTGTCTCCCGCAACAAACCTTTCCCTTCACCAGTATTCAAGCTAAAATAATCATTTACGGTCCTGCGTCAATCCACAGACCATAATTCGGCACGCTGGTCAGCGTGAGTTGGTGAAGGGCTGAGGGGGCCCAGGACCAGTTCAGATTTCACTCGCCACTGATGTACTACCCTTTGCCGGGAATGGAATGCAAAGTTGCCGGGTTCGTAAGCCGCATTGCGATGACCACTGTGCCACTGCTCCCACCCTCCATTCAAACTTGCGCATTATAAACACGAGCGTTATTCGCTGGCTACGCGGAGAATCGACGCCCCCTTTGATTACCACCGTGAGAGTATACAATATAAGAATATTAAAATACATGTGTGCGTGATACGTCATTTAATGTGCGGACTCGTGTTGATGGGCAACGTTGCTGGACACAGCGAATCTCGAATTCCTCCATCTTTCCTTGGCGTCATCGTCCAGTGCTCTCACGTAACACACAATAAGATGTAATTACATTCCGGCGCCATGGGAGACACTAACTTAAAACAAAAATGTATATATGTAAATGTAGATTTTTTTGTTGCACTTTTATTTCATCCCGATTGCGCTATTGGTATCGTGCCATAAGACGACATGAACCGTTCGGATCTGTAGCACAACCAGCGCAACCCGTGGTGTTGGAGAACGGCCCATGGGTGCGGATATCTCAGAACTACTTCTGAGATTCCTTTAAATGACCTGGTCCACACAGTGCACACTCGCGGCGAGAGACTGGACTCCTAAGAGTTGCGCGATAACAAGTTAACAAGTGTTCGGACTTACGTACAGTCGAGAGCGGTGCTTTCCCACATGCTCTGCAATGAGGGGTAATGCCTGTTGCGTGACAGTGAAATATTATTGGCAAGATGTTAACTACTTTGTCTGGTATACAGGAGGTCGTGGGTTCGATCCCGACGCCTAAAAATTAGAGTTTGCATGTTCTCCCCGTGGTCGTGTGGATTATTCTCCGGGTCCTCCGGTTTTTCCCTCCACATTTATAAACAAGCATTTAGAGTATTTGGCCACTGTCCATTTCCACACGATAAGCCACCTCGTTGGCCTATTATTTGTGGCCAGGTCGCTTCTGAAACAGAGCTACATAGCTCAGTGGGCTATTTTATCTGGTAAAATAAAAAAGTTTAGTTTAGTTTCAGTTTAGATATTCTTGGAGCTGGAATAGAGCCAAATTACTCGCAGACCGGGCTGACACTGTCAACTAACCACACTTCAGAACCCGGCTTAATCACAAGCAGCTGCCTGGATCCGAAATCCAGGATCTCAGCGGTGTCAGCCCGTCACACTGACCTGAGCCACCTGGCCACCTCGGAAGACACTTGATAGTGCTATTTAATTTATTATTAGGATAATTAGCGTTCATCAAGCACCTTTCACAACGTCTCCAGGCGTCGGGCAGGAAAAAGACAATGATAGTAAAGGAACTTGGTGGCGAAACAAGACCCGGGGAGTAACAGTGCCGGTTAGAGGAAAGCTGTTTTTAAAAATGTCTTCTTAGTGAGGGATTTAAAGACATCGACGCTGTCTAAGATCCAGATCACCAACGGTAGGAAGCTCCACAATTGGGTGGCCACCAAGAGGGTTTTCCATATCCTGGGCAGAGGGGGGGGGTGCTGGGGGGCACCAAAGTAAAATCCCGATCACCCCAAGAATGCAGCTGTGATCGATGTGTACATTAAAGGGCACCACCTTGAAGGGGAATTGATAATTGTTGACCCCACGTGTCACGTGTGCCTTGTCTCGACAGACACCCAGTAGTGTTTACATTCCGAAACAGGGCATTACAGTTATGGGTTTTTCACCGGACGGTATATTTTGGCATTCGTTACTTGCAACATTTTTCCAGCTGAGTGGATCCGCGACAACGATGCATAACAGGTGTTATAGGCTGTTCAGCCACATGGTGGGAAGTACAGAAAGATCCGTTGTGCTGTACTCCTGCACTGCCCTGCCTAATGCTCCTCACTTTGACCAACCCGCAATGAGCGGCGTGCCAAAGTGTGCTGAAATCAACCCACACGGGCGTGCATGGCTTCCGGAGGCCCTCATCCAGCAGTGGATTGACAACAAGGTGACGGGGATCCTCACTGACTGTACGCGTACATTCACATAGGCATAGGAGGATAGGAATGTTCCATTGGAGGCACTTTGGAAAGTTGTTGAACTTGTCTCGGTAACAATGGTTTGTTTGGTCTATCGGTACACAATTACTTAGGCGGGGGGGGGGGGGGGGGGCTCACTGTCTGCAGACAGCATCATTTTGTCTGCCAGTCCTCAAGCACATCCAAGGAGACCTCCTCGACGTCCCTCGGCCTCGTGGTTGCAGGCTCCTGCACGGACGCCTCGGTCTCCGTATCTTCGACGGGGGCCTTCGCGGAGGTGTCCGTCGAGACAGCGGCAAACATCCGTCGCGGCGGCGGGCGCCTGTCGAGGCAATGCGCTGCCTGGCGCTGCGAGGCCTGGCGCCGCCGCTGCCTCCACCGCCATGGGAAGGGGTCAGGCATCAGGCGGAAGAGGAAGCTGCGGAAGTGCTTGCTGCAGAAGAAGTAGACGACGGGGTCGAAGCAGCCATTGGCGGTCGCCATGCACACCGTGGCCACCACGAACGGCTTCAGCTCGGCGATCTGCTCGCAAGCGACCCGGCTGCCCCGCGACGCCCGCAGCTCGGCGAACAGGTAGGTGGTGCGCACGATGTGGTACGGCAGGAAGAGCACCAGGAAGAGCAGGACGACCGTGAGGCTGAGGGCCCACACCCTGCGGCTGGACCTCCATGCGCCTGCTCGGGCGCCGCCGCGCACCGCCGGCCTCGCGGCGAGCACGCGGACGACGGTGACGTAGCAGAAGACGATGACGGCGAAGGGCGCGACGAAGCCGACCAGCGTCGCCGCCGAGCCTATGACGAACTTGTGGACGGCACCGCTCTCATGGTCCCAGCAGCGCACGCGGCCGCCCTCCTCCGCGTGGGTGCCCGTGATCATGACAGGGAGGCTGCACAGCGCCGTGAAGGCCCATATGGCCACGCACGTCCGCTTGGCCCGCCCGCCTCGGCCGCCCCAGTGCTGCACGGGCCGCGCCACCGACATGTAGCGGCTGACGCTGATGGCCGTCAGGAAAAAGATGCTGCAGTGGACGTTGACGCAGAAGGTGTAGACGCTCAGGCGGCAGAGCGCGTCGCCGAAGGGCCAGTCGCCGTCGCGCAGGTAGTACGCGATCTGCAGCGGCAACGTTAGGATGTAGAGCAGGTCGGAGCACGCCAGGTTGGTGCAGTAGCGCACAGCGGCGCCCCTGCTCCGGATGCGGCGAGTGAACGCGTAGAGGGCGACGGTGTTGCCCGGCAGGCCGAGCGCCACGATGAGGCTGTAGAGCGCCGCGTAGACGGGGTAGGTGTACGAGTCGTCGGTGCGGCACCGCGAGCGGTTGAGCAGCGATGGTGGTGGCGTCGTCGTGGTTCCGTTGAGGTCGACAGCGGTGGCCCCGCCAGATGAAGGTTCCATCGCTTGCAGAAGGTGCTGGCGCATCGACAGCCGGTTTCACCGTCCCCCCACCACCCAACCACAGGTGTTGCGGTTCTGCTCGCGAGGGCGTCTGGGAGTGGCATGAACATTTATTATTTATGGATTTTCAGAATGTAAAAGTTGGATTTATATAGCGTCTGAATGCAAGCAGCCTGTCGTAAAAATCTAAATTGTAACCAAAATATACCGGTAAATATTAGTTGGAGCATGGTGGTAAGTGTACTGCGCTTTGTGGCCTGAGAGCGAATTCTGACCACGGCTAACATCAGTGGCGAGTGATGTTTGAGTTTAGGACTAACGTGCCCACCGCTCTGAGCAACCCATACTGACCACATGGTGTAGTCAGGTGCAGTCAACACAAGCACCGAGATTGACATAGCATGGGGGAGGCCTTCATCTAGCAGTGGATTGAAAAACGGCTTTAGATTATAATTAACAAAGAATTATATAATAATATTATACACTAATATTTTAATACAATTAATGTCTTATTGTAGTATATACTGCCACTGTTAACGATCAAATGGAGTGTTAGTGTGGTGGCTCACAGCTGCAACCAAGCACTTTTGTGACACCAGTCGGTGAGTTTCGCAAAAACTCCCAAACCCGTTTGGGCTATGCCGTGGCCTGGAAATGGCAGTACAGCAAATAGGTTGAGCACCCATCCCCGTGGACCTTCTGGGTTGATGTCCTCTCGAATGCAGCGAGGTTTTCTCTGGCTCCGCTCTGCTTTAAACCCACACCAAAATCACTCGTGACACAATGTCCGGGCGCAAAGCCCGCTTGAAAAATTCACGAGCCTCACCGAGGCTTTTCCGAATCGTTAAGCCACAGAATTATAATTAACACGTAGGCTTTCGCGACCAATATTCATACTCTTTGGTTCTTTCGGTAAAGTCACGTAGGTATCAAATAAAATAAATACAGTTTTTTTTTTACCACGACGTTGCGGGCGCAACACAAGCGTCCGTCATCAGGTGGGAGAACCACAGCAAGCAGCAACTGGGTTAGATCGCGTAAATATAAAGTGTCATAACCCTCCACCACCCGACACAACCAATTAGTAAGGGATTTGTCAGTAAACAAAAGGCCAATTAGTGACTACTTCAGCCCACCGGTGTGTTGGAGCGTAAATTGTGAATGTTGTGGATTTACTCTCCAACACACCGGTGGGCTGAAGTAGTAACTAATTGGCGTTTTGTTTACATGACAAATTCTTTACTAATTGGCTGTGTCGGGTGGTGGAGGGTTACGACACATTTATACTTACACAATCTAACCCAAAAACCTTTATTATGAATAATTACAATCATTGTTGTTTCCCTAAACAGCCTAAAAAGGAAAGTGTGGTGGTATATGCAAGCAAACCAGTGTGCCAAGGTGTAGTTAGTGAATCAATGACACATTAGCAACGTTTATAAGATATATCTTAACAACACAATACACAACCATACTTTTTCTTGTCACGAAAACATATTTAATAGAATTGCTCCATTACCACTTTCTACAAGTTTTTTTTTTTACGCAAAATTATCAGCTTATTTTTTCTATGGTTTAAGTTTAATAAACAAAATCTAATGTAATGTACTTACCCTGGGCGTTTTACCTTGACGAAGAGATCGAAGGAGGATGAAAGTTTGGCACTCTCTGAACCCCAACGACCTTTTCTGCCACGTCCGGCTCGAGCTTTCCAATAGAGAGATTTGTTTAATCGCTGCCAAGTGGCCCTGCGCAACGCAACCTACGCAGGGTGTACGTGGAAACAACTGGGAGATTCGGGACAGCCGACACAAAGCAAACAGCAGTGATGTAAACCTTCACCTGACCTACGGCAAACTCACGACCCCCAACTCCGGAGTTGAGACAGCCGACACAAAGCAACAGCAGTGATGTAAACCTTCACCTGACCTACGGCAACCTCACGACCCCCAACTCCGGAGTTGAGACAGCCGACACAAAGCAACAGCAGTGATGTAAACCTTCACCTGACCTACAGCAAACCCTCAGGAACAACTCCAAACGACCGAGGGTCTAGAAAGCCAGAGAAGGAGCCGTCTGCCTACCCCTGCCTGGCTGGCTGGCCTGGCTAGCGAGCTCGCTAGCTCCTCTCGCTCCACAGCACGCAATCGCCTTCTAAACGGTGTCATTTGGCTTTAGGTTTTAAAAGTGGTTGGGCAGGGGAGGGGGGTAGCGGGGAGAGAGGAGGGGGGGGGGCAGAGCAATGTTCCACTGCTCTCACAATAAATCATTCGGCGTCGTACGTCTGCGACGTGAAGATTTTTCTTCTTTTCTCCATCTCGCATCTGATTTTTTTTGAGGCTGGGATGGGGCTGCTGGAAAGGTGTCCGGGATGTCCGGCGCACGTCACGCGACGCCGCTCGCCATAAACACCTCGGGCTGCATCACAATTGTCAACGGCGCACTCTGCGTGCCCATAAACATTTATTTCTTCATCGTCCGATCAGCATAAACCTCGAATTATTTATAAGCTCCGGGCAAAAAAAATGCTGCTCCCTGAAGTGTGTTTAGCTTTGTTTTTTTAAAGCGCCAGGACATATAAGGGTTTGTATGTATAAAAGAGGCTATTGGGTTTTACAGTGTGCAACGCTAAAAGTTTAGTTTGACAGAATGTTCACGGTTGGGATAAATCGGGACCCGCTCGCGAGCACTGGGTAAGCTGCATACCCAGCCACGATAATTTATTTCACTTTACATTGCTGTTGTTTCCAAAAAAACACGACTAAGAAACTTAAAAAGACAAAGGGCCCTCTCTCGACAAGTATTCACGTGAATTGTCTGCAGATTAAGATGAATTTAGTCTCCACAATGTGTTATTTATAAACTCCTGGCAAATCGTCAGCGGCATGTTGGACCGAGATGGACGGTTTGCAACAAGTTGGTTGCCGACCTACCGGTGTGTGTGTGTGGCTGTGTGTTTGTGTGTGTGGCTGTGTGTTTGTGTGTAACATCTATTTTGAACACGTAGTTCGTGAAGCCTTCAATAGCTGTACCGGGGGAATCTCCATATGGTACAGATATATTGGGAGGCTGATCGATGCCTGGGTGCGGTCAAGGGATGGCTCCCTATTGCTCAACCACGTTATGTATGCTGATGATTTGGTAATAGCTGCTCATTCAGAGGAGTTGGAGACGCTGCTGCTGAGACTGGAGCGTGCCACTAAGAGGTGGGGCCTTACCATCAGCCCCACCAAAACTAAGCACCTGCCTTGGTATTTTGTACCATCGGACACTCCACCCCCACAACTCCCAATCGGTGATGGGGCAGTTGTGGAGCGAGTGGAGAGTTTCCCATACCTGGGCAGTGTGCTTATGACCGGCTCCAGTTTAAGAGCAGAGGTCTCACTCCGAATCAGTCGAGCGGCAATATCTTTTCATCGGTTGCGTAACGCTGTGTGGAAGCTACCTGGTCTGTCGCTCCGCACAAAGCTTCAGGTCTTCTCGGCCACGGTCATTCCCTCCCTTCTCTACGCTTGTGAAACGTGGACCCCCCTAATAAAACATCTTCGCCGGTTAGAAACATTTAGGCTGGCCTGCCTACGATCCATCCTGGGTTTAACCAGACTGGATTGTGTGAGGAGCTCACAAATCCTTGAAAGATCTGGGCAAAGTCCCATCGGTGAGCTCCTCCGGCGGGCAAGGCTGCGATGGTTGGGTCATGTAGCCTGCATGCCCAGCCACCGCATGCTGAAACAGCTTTTGTTCGGCCGGATCGAGGGGGCTAAACGGGCGCAGCACGGGCTAGAGAAGAGATGGAGTGATGTGGTACAGGAGGACGTGGAGCTGAGTGGACTTGCCGATGACTGGTACCAGCGGTGTCAAGATCGGCCTCTGTGGAGGAGGCTCGTGAAGGACGTTACTGGGCAGTTGGAGGTAGTCGCCCTCCAACAATAACGGAGGGCGGAGGAGCGACGCTCACAACAACGAGCGGAGCGCCGGGTGGCTAAAGCACAGCAGGTTGGCACAGTAGGGGGCACAGGTGGTGCATCAGCCAGTCATCTCAGTCAGCCGACCCGTGGCACCTGGGTCTGCCCCGTGACCTCCTGCCAGCGGGCGTTCGACACTTCACGTGGCTTCAAGGTGCACATGGCCTGGCACAAGCGTCGTGGTGACGTCACCGCCACTTAGTGGCGAATGGCGGTTGTTGTTGTGTGTGTGGCTGTGTGTGTGGCTGTGTGTGTGGCTGTGTTTGTGTGTGTGGCTGTGTGTTTGGCTCGGGGAGCGGTAGTGTTGTGGTTAACGCTACGCTGCAAACCTGGCGACCCGGGTTCGATGCCCGCTCACGGCCAACACCCAGTGACGACTATCTGAACCGGTCCTGGGCCTCCCCGAGATCGCCACTAGGGAGACAAAGGCGACCAGGCGTAGTGCTGGCCACCCACCCCCTCGTGGTGTGCCGGCCTTCATCAGTGCTCGCTAACAGCACTTGCCCCAACAGTCTGTTAAGGCTATACGGGGGATCTCTGTCTTTATCTGTGCTGCGTGCGACATCCGTCTATGTTTAACTACATGCAAAATACTCAAGGAAATTGCAGACCATCTCAAAGCAGGAATTTTTCCTATAAATGGCTCGAGACTCCGAGGCTTAAGGCGAAGGAATTGAATTACAGTCGGTCGCATATCTGTCCGTCATATACAGGAGTATTTGCCATGACCAGTTAACCACACGTACCCATTAAAGACGGCGTGATATGGCGTTGCGAGGAGTGCGTTTGCATCTTGTTTGCCGAGGTTTCAATATGATGGGGCAGCCTTGGTAAATACTGCAGCTGTATTAACCGTAAAAGTACATGCCATCTGGTTCGCAGCAGACATTAAAGAGATCCCGTGCCACGGTTCAATTTTGACGGAGTGTATTTGGAGGAAAAAAACTCACAAATTACTTACACAGCAATCGTCACCACCTGTTGCAAAAAATTATCAGAACCTTCTTAAAAACAGTCTTGAGACTCATGGAGGCTTTTCCTTGGCTAAATTATAATCATAAAATAACAACACCCAGTGCAGTATGTGCGTGGTTAAACGGTTATATGTTTTATAGCCGTTCACAAATCTTACACATACAGTAATGTATTCTTAACCTTGCCTATATTGACATCCAGTCCAGCATTCCCCCACGGCTAAAGCGGGTTGTGCTTGGTGTCCTATAAGCGCGTCGGTGCACTTATTTTATAGATTGTCACATATCCGACCGTTTCACATATTCATCATTACCTCTGACTCCCAATGAATTAAAGGTGCAACAGAGCTCATTGCCCATAGCACAGCGGCAAGTGGGCATCTTCACACTGCAACGACTATGAACGTAACATACGAATAAGGTCGCACTCATTGCACACTGCACGACACAGATAAACCACAATACCTTGCCGATTTATTCAAGGAGCATAAATCATCACGCAGTCCGGTTTAATCCGGTCACTCACAGCGGCTTTTGGCGAGCCATTGAACAAAGACGATCACTGCATCGTGTGCTTTCAGGTGCACTTCTGCGATCGTCTGGAACGCTCTTCCTTCCGCTATTAGGAAGCCAGTGGAGCCAGGCAATTTGAAATTTAGATTGAAAGCTCATTCCTTTCTAAATGCTTTGTTTTGTGTGTTGTCCTTTCCCCACACTTCTGATTAGTACGATTGGGTTCCATATGGTTCAAAAGTTCATACATAACGGAAGGGTTAAATCGATTGTTTTTAACCCGCCAGGTACACTTGCGCTGTACCACCAGCATTGTGAAGTGAATGGAGAAACTGCCGTGTAGAATTCTCACCGACAGCGCTGCATCGTGACGTGGAATAAACACAAACAGGATTTTGCCAAACCAAGCAGGACCGTTAACTTCTTGAAAAGGGTCTTGAATAACTCCAAGGTTTTCCCTGGGTGAAAAAATGTATAGCCATAAATATTCGTTGCTCATGCAGACTTGTCAGAAGGTATATTAGGGCCTACTCTTGCAGGATGGCCAGGGTGTCTTGTAACAGGTGGGATAACCCACACTGTAAAAACCTATTAAAATTTTTTTTAACCAGGTAAGGCCCCACTGAGCTCTATAGCTAATTTTCAGAAGCGATCTGGCCACAAATGATCGCTCAACAAAAGTGACTTATCATGTGAAAACGTACAGCAGCCAAATACTCAAAATGCATGTTTCTCAATGTGGAGGGGGAAAACCCAGAGGAACCGGAAAAAAATCCACACAACCACGGGCAGAACATGACAACTCCAAATATATAGGCGTCAGGGTCGGGATGAAAACTACGACCTCCTGTCTACCAGGTGAGGTAGTTAACATCACCACCGTGGCACCCCCATCATACCCTCACTCGACCCAACCCATAATACCATGACCGGCTGCTGATGGACTACTGTGCGCATTTACACTGCCAGGTGGAAGGTGGACAGGCGGGTGGAAAAAAAAAACCTTGTACCATCTTTTCAATTAGCTGTGACGGGAGATTGAGCCGGTGAACCTCTGAATTACAAATTCAGTGCGCCAACCATTGCACTGCAGCATTATCACTGGGTTATGTTTCACAAATACATGAATAAAAACGAACAGCCACACTTTAGGCAACTATTACACTGATTTATTCAATTAAAATGGCTTCGAGTGTGTAAACAGACTTTCTTTCAAAGTTATAATGGCAATCAAAATTATTTGGACATAACTAAATAGGACTAAGAATCAATCAAAATTACTTTCGACTGTTTAAAGAACAATTTAAAAACTATACTAAATAAAAAATGTAATGTTTATTTATTCACTTAAAATTATTGCCGTTTTAAAACATTTCCATAACCACACATTCTATACATTCTGGAGAAAAAAACAATATTTTGCATTGATTAATAAAAACAACCACTAAAGTAATCATCCATTTGTTTGTATTGCATCTGGAATTATTGAGATGCAAGTACAGAAAAATTACTATCTACCAAATACATCATAAAAAGTGTATATGGTCCTCAAAGAAACACGGTATGTTGTTTTACATTCACAAAGTATTGCTGCTTGTGCTAGTGTTCAACAAAAACAGGCTATATAAAGTAATCGTCAGTAAAAAAATCATCAAGTTTTTAGGATCAAAAAATTAAGGCAAATCTGAAAAACACACAATCAGGCCTTTGGCGTAAAA